TAACTTATCTTACTTCATTCTATTATTCCCTTCACGGACTTGAAAGCTGCAACCATCACCAGCAACCATCGCCACTATTCTAAGAGGAACGAATATGTTCACTCATTTCCTCCCTTGTCGCCAAAAATGGATGATGGGCGCGTCTTTTATAACATTTGAAGCCAGCAGTGACACGCCATGCTGCTGCTGCTGCTGCTGCTGCTGTTTTCGCACGCGGAGAACATATGAAATAGTGACGTCCGCCTTCTTCCGGGGTTCAAATTCAAGGGAGATGAAATGAATTGAAATGAAATGAAATGAATGGCGCCATTCATCCTTTTCCTTATGGGATTAGTTCTGGCACGCTATGCTATGCACGTTGAGCTATCCGTCTATGGTTGTGAATAGTGAATATGGGGGAGGGAAGGGGGGGGATGGGATGGAGGCGTCAAGGGAGGGAAGGGAAGGGAAGGGAAGGGGAGGGAAGGGAAGAGAGGGACTAATCTATGCGTTGAATGGATGCGTGGCTTTTTGCATTCCATTGTCATGCCATGCTGGGTTAATAGTTTTTTTTTTATCTTTTCCACTTCTAGGGAGGACTGAGAGTTGAGAGTTGAGGACTCTCTGGTTAATTTACAACCGGACACCCCTCCCCCCGGGGCGAAAAAGACAGCGGGCGAGAAGTGAGGACGAGGGAATTGGGGATAGGGCAGAGGGAAGATTCACCAACCCGGACATTCCCTCGACGTTTTGCGACTATGAGCTACGGCCAACGGTTCACGGTTCACGATCCACGATTGTGGTGGGTATGAATGAATGAATGAATGAATGGCACCTGCTGGATGGACCCTTCTCGGCCTTCTTGTACTCTATATATATGGGGACGATTCCTCCTCCCTCCCCCCTTCCTCCCTCTTTATTTTGTATTTCTCCGTCGGACTAACTATACCTACCGTTCCATTACCAAGGTGCCTAACAAGCTCCTTTGGCCCCTGCTGGGGCTCTACGGCGTATATCTATGTACCATATCTATATCTATCCTACTGCCTATATCGAGTTTGTGCTAATACGGGAGATATACTCGTTCCATGTTGTGCGTGGATACTATTACGATTACAGATTCCCTTGGGCTTGGGAAGTCGATTATTATTATTACTTATTCTGTTATCACTAACGGCGGTACTTTACTATCGTCACAGACCACAGAGCACTACATATTATCCTCAAAAGGAACTTGCTAGTCTGCACGTATAGTTAACGCCTATCTCGCTTCTCAACGACGCTAGTTTCTGATATCTAGTCGCCAGACACAAGGAACTAGGCGTAAGTGCAGAGGATATCCATCATGCCATGTCCCTACTCAGCCCACGAGAATACCAAGAAGGCATTCGTGAAGACTTGTCTAGACGAACTCTTCGTCACGGGCCAAGACCCCATTTTCTAATATCTAATATCGACGTGGACGGCTTGATGAAGCGGCTCACCAATCGTACAAGCAACAAGGAATCTGGCGAGCGTGAGAGACCGACGACCCCATGGGCCATATCCATGTCATACGATATCCCAAAGGAACAAAGGCTCTCGGCATTCTTATACGAAGGAACCGATGAATCAGACCGCTACATACTTCCTGATTGGCTATACGGATTCCGATTGGGTATACGGATTCCGATTGGGGCGGGATAGCCTACAGAGCCCCCCCATCTCTGTTTACTTCCGGAGGTTTACTAGCGGGTGTTGGTCGACTCGTTAAAGATAGGAATAAAGGGACTTTCCGGGCAGCCTTAATCTGTAATTGAGGTTGGAACTGAAATGCCTGGGATCAGTGTACATACGATGGCTACAACTAAGGGGATGCGAAAGTCCTACCAACCCTTTTGCTCGAGACATTTTAACGGGGTCTATTCTGCTTCGTTTTCTGCGACTACTATCTGTCGAGATTAAATAAACGGGTTTGCAAACTTCAGAGAGGGATTCACTCGGATCATTAGGGGCTGCCGAGTGCCTACAGACAGACCTCAGTTACCTATATTGGTTTGGGACTGGAGCGTGAAACACTGGGAAAATTACCCTCAGCTTTGGAACACTTGCTTATTATACACTCTGCAGACCTTGGGGAAGTTTCTAAATCTCGCCGTGACACATATGAAAGATACCATACCATAACCTTATATGATGCCGAATGGCAATTTACGTACTGGCAACTTTTTTATGCTAGCAGTTACTGCAGGCGAATAATTGCGCAGCTACCTACTCCAGCATTTCAGGGGCGCTCCGGTGAGTTACGACAGAAGGTATCTTCACGCGGGCAAACATACCCCAAGTCAATCCGATGTTGGAATGCTTCTGAATGAATAACTCGCAAACAACCGCATCAGTTTAATGCAGAACGCGTTATCAATTTTAAGAATCATAACAATAACAACGGAGTTTTAGAGGTCATCAAAAAATCTCTTTTATCAATTTGATAATCCGCACGTCTCTTTGAATTAGAAACATGGATCAAGGCCCTGTCGTTCTGGCTGACCAAATAGACGAGCAACGAAATGGTGCACCGAATCAGAAGAGATGATCTAAATCAACATGACAGGTTTACTTGCCACCTCGCCTCCGCACCGTCCAGCGACAAGTTGGTTTTGCTTTTATCCTGTCAGGGCGGCTAGACCAAATCAGCATCAGAGAGTTATTCTACCTGACCCCGGGCACTGGAACATCGAGTTGAACCGTGTTTCACTGCTCTCTGCGCTGTTTGTAATAGCGACCGACTATCGTTAAGAAATCGAGAGAGGCCTACTTGCATTGTATGGCCGCGAATCTGTCGAGGTTCCCATGGCGTGGCAGGAACTTCGCGTTCCTGCCACGCTACATTGCTTGCTGTCGGTTCTTTTGCACCTATGTTAAGTTACAAGCACGGGTCTCGGTCTGTTACGTGATATCCGTTCAGAAGCTTGTTATCATTATAGCTGTTGAAGGAAATAAATCCATGGGTTGTTTCAATCCCTTTCCATTTAATTAGATCTATCCAGTCTGTCCTCATTAGAATGACTGGTGTTCGCCTCAGCGAGCCCTCATCTTTTGTGGTGGTTTGCAGAAACCGCCCCTGTTCGTATATGGCTAATATATCAACAAGCCATCACATCCACCTACGCACCCGACTTCGTATGTTGACCGACCCCGGAGCGGATAACCGTCGGTTTATAGTTTTTTGTGAGCGCCCCCGGTCACACTGAAGCTCGTTTGCAATCAGGGGATCTTCTAATGATTAATTTTAACCCTGAAATCACTGATGCTGTTCAGAGCTGACCCACTCGAGTTATTGATTCTCTGCCCCTGACCCCTAAGTCTGACCCCTTGACTATTTCCCATCCGCTGTTGGGTGATGGCGGCGACGTATTGCTAACCTCTAATGTTTAGCAGCAGCAGCTGTTTGACGATTCAGAGAATCTCCCTGGTGATGATGTGCTAGAGTTGAGTTGCGTCGCAAGCTCACCACAGCATCTAGAAATCCGGTTCTTGTCCCGGCCATCTATCTCAAACAGACCCCCAACCGGCAATCCAGGCGTTTATGGCCGATTAGCTTCATTTCACCGCCGTCCTCGATTTTTGGTCCTATATCGATTCCACGGATATTGGAGACCGTCTTAGAAAATTTTACAATACATACGACTATTTATCATAGCCATTGAGGCTGCATTGACATTCCTATTCTGGGCATTGTATTTTCGGGAGAAAGATTATCATATGAGCGAGTGTTGCCCATGGCCCTCGAAAGACTTCGAATATCATGAACTGTGCAGCCACTATCCCCTTATTGAGCCGGTTAGAGGACAGTTTGACCTCACTCACGGCCAGCTCGAACAGATGTCGGAGACTAGGGAAGGGAATTGTACCGACGCATTGCGACGCACAGACCTGGATGGGCACCACTAGATGATATTCGAATTTCTATAATGTGGGTGAAATTCGATAACTCCTTGACCGCCGGCATGTTTCGACTTGTTCTTTTCGGCCTAGCGGCTGATACTCCTGGCCCTCCTGCAGCCATGTTCACTATATGCGTTGTTCACGACGCTTGACATTACACGGTCAGCAAAATCCTGGGCGCAAATGGTTCCTTTTCGCAACCTTCTCGAACTTGATGCCCGATTTTCTTTTCACGCCTAACGGAGTCCCGAGGAAGGACTGCGATGGCTTAGTTTGATGTCTATCACCTGCGGGTATTTATCATTGCCTTATGTATTCCCACCGAACCCAACTTTAATGGCATTCTGTGGGTTTGGGCTTGTGGTACTATAAACAATTTGTGGGGGAAGGTTTTATATTAGAGAATCAATAACTGGGCCGAGGAAACTCTTAACATATGAAAATAGTTACCGCCGGAAAACCCCCACTGGATATATCACAAACACTTTTTGAACATTTTGACGGCTCGGTGTGGTTGTCTACCTCGGTGAAGCAAGCGCAATTCAACCTTAGGATTCCTCGAGGCATCGTTCTTTTACCAGTGCATTGCGGTTGTCGAGTTAAAATTCAACCAGGCAACCCAGGCACAGCATAACACGATGTACTTCCCGTTGATCAAGCAGTAGGTAAGTTCGGGTGGTTCAGAGGCCCCAGCACAATTGTCAGACGATCTTCCTGATAGGGCGGCAGGCAAGGAAAGAATTAATTTCCGGGCGTATAGACAGGTTAGCCATGTAGCAACAAGTCCCAGGTTGGAATTGTTCTCACGGATGCGACCTGAGAAAAAATCATGCACCAGATGTTCAGAAATGAGCAGGGAGGTGCAACAATTGTGATGCCCCTTTTTTTTTTCTGACCCTAAGATTGCAATGTAATCATCCCCCAGAACAGTTTTTTGCCTGCTTTCTTTCTCACTCTCGACTCCCCGAAATTACAGTACCTTTGTCGAAAGATTTCCGAAGTGGTTTTGGACAGGGAGGAGACCTTGAGAATCATGGTTCAGTGCCGCGCATGGCTGAAATATGCCACAATATACACCAGCATGACCCTCAACGAGCAGGAAGACACCATGGACAAGTTCAATTTAGGTAAAGTCGCGGGCCGAAAAGTCCTCTTACCAACAGGTTCTTCGACTGGCGCTCAGAATGATCTGAACAGGCCCATCAAGACATCAGTCGCATTCAGGGGGTTCAAGGACACAACCGGGATATATCAGTAGTTGCAGCCGTTCTCAGACGGAGGACGGAGTAATACCTTTCTTGATCCGTGCGATCAATGACAATGACGTATTACGGTTCTATTGACTCTCCAGTTATACATACAAATACTGGCGGCTCCTGTTGTGTAGGTAATGTTTATTGACAATCCTTCAAGTTTTCTATATTGGAACCCTTTTGAGATATTTGCAATCCTTGTGGCCACTGGCTTATAATCGAATCCTTGTGTCTACAGAAAAGTCCGGACCTTGCAGATTGTTAGGCCACTGGGCCAAAAGAGCTTAATCACCACCAGCGCCATGGTGGTAAAGAGGCCCTCCAACACAGATAGGGCCTAATTACATCCCGTAGAACCGATGAAAACCTTTGGACAGAGAAGGATCTGTCAATCCGTCAACCCAATCTCAGAAGAAGGAGGGTGGTGGAGTTAGACGAGTCCTTGCAGGAGATGGTTAGGGATCTTGAGATGAAGCTTCATGCCCCTACAGGTGGAGTCCTCCCAGAAGTCCTCAGAAACTTAAATACAGCAAGCATAAAAAGTGGGTTGGAAGACTCTTATTGGCGCAAGGATTAGATATAACTAGGTGTTAAAGCCAGCTCGCGGAACCGAAGGGTTGAGCTGGACCAAGTCATCAACAATGATCCTCTTAATCCTATGCAGTTCTGCCTCTGTAAGTGTTGTTTCTGCTAAAACAAAAGGATCTGGGACCCCAACATCTAATAAAATGTCTTCATCCTTGTCCTTGGGTCCTTCGGGCTGAGGATCATAGATTTCACAACTCTGTTTCCAAGTCCTCTTAAGCCATGTTCATGAGCTCATCAACTTTTTCCTTAAAGTTCTCAAGCAGGATAGCCGTAAATAGGTGTTCTGCTTCCTGCAATTTGTCCTCTAGTACATTAGAGGAGGCCTTAGACCCCCTGGGCTGGATGAGGTTTGATTACTTGTAGTTCCAAAAGGCCAGTGTGCTTTAGCTGTCGTTGCAAGCGTTGGGAAATCGGATATCGCAGCCTAAATAGCCCAAACCTTCCTTCTAGTAGCAACGCACTCGACATCCTACGTAATCGAAGTAAGGTCCCTTCTACCGACGGTGCTGAAGAAGGAGGACAAAGACCTTATCCTTGAGAATAGCCTTCTCCCAAGCTTCCAATGCAGGGCCGGTACAGACCTTGCTTATATGACCAATTTTTCCACAATCAATGCAGAGAGGGGAGGGACCATTTTTCCTGTGTAAGGTTTACGTGACATCTCCTTCTCATCCTGTTGTTTTCTGGTTTAACTACAGAGTACTTCCTTATAATTATTAAGGAGTCCTCCTGAGATCTCCCATCTCCTATTCTGGCTCCTTCTCAATCCCTTGGATCTGCTTGGCATAAGCTGTCTTGAATTCTGAGAAGTGATTTGCATGATTGCATCAAGGGTCTGCTCAAAACACTTGCAGAGTCAGACAATCTTCTTCTCCTTCTCTCTTACTTACTTGTCTTTCTCAGCTTCAGCTCTACTTTGTCAATATTGAGGATTTTGTAGTAGACTGCAGCAAGAGTGAACAATTCATTAGAGACTTCAATAAGCTTGATTCTTGTCCTGGTCTTGTTGAGAAAAGTGATTATATTATATAGTCTCATTTAATAACTAAATACAACTATGACTAGATAGAATCAGAACTGAAACTAATATGAAATTACTATTCCTGATATACTTGAAACCAGAACTAACTTTTTCACAGTTAAAAGTCACATTTAGTCTCAGTTCTAGCCTCAGTTATAGTTACACTACAACTGATATCTAATAATACAACATCTCTGTTCTTATTCTTGAGTTGTTCAGACTGAGAATTATAGATTTCACAAATCTGTTTTCAAGTTCTCTTAGCTAGATTCAGTTTGATGCACATTCTTGAAAACTCAATAGAAGATCATTAGACTATCTTTCTTGAAGTCTTTAGAGACCAGTTTCTGAAGAAGCGCACTGAGAAGAAGATCTCTTGCAAGCCTGAGATGGCCAAGTTAGTACAAAGAAACAGCAATCTCACAGAGTATTATCAGTTGAGGATCAAATATCTTAAGACAGTTAGACATCAAGAATGAGATTCTTCTGTTGAAAATCTTCATTGGAAAATGAATAAGAGATCTTCTTATTATTTTAAATGATTTAAAATATTATTTGAGTATTATCAAAAAGCATTACTTTTTTAAAAAATTAAAAATCATACTAAAATAAGCTTAAAAATATCTAAAAATAGTAATTTTATATCAAGAAATATCAAGATTGATATGGCCTGAGAAATACCAACTCTAGTGACTCTAGACTACGGGAATTCGCAGCTAACAGTGGTTGATAATGGTATACCCAAACCCGCCCTTTCCAGTAGAGGTGGCGAAGAAGTCTGAAGTGCTTAAAGGACAGAGAATTAGGCAAGTGGTTACAAAACGGATCATCATATAGTGAGAGTGACATGATACGTCTCTAGTACTGTGAGAGATAACCAGAGGGTCCTAGGAGTTCAGAAGGTTCACAGAGTCTCAGCTTCCAGTTACAGGCTTTCAGAATTCGCATGAATACCAAATGTTTTTACTCCATTGAGGACGTACCTGAAGCTTTGTAGAGAGTCTTTTGGGATATAAAGAAATACAGATGACACTTTCTTCCCGATTAATTCTACAGTATTGTCATGTTCTTCGGCTGTTATCTGGTTGCATGACACTCCCTGAGCCCGAAAGTGCGGTAAGAGCTTCTCAACACAGATATGTCCCGATAAACAAACAGCTGAACTAAGTTCTATATTCTGTACGAAGCTAAGGCAGTTCACAATGTCCCTAGTTCCATTTCTTTCACGAGGGCGGTATGTGGAATTGAGTGAGATCATTGTCCTTAATGGAGATTTTGAAATCACGATATAAGTAAGCAAGCAAATATCTGTGCAGTGCTTTTGAAACTTGAGGCAGATTTTTCAGGGTACGAAGATGGTTTATCTACGAAATTATGCTCTGAACTCAATTACCCCTTTCTGCCGGTAGTAGTTATACGGTATACCTCGCTGATGATCTGATTAAAAATCTCCAGCGGCAGATCCAGGAGCATTGTGACCAGTTAGCCAGGAGGTACTCCATCCAAGTGGAAATGCCGCATGATAGTGGTGGATTAAGGACATTTAGTTGCTGATATCTCGCCCGAGGGAGATCGCTGAAGTCTAAATAGAGATGAGGCTCAGGGCCATTTTATCACGTGAGTATTCTATTTTTAGCCTCAAAATCCTGTTCTGCAATTGAAATCACCCCAGCGTATGAAAAAGCCCTCACTGATTATGTTCGAATGGTACAGAATATTCATTTATCAATGTGAGAACCAAAGGCTGGGTATGCTCGCTGTGCCATTGATGGGTACATACCCACTACACTACCTTTAGGAGAATCGCTAATCTTTGGATAACTTGAGGACAATAGAAACTCAAATGATGAATATCGAATCTCCAACTGCACAGCTTACGCTAACTAAAGGAAGTATAGTATCAGCGAAGCAAAAAAGCGAAGGCAGCAACAACAAGGAAGAAGAAAATCCCAACGCCCTCCCAACAACGCCAGTCATGGAACAATTACAGGAAAAGAAACGGCCAAAGAGGTTTCAGAGTACAGATATATATATGCTATACGTATGTATGTATGCACGATGCAGAATGAAACGCGTGGAGGGATGAGGAGTACGAACATATCCAACCTCGGTCTGTAAGGCGAGGGGAAGATGGTGGGTGACTCGCATTTAAAACCTGTGTTTTGGAAATAGCCACACACGTTAGTTATTTAACACCCACAACAAGGCAAGCATGTCATCCGATATCTAGCCCCCATTCAACCAGTAAATTCGGAATTCATTGAAAGGAAGAGGGGCGGCAATCTTACCTGATCTCATAACTTCCCGCCCTAGTCATGTACCTTACCCATTTAACACTACTATAATTATTCTTCTCAAACACCTTCAGGTACCTCACCAACAGCCCGCTACTCGTGAACATAAGCAGACTAAACTCAAGACTGAGCGGCGGCCGACTCCATGCCTTCTGCTGTGTCATACTCGTCAACGTCGCGTCTGCGGTGAGTATACACTCGCTCTGGCCCGAGAATCGTGTAATCTTCCAGACAATATTATTCTGCTCTGGTTCATATTTCGCGCGTCCCTGACTCGTCCGTTCTATGATCTTGGCCGCATTGAGCGGGGTAGGGATGCGAACGATGACGTTAGTCGCGAACAGCTTCGAGCTGAAGTTGGCCTTGATGGCAATGCTGTATTCGACCTTAGTAGTGCCAATCTCACGCACGATCGGGTGAATCTTAAATGGCAGGTTCACGTTTTCCGTTGCCCGGTAGCGCATCAGCTCAAATTCCCCGTCAGGGGGAACGAAGGAGATGATACGGTCAGCGTCGAAACGACCAAGTTTCACGCACTGGTGGAACTGGCAGTCCTCCAGCGTAACGCTGCCTGCTGCCGCGCGTGTTGCTTTCGTTCTGCCATCCGATCTTCCGGCGCCATCATTGTTGTCGAGAAGTAACTTGTCATTCAGGCCAAATTTACACTCCGGCGTACCGGATAGATACGCTCGCATAACGATCTGGCCATTTACGTCAGCACGCAGGACGGTCCCGGTAGCCGACATGAGCAAGTTGACATCCTCAATAACGTCGACAAATGCCTCGTTCTTCCTGTATTTGATATCCGATCGGCGCCACGACAGGGCTCCCGTAGCTTGCATAGTAATTTTGCTAGAATCCGAGGGCGAGTTTGCAATGGCTGATTTGACGCCCTCTGTCGTAATGTACATTTTAAGGGTATCCGTTTCGGTGTTCTGGGGGTATCCAAAGTCAAGTATCTCTATTAATCGCTCAGGGAAAAGTAACCCACGAAAATTAGCCAAAGCTCTGTCAAGAGAAATTGGGCACATCCACTTCGACAAAGAAGATATATATAGCACCAACTCACCATCCAACAGCTCATAAACAAGCACGAAATTATTCTTCACGGCCTCCTCATCGAACTTCCCAAAATACCCCTTCCCCAACAACACAAACCGATACAGAAACTCAAACACCAGCGCCGCATTCACATTGCTCTTTGTCACCGCAACCAGGTATATATTCTCATGCTTGACATGGCTGAACGTCGTCGATCCCAGCGTTAGAATGGGTGAGCGAACCTGCGGGTTGGAGATGACCTGGATGCGGAATACGTCTGCGAGACGCGGGCGGCAGTCGTTGCGAAAGGCGCGGTAGATGAGATTCTCGCCCTTATGGTTGAAGATTAGGATGCCGGAGAGCATATTGATTGATCTGAGGGCGCCTGCGTTTTGCTCGTTAAAGGGACATTTGCTGTGATTGATTGGCAGGCGTGGAGGTTGCGGACGGACGGGCAATATTACGATACCGTAAAGTTTCGTAATAGTAGCTCCCGCTACAACAACGCGAGCGACGAACCCCTCCTAGATTCCACGTAACGGTGTTAAGCGCTGCGTACTCAATCGATCGTTTAATAAATATCTATTGATACATGTACTAGGCTTTAATTTACTACTACATTTATTTGTTAATACCTACTTCATAGTTCTTGTAGCTTGCTACCGTGCAGCACGTCATCAAAGGGCAGCATTGAATTTGGCCGCCGGTCCACTGAATTGAATATCATTAGTTAGAAAAACTCAGTGTTCAAAACATCGTCTTCTATTAGGCCATCGCGGCCATATAATGTGGGTATATGCTGGTATCTGAAGAATGAGGTAGGGGCGAATATTCGCCCAGAAAAAAAAGAAAAAGAAAAAGAAAAAGGAAAAGGAAAATTAAAAAGCAACTCTAACAATCAGGGAGGAAAGAAAAGAAGGTAACGAACTAGAGAGAAGATAAGAAAGAAACTCCCAAGAAGGAATATGCGATGGTGCTTTTTGCCGTATGCAATATATAATCAATAACACCCCCCCAAAAAAAGATAGAAAGACAGGAAGAAAAAGAAAAAGAAAAAAGAAAAACAGAATCAACAGCGAAGAAAAGGAACTCAGACCCGCCCGATAGGTAGAGTCGCCATGATGCCAGCACGCAAAGGAGGGAAATACGAGGGTGGAAACTGGAGGTGGAAAAGCAGCAGCAGGAAAAAAAATTAACGAAATGGATATCGTAAGATTAGATAACGTATAAAATAACGATACGAAACGAGGGAGGAATAAAACAACATTTTCATCATCTGTTCGATGGCGGGAGGAAGTGGTGTTCGGCATCACGCTCTGCAGTGTCAGGCCTCATGCCCGTAGCAGATGCCCCATCGCTCTCGACGATGCCAACTTTCGGGTCCGGAATCTGGATGTCGATAGACATATAGCCCGTGCTCCGTAAACTCCAGATCTTCACGCCTTCTCTGATACCAACACTGGAATTCCAGTGCTCAAGCCACTGCTCAATGGACTTCAGGTGACTCTTGACGCCTGTAGCCCCGAAGTCATCCCAGATCCAACCTGTTGCTAGTCCAATTGCACCGTCAAGCCAGTTGCGTGCACTGAAAGGGTCGAATGAAGTAATTAGTTCGTCGTTTATCTTCGCGATAACGGTTCGGAATTCATGCTCTGGAAGCAACGGGTCAAGGATTTCGGGATATAGGTTCGAAAACGTGGGTGCGAGATCACCCTTGACCATCCAATCGCGTCGTATGCGGATGATTCGAGTGTTTTGGTATTCCAGAGAATTGACGGGGACGTGTGGATTCATATGTGGGAAACAAGGGTGTGAAGGGCCCCAGGCTAATTCTTCCGCGACATCGCCATCTGCACCACCGCCGCCTGAAGAATGATTGCCGTTGGTAGAAGGGATGGAAGCAAACGTCTGTGATCGCAAAGAGTGTTGTGATGGAACTTCCCGAGGGCGGTCTGGATGGGCTCCAGCAACCTGGTGAGTGTTTAACCCGTTGGTTCGCAAGTGAGTGGGGTCTGGCCGGCGAATATTATCTGCATCTCCTTGTCTCACCCCTGTACCTTGATCTAAATTGTTGACCATATTAATGGTTTCCCACACACCACTGCGTCGATGGCCGGGAGGAAGCCCGATACTTGCGCGTCCACTCTCTGTATCCGCGACGCTGCGCTCAACCAACAAACTCGTTGGACTGGGTTGTTGGCGACTGCGCCGCTGTTCCGGAATGGTCAGCAGAGGATAAGCGTCCCGTTGTGATTCGACGTAAGGAGAGGTGTCGGAGATCGGAGAAGGGCGTGGAGCGGTGACGAAGGTTGTGCGGGGGACGTAGTTGATGGGATTCCAGAGCCTGGACGATGGCGGTTTGCGAATACTTGTGCGAATGGATGAGAAGAGAGAGCGTCCGTGGGAGTTGCGGCGTTGGTGAGGGGTATGTGCTGCTCGTCGAGGGGGGGGTTGGTAGGCGGGTTCTGGAGGTTGGAGGGAGGACGCAGCAGAAGAATTGTTCGTGAAAATGGGAACGAGCGGGATATCGGTGTAGGGCCCTTCTTCAGCCGGCCGCGATGATAGATAGCGTGGACGGTGAATGGCGTAGGACGCCGTGGTTGTTGTCGACGACACGGAGAGAGCGTCGTAAAGGGGTTCTGCGGTGGTGTCAGGCGAGGGTGAGGTTGGCGCTGTTGCTGGTGAGGACGAGACTGGCGGAGGCTGCGGGCGGTGATTGGCGACAGCAGAAGCCGAGAAAGGGGCTTGGGGGAAGGCCTAGTAGTAGTACTCAGCGTAGAAGGGACAAGCAGCAGCAGCATGCCTACACAACCACAACTCAGCAGAAATGGACACTGGTCTGGTCTGGTCGGAATTGAGGAGAAATGGGGCAAATGAAGGCGGAAAATATGGTTGAAAAGGTTTCAATGAGTGAGTGTAGGGCAGGGGGGACGGGGAATAAAATGATAAAAAAAGGAATGACAATCGGGAGTAGTAAAACCAATAATAATATATCGGAAGAAATAATCCAAGCAGCACCACCACTCAGTTCCACTTCACGGTTTAGCATCAGAGAGAAGATCCAGGCAATAGTTCCCCACAACGATGTCCATTCCGAGCGAGTGGTAAAGTCGACCTTAACAGAGACCGCGATAATCCAAAAAGGAGCTGCAGTTAGTTCAGTTGGTCGAGCTTAAGCAGTCGAAAACTGACCTATCCTGAACAACACGATCAACTCCAGTGGCCACCGCAAATAGCTCAAACCAATGCTCTGGCCAAGCCCACGATCATTCGTTCCTGTGCTCCCGGAGGCTGATATGACAGCATTAATATATTGGACAGATCCTATTTTTTTTTTTTTTTTTTTTTTTTTTTTTTAGGCCGGTTTCAGGTCTCGCGCTCCCCGTCCCAGGTATTGGGATATATCATATGTCTCTCCTTCAATATAATGGCTGAGAAGAGCCTACGAGAAGACTTACAAGAAGACTATGGAGATTACGGGACTAATTATCTTCTTATAACGCTGGCTGTGGGAGGAGAAGCAGGGTCCATAGGGATGGGCCACGCAGCTGTGACCGCAGCGCCCTTGCACCGCTTGCGAGCTCGCGTGGATGAACGCATACTGTCCCCACCAAGCCGAGAACATTTTTTTAGGATGATTTTAGATCTACCGTCAGCTTCCAGCAATCAGCTAAGCTGCCTGCTAGTCTGTGACAGTGTGAAAGAAAGACGCATTCCGCCTGGTTTCAAATAATATTATAAAAAATGTGAGCGTTTGATCCCTTGGGTGCTATACATCTACGCCTTACCACGCAAAGAAACACTTATTAACATAATACATCAGGATCCTGAATATAACCTGGTTTGGCTGTACAGGCTGTACCTGCCGAACGAATGTCAGGAGTCTGTCGTCTGTCCTTCACCACGCAGCCCACCCAGGGTCCAGCAAACTGCCAAAGTCGCACTTCGGTCTCAGTCCGGCGTGCGCTTACGCTGCGTAGTTTGCTCGAGTTTCCAAGCAGCATGGATGCATGGATACCTGCATCAGAGACCAATAACGGAAAGGCATGGCGAGGCCTCCGGAAGCCATTCCAGGTCTCCCCGGCACCCGCCTAGCTGGGTATGGTTCTGAACCATCACCGCACTAACTGCTGTTTAAAACGGTGCAAAGCCTCCCCAAAACCGAGAAGCAGGACGGCTACTCGAGGGACAAACCCCTTGTGAATGTTGGCGTCTTGCTCTCTCCTTTTATGTCCTTTAGGCTTTTTGACAGCAATAATAATATCTTCGTATCGTTCGTCGTTCTGAATACTATTAATAGCAGCAAAACCTACCAGCCGCAGCCGCCTGCAGGGGCCGATGAGTTTGTACAGGTATTTCCCCAACGGCTAGAAGCATACATACATAATACATAGTACATACATAAAAACCGTGCGTGGAAAACGGTCGCCCTGCATCAACCCAATATTAATGCCCACTCCTCTGACCATTCCATTCCTTGCCTGGACTAAATTATGCATGCAAGCTGTGAAAAATCACCGGTCTCCTCGAGCGTACGGAGTACAGGAGGCTAAACCTACTCCCTAGATCGAGGCTATTGGAACGGGAGCCCTGGGGGGCGAGATGTCACAATGTTTTCTTTTTTTTTAAAAAAAAAAAAAAAACGGAACCGCTCGCTCCTCTTTGGATGAGAAAGCTAGGGCTCCCGTGCCTGTGGCCTGGGCTCAATAGTCTTCGCTAGCGGCTGCAGGCGGCTGATATGTCAGTGGAGGCTCCACATCGCGGATTTTCTCTCAGGAACAGGAAATTTTTATCACGCCGGTGGATTTCCAACTGCCGGAAAGCTGCGAGCTACTGGCATGCCCAGTAGTGCTTTCCTTTCCTCCAACTGGAAATATTTTTCATAAGATAAGATTCACACGTACGGCGTATAGTTCCTGGGGGAAATCCTCCTGCATGATCTAACCTACAAATCGTGTCATGACTGAGTTTTATCTGCCCTGCGCGACGGCTATCCATCTGTCGATATTTAATATTAACTTATAAAACACCTCTCTAGAACATGGCCTAGTAACGCATTTTATTAGTGGCTCTTTTCTGCTCTCAGTGCTGCTTTTGCACCTGTTGCTCACCACTTTTAAATCACAAAGTCAGCAGCTTTCTCTATATAAATATCATGATGCCGCACAAGAGCTTTCTACTTCAAATAAATACTATTTATCATCTGAACACTTTTCTCTTGCTCTTAAGTTCTTTTTCTGGCGAAAATTTAGTTCTCACAGATTTACTACTGCTCTGAGCTAAATAAAGAATCCTTTCTCTATAATTTTTGAAGCATTAACTCTAACATGTATTGTGTAACACTGGCCAAGCAGTTATTTCACTATCTTGTTCAAATCACTGTAAATCAGAACAATATTCTTTTCAATACATTAATAAGATGTTCTTATCAAACACTTCTATTGAATCTCTTTGAACCATGGATATATTTGATGTATGTATGTATCAATACCTTTCCGCGCAGCAAACATTCTGAGTCAGGATAAGATGACAATCAACTGATAATAACAGTTACACATTATAACCTTGGAAGTTATAATACATGACATTTTGATTAAACCCTGCATGAACAATAAGACAGACACCTTCCAAAATCTTTCTGGAACATGCTGAGATACCTGAATCAGAGATGATAGTTTGCCCCCGTCAGACACCCCCCTGACTTGCTACCGGGGGTAGCCTGGTTAGGTACATGTACATGTATGTACATGTACATCCATACATGTAGCTATCCATGCATATTTGTAGTAAAATTTGATTATGGAGGGGCCCCGGGCGGCGGCTAGAAACTCATCTCCACCCCTGAAGCGGTATCTTCTATTGCATTTCCTATTGTGATATATATGGTTCCATATGGCCTGGCTACTGCGTAATCGCCCCATAAATTGATTATCCAACTATAGCTTCCCCCATTAGATAGAGACTGGGATAATGAGACCAGTAATCTTGGTCTGTAGCACAGTGTTTCTAGCCGCACCTCTACGCTGTATGTACAGCCCCTATGAGTACTACTTACTGCCTTGCCCCGATCATTCGTCCCAACGAGTGAAATGGATTCTCCGCCCTTGGCGCCTCCGAGGCACACCTTCGCTTTAGTTAGATAGAGGGGATATTACAACTGTTGACGCGAGTATAAAATGAAATAATGAATGTAAAAGCAGTGAGCAAGGCATTAACCAGTATTAAGGATTTATGCTCTCAGGCCCATCCATAGGAAGTTAGGGTAGAAAGAGCAGGCGAAATATGGAGGACTCCTGAAATGACCCCCAAAACCCATATATGTCATGTCGGATCTTCGCAACACTCCAAACCTCTGCAAATAAAAAGACTTGGTTTGGACAACTGTAGTTAGCCAATGGTACTTGATTTAGTCAAAGGAAAAGCGTGTGCGCATTCCCAGATTCCCTAAGATCTCCTGTTCTCCGCACTCCTAGCGGGTTATAGGTAAGGCTCAATTAAGCGACTATAGTTCGTCTGCATGTCAGATTGATTGTAGTGGGATATATGAAATCTTATTATTGGAGTGAGAAACGACGTACGCGCCGAAACCAGCCCTTGGAGCGCTATACGCTGTCTGTCAGATTACAGCACAGATGCACTTTCGAGAATTGAGTAGGATAGCCTGATACATAGCCTTTTCACAACTCTACTGCCTATTACAGGGTGACATGTTATCATGACATGATTGTAACTTAGCAAATTATCATATATCTACAGTACAAAATGATGCAATCCCTTCGTGCTTAAAATATATCATCACCTTCCGCGAGCACCCTACCTACCCCCCGCAAGACCAAAAACCAAACGGCAAGCAATCATACATAAAACAAAACAGTTACTCCACGAGAGAGGGCAAAATTAGTAAAAGAAACTAGAGCTTCATCCCTCTCTGAAAAGAAACAGACAAAGCCCCTTAGACATGTTTATTCGCCGCCGCCTGCATCCGTCTCAGCGCCTCGTTATGCACATATTGTAGATGCCCCTTCCTCACCGCCTGTTCTATCATCGAGGTGCGATGGCTGTCCTTGATAGCCTCCTTCTGTCTCCTCAGCTGACTGCGCTGCAGCTTTTTGAGCAGATCGGCCCGGCGTGTCTCCAGAGCCGCATCTGGAAGGTGCTTTACCAGGTTTTCTTCCCTGAACGATTCACGCCAGCGAGCAAGTTTCGCCTCACGGACCTGTAGTAAATCCTGCTCTTGTGCATGGTCTTGATATTGCCGTCGGGGAGTAACTAGAGACATGTTGTCGAGAGATAAATAACTGCAAAGAGATGTGCGGCGGTGTCGGCCCGGTGGTGTTTGCGCCTGGTTTTGGGTGTGCATGTCTCGATGGATTAACTGGCGACGCACGGAAAGAGGAAGGTCGTCGGCAGATTCAACGTTCGAGTGGTGCTGGTGGGAGGGATGTGGAGAGAACGATCGGCATGCGGTTTGTGGTGGTATCTTGAGAGAGAGTTGGGACTGGGACCTAGAAAGGCGGTCGAGGTTTGGGGATGAATAGTTTGAAGGAAGTAGGAGGGATCTGTTGCGAACTGCGGTCTCACGCTGCGCAAGTAGTAGAGAAGACGGCATGCGGAGTTTTCTGGTCGGTGGGCTCCGGTCGTGTGCTTTGTTCATTTCCGGTATACTGTTAGCGGGGATATAGATTGATGGGATGGATGAAGCGGGTCTTGTCCCATTCCTATCCGATTGCCCAGCTACATTGAGTGTGGAGCTGGACCCTGAGCGGTGTAGTGGATGAATGGGTGGGGTTTTAGAACGGTTTGTAGAGTTGGAAGATTTAACAGGTGATGGAGCTGGAATACTGTTGGTCGTCTGGAAGCCAGTATATGACTTTCTAGGGGAACTCGGTACAAGTCCCAGGTCTTCTTCGTGATGAGACCTGGAAGAGGCTGAATTATCTGTATCGAACCCCTGAAACGGCAAGGCTCCCGTGGCGGTTTGTTTAAGCTCTGATACTAACACAGGGGCAGCTGGTTCATCTATTTCCGCATCTTGCTCCACCTCATCAGTTTCCCTGATTTCTGGAGGTTCAGCATCGGAGATATGTTTAGCCCATTCGTTTGTCCTGTGGGAGAGTACTGCTCTAGACATGTGATTGGCGATGCTGTCCACTGACTCCGATGTCAACTTCGCTCTTGACGGAAGCGCCGATTGCATTTTCGACAATCTCTTTGGGACAGGAATGCTCGACATAAGAGATCCCGAAGCGTCGCTCGGTTTATCGTGCTTATCTGACGTTCGCTGATCAGCTGAAATACTTTCAGTAACAGGCTCGACAGCGACAGATGCACGCGTTGAAGTGGATTTTTGATCTACCGTTCCTGTGCTAGACTCGTCCGACTCGGGCGAAGGGATATCGGTTGCCGGGGTCTGGTCACTTTCACTTGAGTAAACACCGGCATTTTCATCAAACTCTTGATTCCGGTTAGCTAGCCTTGGGGTCTTCTTTGGAGTGTTGTAGTCTGCCCATCTAATTTTGAGCACAGGGGCAGGTGCATTGTTTATTACAGCTCCTTCGTTGTCATTGGTGCTGTCCAGAACAGATGAATCAGGCTCCGTGATGAAGGTCGGTTCAGCCGTCCCTTGAAAATTAGAGTATACAGAAGATGGACTGCATAGTGTACCGCTGTCGACCTGCCGGGGTCCCACGTTATAATCGAGTTCTTCATTGGCTTCCACTTTAACGGAAGAAGAAATGCTCCGAGTATCGTTAACGAAAGTGAATCCGTCACCGTCGTCACCTTTGAGGTTGCCCTCCATAGTCTGCTCAGGTTCTGAATGTCGGAGTAAATCCCCAGAGGCCATTTCAGTATGCACGCATTCCATGTAGTCCGACTCGGCCAACGAGGCCGCAGCTGAACTACACTCATCATCCGCCCTAACTTCAAAAGGATTGGCCCTAACTGAGTTAGTAACAGTATTGGAAGGGACGAGCTTCTCATGATCCGCAGGTAATTCATGCAATCCTGGCTGGTGTCCAGGGGCTATATTCGGATTGGTGTCCTGTGCATCCTCGGAAGAAGACCCATTGGACAGAGGAGTATCGGATTGAGTAGCTGAAATCAATGACTGAATCGGTTTCCGTGATCTGGTATCTCCAGCTGGCCTATGCAGCGCATCCATTTCATAAATCTGGGTTTGCCCCGCTGGTGTTCTATTTTCTGGCGTCGCCAAGTGCCTTTCATGATCTGCCGCCTGCTCGATGTCAATCCCAGAATCGTTTGGTGGCCGCTCCTGGCCGCCATATATAGATTCCCACTGAGCTCTATCTCGACTCGTGCCCTCTTCCAAATTTCTCGCTATCTCTTCTTCAATCTGGTCACGCTTCTTTTGTTCTTCTTCCAGTAAAGCGGCCTCTTTTCGCCGGCGATCTTTAATCACCTTCCACAACTTGGCTTGAGATAAAAGGCCCATCAGAAAAATTGCAACGATGCCTGCAAGCTCCGCTCGAATTCCTCGGGTAATAGGATAGGTTTTTGTGTTAGACGGGAATACTTTCTCATTTAGTTCTGCAAGCGCGTTAGAAAAATTCGCAAGCGTCATGTATACTAGGGATCATACCCCATAAATAAACCCAGAATTCCTTCAGACCAGCCCTGCTAAAGCAGTCAATGCCTAGAATCGCAGCTGTGGAACCGGAGAAAGAAGTCGAGAAAATTAATGCATATGGACGTGTACGGTGAATGAATGACAAACTGTAGAGACCGATGGTAAGGCTTATAATGAAGGCTGCCTTATGGCCGACCTCTATGAGGAGGCCACCCGGTTTCATTGGAAGAATCCACATGCTCAGAGAGAATCCGCCAAGTAAACACCCAAACCCTTCTGTAGCCTCCTGGAAAAGTAAGGAAGTACCCCCAAATACTATACCTGTTACAGTAGCTGCAACAACAAAGGCTCCTTGCACGGCATCTCTAACAGGGGGTTGCATGAGATAAATAATGAGAGCCTAGGACGGAAGTTTAGCAAGGAGTGCAGGCTGTTAGTTGGAATTCAAGGTACATACTGTCACGGCAAGGGCTGTTGAAAATGCCACAGAAAAAAATATCTGAATCCTTTTAGAAGGGTTAGCAATGCGGTAAAGTAAGGGGGCAGTCGAAGAGATCTCAACCATTTATTTCTGGTCCCAATCAATGCATGTACCCCGCCTGATATAATAAGCACAACGCCGGCAATTGACAACCCCGGGGTTATTTTCGGACGAAGGGGAAGGGCGTTTGGATCGAGCTCAGTCCCTACTCAGTATTAGTGAGGTTCGCGAAGCTGAACCGGGATGATTCACCATTCAAGAAGGAAAGGTCAGAGGGGCGCGGACTTTCGGTAGATGATGTATCATTTCCGATGCTAGTGGTAGCGTTTGTATCTATTTTCGATGTTGGAGTGCCGGACACAGCATTTACTGATGCCACGGCTTTCGAAGGCTTGCTGGAAGCGTCTGGCGATAATGTCGTTGTAGGTGTGCTTTTAGTAGGTAATACCGCATTGACATCTTGTCTTGGATAAACCTCAATTCCACCAACGTACGCAGGTCCTATGATGCCTATTGAATAGAGGACTAGGCATATAAAACTGGCTCGCATGTTGAACTACTCTTGAAAGTTCGCGGTAGCAGGGACGAAAAAGTCGACGCCTTAAGAACCCACGCAGGTTGTTTAAGGAAAGAATAGAACTCCTGGGAGTCACCTGAAACTCGAAAAAAACCAACGGAACAGAGAAAGGAAAATTAAATCATTCTAGCATGAGATCCAGGTAGTTTAGGCAAGGTTCGATGTTTATTTTCCCTGAGGGTACGACGCTATTTCTAACCCGCCCAAGCGAGGTGTAGAAGATGGAAGAAACTGCTGATCAACATCACACAAAATCCGAACGTGTCTCGGGAATTTCGAGCTTTCCGCTTTGTTCTTTGCTGGAACTCGATAGGACTGCGAGTTCTGTTTATTTCTCTTGTATTCCTCTAGGAAGCGGTTGGATCAAGATCCGTCGGACCGACACCCAGTAGCTAAAGTTTGGGATAGGCCAGGGAAGGAACCTGCTATGAAGGTTCCCATTCCGGGATTTTTCCACGACAAGTCTCTGGCTTTCAGGGCATAGAGGGGGTATAAGGGGGAATGGTGGTGCCAGACTAGAAACCTGAGTGACGCGCATATCTTGGTGCGTCATCATCACCAATCGGTCGATTTAAGCCCAACGTGAGCCAGTAAACAGCAGGCCAGCGGAGAAAATCACATATGCAACACAAGAAACGCAAGCTAGGAATAAAAGGGGGAAATAAAAGGGGAAAAGTCACCTCAGATCTAATGGGAGTGCGCCATCAAATCAAGTGTTGCAAAAGCGTCCAGACTGTCTTCAAGCCGTGGAAAGGCTGGAAAAAGACATTCTTCTCCCTTCAGCCACCAATTCCGCTGGGCCACTATGGAATCGACAAAGCCAGTATCCGAAAATATGGCCATTTCGGACTGTCAAAGCAGGTGATAGGAAATCTTTAGCACCAATTAGGGGGAAGATGGTAGTTAATCACCCAAGTCTTCAATTTTGGCCTGAGTTTCGCAAGGGCCAACAAGGGCAAAATGAACCCCCATCCCGATACTCCGTAGTAAAGTTTTAATAAATAGTTCAGCCACCGGAGCAAGAAGCCGACTGTGACTGTGATACGGACAATCCAACCCTGTCATCACAGAATCAGCTCAGCATTATTTTGGTTGGAAACTTAAAAGGGTGTAGAGAGTGCGGTGTTGACGACGAAGTCCCCTCGCCTCCGTGAACAGCTTGAAAACCGACGTCAATGATTCGATTTGAAGCAGGGAAAATTAACGGTCCGCGATGTAGGGTAACTAGGCCCTGCATACATACATCTGGGCTTTGCAGCGCCCATGAGAAAACGTGGACGAGTACCGGCTGAGTGCTTCGGCGCCATAATGGAACAAGCATTGACCAAAAATAAACAATGTTTATTTAGCTTGGAAGTTATAACTAGGGCTGGGGACTGCTGATCAACACCAAAGTGTCGTTAAATCCTCACTTGAGTTTCAGTTAAGATCTCCCCCGCACCACCTCCGCAGATAGGCAGCGATAGCGCCTTCTGTCTCAGCTTCCAGGTAGTGTTATGGACTGTTTCCAGGGCTTATCGGGGTATCATTCCCCAGTTCAGTTGGAGCAGCTACACACTTTCAAGGCCTGGAAGAAGAATTCTCTGGTGCCCTACTATGCGTACAAACGGATTGTGCCATATGCATGCTGTGCAACGCCCTCATTATTCGCAGCTTGTGCGTAACTATCTCAATGCCTCTACAAATCATGTCTCTGAATGCGACGATATTTCGTGATGCAATCCGGGTGGCACGTTATAATCCCCGCAAATACGGATAACACAGACAGACACATAAAATCGAGCGGACTGGAATGCTATTACCACCAAATATTGTCACCCTTGCAGTTTGGCTCGGGTATATCAGAATACCTCGATCTGCTCGTCCTGTTAAGTCGGCCTCAGTCAATCATTTACGACGACTGACATTATCACAACCGTTTAGGGCCGACCATGAGGGGAACTGCCACAGTTAATGACCGAATAATGTGGAGGCCGCGGCCCATTCTTCGTGGTTATCTTGCTGTCCCGGCCTCGATGGGAATATACGAATGTGGGAAGAAAACTGTACCGGAGGAAGCTCTCTAAGTGCATCTCACGCAGCTTTTCCCATGGAATATCCGACCTATCGTCCCATTTGTCAAGATTGTGGATGGTTAGGTAGGTTCCACTGACAACCTGGTGATGGCTTCCCGACAAAAAAGCTTGTCCAAGCCGAGACCTTGAACACTGGGATGTTAAATTATCCGCGTTGTAGAGCAGGGCAAACCATTGCTTCCTCCTCTGCCCTGGCCTTGAGATCCGAGCGCGATATCACAGCAGGAACTTGCCTGCTCATTCCTCCTAGCTCAAGGATAGCCAAAAAATATATCCTCGTCCGAGACGATGGAAGGGTTCCGAACTTGCATAACTTACTCCCCGCAATTCCGCGAAAAATTTGGGATCGAGAAAACAAGCTCTTCTTCCGATGTCTCATTCAATTCCTTGTTTCACAACCACTACAGGATAAAAGTACTGGCGAGCTTTATGAGACAGACACGTACGTACATGTAATGTACATGCATACATTTTATATTGGCAGAACCCCTCAGATGAGGGTGATGCAAGGACGGCTACCCCGCATCGATGACGCTCAGCGTCGTCGTCTATCAATGGACAATACCACAGATTCAAATAGGTGTGTTAAATGCGGTTCCTACTCATAGTGAAAATAAACCTAGCGTTCCCTTCATTGTATTGTTGACCGACGAGAAAATAATCTTGTGAGGTCTGTCACAGATGTCTCAAGGATTAATACGTAAACAAATAGCCAAAATGATAAGGTAGAAAACGTTCGTTCGCTATTTGACTAGGGGAGGCAATGTTGAAACATCCCTCTCGTGAACAATACCTCGCCCCCTTCTAAACGGAGGAAGGGTGTTGTTCCCTATGGGGAACCAGTAATCAACAGGCACACCTCCTGTTCAGATAAGGTTGCGCACCAGATGCAACTTTCTGCACTCTGGCTTAGAGTGCTTCTTCGGTCGCGTGCGGAATGATACGAATAAGTAATTAAGTAGACAGGAAGCTCTGTAACTACCTTTCGTTAGCACATCCTTCACACGAGCACCCCTCTATCCCACAGCCTCAGTGACTGAGTCCAAAGTAGTGAACGAACATGAGGATGAGAAGGCGGTGCATTTCGCTGGCAAAGCCTGGATAATCCGGCCGCTGGATTGCTTAATATGGAAATTGACAGAGTCCTGTGTGCAGTGTATATGATCCACTCCGCTCGCACGAAGAATGATAAATATTATTTTGGGAACAAACGGGAAGATAACAGAAATTACGACATCAGTGGGGCAATACATATTTGCGCCTACCAATACGTTATTTTTGGGCTGGCTTTGCTAAAGAAACGAAGCGGCTCGTTGAATTGCAATGCATCCATCCATGTTTAAATATAATAGCCTGTCCCGGATTCAAGGGCAGCCGGTCCTGATGGATATCAAATTTCGGATTATTTCGTGTGCGCGTCTCCTTCATTTTCGAGAGTCCAGCAAATCCCCTTAATAAATAATCAGCTCTTCCACCCGAAGTCATGCGACTCTTAGCAGCGGTCACGGCAGTATGCCTCGCAGGCATAAGCATAGCAGCCGCGACCCCGAAGGCCGAAGACATAGTCAAGACGGTCAAGATTATGCCGCTGGGAGATTCGATAACTGGGTCTCCGGTAGGCATGGCATCCTCAACTCCCTCGGATGTCTATCGCATTTGTATTCACAGGCGATATGGACCATGGGAGTCTGTCTTGAGTTGAGTTGAGTCCGCTAATTGCTCTCGATGAATTTAGGGTTGTTGGCGCGCTCTGCTATGGAAAAAGCTCCAGGATGTTAATATTACCAAAACGGATTTCGTGGGATCAACCGGGACATGCTTGCGGATTCGATTATGATAGTGAAAAAGAGGGTCATTCTGGTTTTAAGGCGACGTAGATTGCCACTAAAAAGCAGCTTCCTCCGTGGCTTAAGAAAGCGCAGCCGGACATTGTCATGATGCATCTTGGGACGAATGACATGTGGAGGAAGGGCAGTCCGAAGAATACTATAAAAGCATTCTCTACTCTGGTGTAGCAGATGAAGAAAAATAACCCAACTATGGCTATACTTGTAAGTTACTCTCCTCTCAGGCGATTGACGCGCAGGTCCAAAAACCCCGATGTCCAATCGCATGGGCCGCACGCAATTTTCTCTTGTATATCTCTAACTCCACTCCCCAAAGGTTGCGCAAATAATCCCCATGGATCCCCGTGACCGCAAAGGCTGCAGCAAAGCTGCCAGACAGCTCAACCGAGCCATTGAGAGATGGGCGCCAACGAAATCGACAGAGAAAAGTCCGGTCATGTTGCGGACTGCTTCACGGGCTTTGACGCAGGAAAGACACCAGAGACGGCGTCCATCCAAATAAGTCTGGAGACAAAAAGCTTGCGAATTGCTGGTTCGAACCGTTATCGGCCGCTATTAAACAAGTTAATGGCAGGGAGGAGGAATCGACCTGCAAATATTGAACTTGGAAAGTGGATCTCAAGAATATTCGAGCGTTAGGGTGCATATTTTGAGTCATTAGATATTTCTGTTAAATCATTTGGCGCCTGCACAGTGGGACGGTGGTCTTTGTTTATATACTGGGCCTCATCGATGTGGGCTCTTGGGTAAAATTGGCTGGAACCAATTTTGGTTCAAATTGGATAATACATTTGGTAAAATATGCAATGTCCTGTAAACATGGAATAAAGTACCATTTTCGAGCTGGATGAAATGTATCTAAGCCTGCGCTCCTGAATATTGGAAGTTGATATCCTTGTTTCCCCTGAATTATCTCAGCGGGCTCAGACCCTCTGGCTCGGTTTGAACGGGTTGCAGCATTATTATTAACTAGTTAATCTGGCATGACACTAACCTACTTTTGATACAAGTCATGTGCTCAGAGCAATCCTCACCAGAGGGTCTGAGAAGAAATGGTTCCATCTTCAATGAAGATTTCTGAGATTTACAAGGATTTTTCAGATTCTTCAACTTTGACTTTCTATTACTATATACTCACATATCTTTGAGATTTGAAAATCACCTTAGCTTATAGCTAAAGAGAAGAAGAATAGAAATATTTCTTTAATATTTCAAAAAAATCTATATTTAAGATAGATGTATACTCTTGAAAATGATCATATTTTTTGATCTCAGAATTTCTAAGAGCTTTTTTTTATATGAGGAATTGGATCAAAATTCCTGTGTTCAAAAACACACTGATCAACTTTGAGGTGATACTTCTATTCTAAGAACTTGAGATATGAATATAAAAATCAGATACATTGCGAGAACATTGTTATTCTAAGGTTTCAAGGTGATACAGAAATGATGAATCTATGAAGTTGAGTTGAAATTCTCTTCCATACTCAGAGTACTGAGCAAATCCTTCCTGTGTTGCTAACAATCAGGAACTGTTTCTTCTCAGATACTTTGCAAGATATCATCACTCACATGACCTGATTTTACTATTTGGGTTAGCTTATTGCTTATTTGAGGTTAGCTCATGACATAATCATCAATCCAGTGTTAAAACAGCAATGAATATCTGGAGAAGCGTCTGAGCTTGCTGAGATAACCCCTGAAAAGCTTTGATACAAATATCACATGACTTCCAAGTTCTCCTGGATATCACGTGTAACGCGTTCGGAGCTATTCCGATATAGAAATAAACCAAACAACCACAATCCTCAGTAAACATCATATTCCGCTCCCTACAAGCAAGATTACCTCTACGTAATCACTACTACCATCCCACAACTCAAAATGCGCGGCCTATCCACCTTCCGTCCACTCTTCCGCGCCCCGGCCACCTCGCTCCCTACGCGCAACTTCAGCACCACCCGCCCCAATGCGCTCGCACGTATCAACATTGTCGGTAACCTCGGAAGCCCGCCAGAGTTGCGCGCCACTTCGTCAGGCCGCGAGCTAGTGACCTACTCTATAGCAACCAGTTACGGACCCAAGGAGGATCGCCAGACAAGCTGGTGGCGTATCACAAGCTTCGCGCCCGATGGGCCCAGCAGAGATCATTTACTCAACCTGCCAAAGGGGTATGTTTTCGTCGTTTTACATTCACGTGTGCATATATAGAGAACCTGGTCTTCTCGAGGCAGTGACACCTGTTCGAACTGGTTCTATCCGTTCCTCCACTCAATGTTCGATGGCTAACTAAATCTCATTACCTGTTACAGCACCCTCCTATACGTAGAAGGCGACGCCAGCATGCGCTCATACGAGGACGCAGAAGGGAAGAAGAATTCTGCCCTCAATATCACCCAACGTCCGTTCCCTCCTTCACCGACCTGTGTCCTCTCTATTCCTTATATCCTACCCCTTTATTTCTCTCCCATTCTCCGTTGCACCTCTTACATACGACATGACTGACCAAAAGCTCTTTTGGAGTCTCACAGGACACTACGAGGTTCTTAAGCGCGGATTCAGCGAGTAAAGTAGACGAAAGTGAATGGGTTATCCGCGTTGTTTGATTAAGTGTTCGGTTAATTTTTATTCTGGGCGAATGTGGATGGGAGCTTAGAACGGGCCTTTTTGCCCACTTGACTACTATCAATTATGCAAATGGTATGCATGATATACGCGTACTGTTTTATGGGCGGCGGTATATGAGCTTTTGATGCATATACAGATATTTTTTCCCTCTGCAGCTCTCCTCGAACTCTTATCTTGTATATTATTTCTATGCGGGAGAACTTAAGGGGGGGTTTGGCAAAGCGGGTAGGTAACATAGGGAGCGACACCACCTAAGATCATTTTGCCCGTTGCTTAATTCTTTTTAATCAATGATGTTTGTATGAGTAGGCTGCTTCTTCCATTCCAACTCTTCAGATTAAGTCTCTTCGTCAGCGGCTATCTACAATTTCTTGTCGAGCAGGCGTTGCCCTAGGCTTCACAGGTATAGATATACTACGAAAACTAACGAAGATAAAGCAGAAAAGCAAACGGAGAGCATCGGGGTTTCCATGAGATTGAATATTTCTTGTTTGACGCTCCACATATACTCTAAGGCAAATCAGAGACAAAACTAGGGCCTACAGAATCATGCCAAAAGGACGGGGAACACGATGGGAATAGAAATGAACGTGGACGTAGCAAGGTGGAGGAAATACTGAGGCCGGCGAAAAATGAGTTTAAAAGGAATTTGGTGTAGGTTACCCTCTGGGCGGGTGAATCCATGTCAGGTGTAAAATTCCGACTCCCGTCCCGTGAATGATCCACATCCTCCATGGAAAGGACCAAACAATGCACGCCGGCCGCCTCTCCAGTTTTCCGCTGACATTTGAGGAAAACGAATTAAATCCAGAAGAGCAGCTCAGGGGAGAGAGACAAAAGAAACTCGCCGAATGCAATTTACATAAAGAAATATGGTAAAACAAGGATTCATGTGCAGTGCTTGTGTCTCGGCAAGCACAAGGGTTGGAATAAAAGGGATTCCGCAAATATGTAACTACAGATTGAGAATCAGGGGGAGGGATGTGCGATATGGAAAAGGAGAGACTATACCAAACAAATATACAAAAGAAAATATCAATAACCCGATCAACTATCGCTTAACAGACTGATTACACCACCGAAAACCTTGAGAGGTACTTAGACTTCTCTAAACTTCGGCATTTTTTCATGGATCCTAGTATCGTTGTCGAAATCCATTTCTGACACTGGGGCAATACTTATGACACGGCTATTCGAATTGGGAGGGTAGGGTGCTGGCGGTAGCGGCTTATTTATTATATCCAGGCTGGCGAAATGGTGGTCATTCTCGTTAATCGCTGTGGCGTTTGTGGATTCAGAATTCGACCGTACAGTCCTGCAAAAGTAAGTTTATTTTCTAGTGTCAGTTCTTCGAGACTGAAGAATGCAAATTTCCAAAAATGCATGTATATAAAATGGACACTTACCAAAGAGTCGGTGAGTACTCATCCATTGATTGTTTCTTCTTCAGAGCCATCTTGGCGCGACTACCGAAAGATCCAAACCGAGTTGAATCTGAGGCTCTGGTGGTGGCAATATGAGGATGCTCCAAAGAAGGGAAAATTTGACCCAAGCCGATTCGAATGAGGAATGCTCGGTACATTAAAGTTGCATCCTTTCCGAATCCAAAGAATGCGAATAGTAGGAAGCCGCATGAAACTTGGATCCAGCGGTCATAATAGACTATGCCATTCATAGGTGATTTTCCGATGTGTCCCCATTCCGGCCCGTGGACGTCATCCCAGGAGTACGGCACCCAGGGCTTTGACATTTCGATATTTCGGTAGAAAACATAAACTTGCGAAGGAAAGCTGCCCAGAAGCAATACCAGGGACAAAACAAGGAGACGGATAAATCTCGACTTGCTTGTTTTGCTACTTACGGACACGATGTAAGAGAATTGCTGTCGGTATTTGAAGAGCCGGTATATAACCAGGACTAAAAGGAATTCGTAGATTAGCGTAGGACACAAGAGAAATAGTACCATAATATGAAAACCTTACCACAGTAGATTACAGCCAGCGACAACACAGCCAACGGCCATGTGAAGATGAGAGCTGTGGAGGGCCAGCTCGGGTGGAACGCAGGCATACAACCAACGATTGCCCATAAGTAATAACGACGGTGCTGGACAACGTAGTGAAGAGCCATCATAATGACAGGGATGACTACGCAGAAAACAATTTCAAAAGCAAGAGTACGCCTTCGCTGGCTCTTGCTGGGAATCAAGGTAGCACGATCTGCGTTCATGACCTCTGCAAGTGAGCGAAATATGCAGGCGAGAGCCCCTGCAATTCCTGCTCCAAGCGGAGCCATGAACTTTGTCTCTATATCACAGAGACCAGCACCATCCCACCACGTAGAAATATCATCTGTAGGCCATATCAAGGGGTTGATAAAGTTGAAGAAGTTGAATATAATGAACCAACCAATGAGACATGATGCAGCGAAATTTCCGGTCCGTGAGTGCCAAACCAGAGGAGGAATGCAAACCAGGACGGACATCAATGCTGTAATGGGCAAAACGATAGCTGCAGTTGATCTGTAGTAAGGAGGTCCAGGTAGATCCATCGGGGAGGTCTAAGTGGACGATGAAAAGATCTGTAGGTAAACTCGCTCCGAAGGCGGTTGAAAACCAACCCCAAGCTCAAGATTAACGGAGCGGGCAGATAAAGGGAATTTAAATCTTCTGGTATGATATGAAGTTTGAGCCAGCGAAGGAGAAATCAGAGTACGAAAGCTGTGAGATATCAAGCGTAGATATTTATCGAAATGGATATAGAAGTAATCGAGGGAAGAAATGAAGCATGAAGCCGAAACAACGTTGAAGAAAACGATGTCGAACTCATTGAGAAAACAAGCAATATATATCTCCATCAAGGATTGAGCTCCAGGATAGAAAATTGGCTCTTGAGCCATGATGAAACCTAGATCTTAAGCGTGGTGAAGGAAACTGCACGTCCAATGCAGTGAGTTATTCAAGGTGGAAGTCACAATAACGTGCCACTAATAAGGGAGAATAAGCAAGTGAAAATCAGTAAATAGGTATAGAAGTAGCAAAAGTGAAGTAACAACTCTATGCTTGAAGATGGAAGTTCGTGTGCTGCGGACGTTGATGCTGGGCTGAGGTTGACCAAACCCATTTCGGGTTTGAATAACGACAGTAACGGTCAATCAAATTGCGTGAATTCTCGTCGCGGTCTTGCAAACCGGGAAGAAACCTGGAAAACTCCAACCGTTTCTGCAAGACATAAGATCTTTACCCGCACAAAGCTCTTGGGTCAGATTATTTGTGATATTTTGGTATTGAGGCGCATTAGCAAAGAAGGCAATGCGTATGCAGTTCAGCTGTGAAACTGCCACAATGTATCGATCAGCCCTAATAAAAGACATTTATCCAGTGTGTCTCGTTTCTGGAATCAGATATCATCCTTCTAGAATATAAAAATGCAAGAGAATGTTGTTGTGCCATTCTGGATGTTCTAGAAATTGCAGGGACCAGCTGCCTCCTTGAGAATTACCCCAAACTTCGCAATCTTGCCGCATTGTCGAAGACATGGACGGCGCTAGTGGAATCTAATATATACCAAACGGTATGTACATGTACATATAGATAGATATCTACCACTTTAAACTTCGTCAGTTTTCCAAGTTTTGGTGATTGAAAACGCAGGAGAAGCAGAAAAAGGTGCCCACACAGAGACATCTGCATCTTGAAACCATCCGCTTTTTTGGTATCAATAAAACCTTCACACATACACAAAATAGCACTATGGCACTATAGCACTGACCTGTTGAAACTCACAATCACATTCACGATAACCACCGCAATCGTTATTAGAGGGGTTAGTCGACTCGTAGCACGACTCAAAGTGGTGCTGAATAACCGGGAAGCAAACAGCACGGTAGGTAGCGGCGGGATCACAACACAATTGCAAGAGAAGATCTCTCCGCTAGCCAGTAACTAAAAGCATAGAGACCAGAACCCCAAATGAACGGCAGCCTGCATGTATCTCGACCTTTTCGTATTTCTGCAAATTGAGCTCCGAGATCAAACGAGGAACGACAGCTAAGTAAGTTGCTAGCGACTGCGATATTTAGCTTCCAAATATGTTGCAACTTGGCCAATGCTCTCCGTAGCAATAACAAAGGTGTCAACTGGCTCCCATGATGGGGAATAACCCTTGAGCAGGACTTGGTTTCAAAAGGGTTCTCTGCTGAAGAATACACTAGGGATGGAAGAATGAGGTTGGATTGTTGATTGTTCTCCCGAAAGAGAGTTGAGGCTCTTAATAAGTTAGTTACCACAGACTATCCTTGCAGACACGTGCCTGTTCGAACCTCTTCAACTTTCTCGCCATCGCCAACCTTGGACTAAAACACAAACCAACCGCCAAATGAATTAGACGGAAACCGCCCAAGAGTTGGTTGGTAAACTTATCTTTAGTGTCCACATGCCAACCCGCCGCATCCATCCCGCTACCCGCCCCTGCCGCCATTCCTTAAATGCCAAGTTAGCGTGGTAACGTCACAAGCCCGAGCGCTTTGTTCTACTTCGTAGTTACTCCGTACAGCGTTTAGTCGATTGCTCTTTAACCATGAACCACTGGAAATAATGCATCCTGGGTCACCATTTGAGCCCATCCCTCCTCTTACCTCCGACTGGTAAAATTCCACTTTCCAATGAGACCATCTCGCCATGCCTGAGCCGAGAATATCTTCCTCAATCCAAACACCAGGAGCTAGCTCACCGGGCTCCGCACCACACCTGCGTCATCGGGGCTTCAACCATTCCGCCACAACATCGTTCGTTGAGCCATCGTCACACCAGCCTCCTGGCCCGGGAAGGTTGCGACGCAGCTCGACTTTCTCTGATACTGTTTCCGAGGCCCGCAATTCCATCAAATCTTCCACTGATAATCTATTCCTTCCACGGGTTAGCTCGCGCGCAAGGTCTCTGGACGATAACAATGAGTCCAACTGGCAGTCCGTCCCGCTGGCGTTGGCCTTGTTGCCGGCAGTCGGGGGTCTGCTATTCCAAAATGGAAGCGCAGTTGCAACAGACATCACTTTATTAGTTCTGGCAGCCGTATTTCTTAATTGGTCTATTCGGTTACCCTGGTAAGAAGGGCCGCATACATTCTGCATTTCTAACATCATCTAATAATGCACAATTTCAGGGAGTGGTACCGTTCAGCGCAAGAGATGTCACGAAGCATTATACCAGAAGAAGATTTCGACATGGATGTAATTATTGAGGAGCCCGAGGAATCCGAGCCTGAGTCGGATAATGAGGAGGAAGATAATTTGAAAGCCAATTCTCAAGAACGGCTATCTAGAAACCGGCAATCCGAAGCAGTCAAAGCAGCCATAGCAGAGCTTCGCCGACACGAAGTCGCAGCTCTGGCATCTTTCTTCCTCCTCCCGTTAATAGGTGCCTGGCTCCTACATGCACTCAGATCGCAACTCTCCCGACCCTCCGAAGGCCTCGTGTCCAACTATAATTTAACAGTCTTCCTGCTCGCCGCTGAAATCCGCCCATTGTCCCACCTGCTAAAAATGGTCCAGGCACGAACCCTCCACCTCCAACGCGTCGTGACCTCAGGCAACCAAGACCGCCGCGAGAAAATCGACGCAAGCAAAATCCTCGACCTCTCTACCCGCCTCGGAGAACTAGAAGCCCACATTGCAGAATCAGCCAGCCAGAACCAGTACCGCATGACACACGGACAAAACGAAAACCTCTCCCCGACCTCATCCACAACCAAATCCACCCTTCCGGACAATACACAACCCACACAACCCGACCTCTCAGCCCTCACCCGCGCCATGCGCCGCTACGAAAAACGCACAGCCCTGCACGCCCACGAGACCGAAACGCGCCTCCAATCTCTCGAAAAGCGGCTGAACGACGCCATCGCGCTCAGCAACGCGGTTGCGGCGCAGCAGCGGCAGCAGCGTAGCACAGCAGCGCCCCGTGTCTCGCCGGTGTATATATCATTACTAAACTGGATTTGTGCTGCTATTGTGCTGCCGGCGCAGATGGTTTGGGGATTGTGCCGTATGCCGTTTCGGATGGCTAGGTGGTGTTTGTGGTGGATTGGACTTGGCGTTACCGCTGCTGGTAGTAGTAAGGGGGTTAGAGGTGATGGGGCAAATGTAGGGAAGGAGGTAGTAGGGGGGGGGAAGAGTGTTGGCAACGGCAGCGTTAAGAGTGGTGGTGATGGTAATGGTATTGTCGGTGGGAAACGAAAATCTAAGCCAATTTCTATATCGAGGGAGTTGATGAGGTCTGTCTCACCTGCTGGTGGTGGTGGTGGTGGTGGTGGTAGGTTGCAACAGCGCGAGATCGGGACGGGGAGGCTGCCGATCTCGAGTTTACATCTGGGATGATTTTTAATTTTTTGATATACCCTTTTTTTCCCCAGTCCATATACTGGTGTTTTTGTTGTTCTTTCGCCCCTTATGACCTTTATACGACTTATTTCTGGGATACCTCAAGTTTTCAATATAGCAGAATACTAATTCTTTTCTTGTTCTACATGGCACAATAGCCAAATCTATCACCCTCCCCCTTTATTCATATATATATTAAATCTTGTTAGTATCAAATCCCTTCCCATCCACCCCTTTGTCTTCTCTCCTCTTTGTGTCCTCCGTGCCTTATGCATGCATGCATACCCTGCAGCATAGAACGTGCCTTTCCATTCTGCAGGTATATGTGGAGTGGAGGGGTGTAAAAAATAATATTTAACTAGAATTAACAGTGCAATGATGAGATATAATCAAGGACTCTGTGCTCACCCCCCCTTTTTTTTAAGTGATGGGAACACCTTCCCAGCCTTAGAAATGATATATATCTCGGTGCTGGTATGGCATGTGTTGGGCTGGACCTGCAGGTGAGCTTTTGTGTGTGTGTGTGTGTGTGTATGTGTGTGTGTAGGACCACCTAGTTACGTATTTGAGCAAGTTTCACTTATATATATGTTAACTATGTAGATATAAAAGTCAAAAAGATGCGTACGCGTATGCATACAGGAAGGGATGAAACTAGAAGAAAATAGTTTTTGAATTTTTGGTCCGCGTAGCACTGTATGTATAAAGCACCCAACAAACTTATAGAACATATATCGTCTAATCAAAATGGCGAGAGGTATGTACATGTACAATATATACACATATACATACACACTTCCGTACATTGCGCGTGAGCGATTAATCTCCTTGCCCAATTAAGGGAAGAAGATATAATCATTTTAGACTGAGCTTGAGCTTGAGCCGGCGGAGAAAGGGGGGCAGAAGGAGAGAGGGGGGATGTCTCTACATATCCAATAGCCGGTCCATTTCTGGGTGACATTAAGGAGACGTATGGCGATAGGTGGATGGAGAGCGATCCAAAATGAAGCAGGGTGACAGGATAACCAACCGTGACAATATAACGCCGAAGAACAACAGCCTCGAATATGGTTCCCTCCACATCCCTTTTTAAACGGAATTATCGTTCCCATGTCGCACCCCATCATCAATCCTGGTCCCGTCATCGCCAGCAGCAGTAGCAGCAGCAGCAGCAGCAGAAATCTTCCTCCTCGCCGTCCCAATCCCACTAACACCTTTCTCTTGATTCGCCCCCAGCCACGGCTTCCTCGACTCGCCCAACACCTGCCTACCCAAATAATAAATCCCCTGCCCCATCATAATACACACAAACGCGATCGGATACATCCAATGCACCGAATACTTAAACACGTTAACCCCAATAATCACACCCCAAAAATTCGCTGTGAGCAAACTAATATTGAAAAACGCCGCAGAGGCCAGCCGGAACAGAATCGGCGCCAGCGAGTAGAAGATGAACAGACAGAACGTATAGCCCGTCAGGTATCCGCCCACTTTGCCATTCCACGTCGCGCTAGCGAAGGACTCCCGGTCGAAGATGGCCGCTTGCACGCCGATGATGAACATCCCGTACAGTCCTAGCTGACCCAGGACTTCATACATCGGCCGCTTGCTGACGAGGTATTCCTCCGCGACGTTCGTGAGGCCGTAGCAGCTGGCGCCCACCAGGGCGAAAAGGTCGCCCTTGATCTGGTTGCCGCGGGACGGGCCGTTGCCGTCACCGCCGCCACTAGAAATGTGATCGGAGCCGAAAAGCACGCCCATGCCGCCGATGGCGACGAGGATGCCGACGATCTGGGCCCAGTGGTAGCGGACGCGGAGGAAGAGGAAGGAGAGGACAACGACGACGACGATGGCCCAGAAGTTGATGAGTTGTGCACTGAGGATGGTTGTGTACTTGTAGGCGAGGACGATGAAGTAGTTACCCTCGACGTCGCAGAAGGCGAGGATGATATATTTCCAGCCATCCTTTTTGATAACGCGGAGCCAGCCCTTGAGGCCGTAGCTGTAGATGGTGTAGCTGGTGAAGACGAGGTTGAGGAGGACGTAGTTGAAGAGGGATTGGAAGGCTGGGATTGAGGTGCGGATGTTGGAGAGGAGCTGGGAGAGGGTGTTTGTGCCGGTGATACAGAGGGCGAGGGTTTGGCTGTTGTTTTAGGGCTATGTTAGTAATTCGACTCTTACACGGGAAGAGAAGGGAGCAAAACGGATATCTGAATGGACTCCTAACCCAAGGATAAGAACGATATAGAACTCTCTCGTGCGGAAGTATGCGAAGTAGCCCTTCTTGCTCTTGTCGACTGCATCGGCCGCGGGTGCAGCTGTGTCTGTGCCTGACGTCCTCGCCTGTCCACCATCATCCACATTGACGCCGTGAAGATCCTTGCGCACGTCTATGTCTCCATCCAGCATGGCATGATTGACATCAACGCCCTTTGTTTGGACATGGATGGAGTCTGCGCGCTCAGCCATACTCATGCTCGCTTTGCTTGCTTCTCGTAGTTCCAGCGGGGCCAAGATAAGATAAGATATCTACAGATTAAAAATAGGGTAAAAAGGATAGAGAAGAAACAAACATATTAAGTAGAAATTGGAGCTTTATAGAGCAGAGCAAGCGCAAAACTCCAGAAGTCGCCTGCTGTGAGGAATTTATATTCCTGGGGGGAGAAGGGGAAGAGGGATTGGGGATGAAGTTGGATGGAGGAGGAGGAGGAGAAAAAAAGAAGAAATTCGGAAAAAAGGTTACGGGGGTTGTGTAGTTAACTAGTTAGTAGTCAGCAATGAGCTTCATCAAACCACCGACCGCCAGTCAATCAGATTAAAGGCTAAGCGGGCGGGCTGAGTTAGCGTGGGGATGGGATGGGATGCATTGAAGTTTACTTTACCATTCGTCGAGGGTATTCTGATTTCATTGTTGAGGATTCTGATATATTAATAACTAACTATTCTTGTCCTGACATGTGTTCTCAACCACCGTATCACAGCCGCAAATCACAAGATGTTGAACCTAGAATTGATGATGGTATCACCACCAACTTCATATATGACTTGCTCCATGGAGTAAGTTAACCTGTTATTAGTCGTCCATAGTTTATAAACTGTAATCCCTATCCTGTCCTCTCTAAACCACCTCTCCCTCTATGTGAATACCCATACATCTCTCTCCAGCTCCTTGACGAACTCAAGTTTTAGTTACCCGCTTTAATCCCCGTCCCTAGTTCGGGTGTCTTCCGTCCGGTCTTCAATTGGAGCGTCCCCAGTTCACGAAGGGGCTTGAGAAGTGATTAAGATATAACGTAATCAACCACCTAACGCTCGTTTCCACCTAACGCTCGCCTTAGTAAATCAATTACAATCAACTTCAAATATTCATATCTCAATGAATATTTTTTTAAAACTATTCTAAAAAACAGAATGACAATTTGTAGATATATATTATATTATATTAAATTTCTATGAGAAAATAACATATAATTATTAATTTATTAAGCTTTTTAAAATACTATTTTAAAATAAAATACACAGTCTATATTTATAAATATATTTATAAATATAAATTATTTTTATATAAAAATTAAATATCTTATAGATTATATATATTTTTAATAAAATATAAAATTTTATCTTGAAATTCTTATTTATTATTGATTTATTTGAATCTTTATATAAAATTTTATATTTTAAAATACTATTTTTGTAATAACTATGTATTATTTATACTTTAAAATTGTAATTTAAATAAATTATTACATTAAATTATTTAAATATATTTATATTTAATAAATTATTTTTCAAAATTTAAAATTTCAAGAATTTTCAATATTTTACTTGTAATTTATAAAAAAAATTATAATAAAAAAATAAAAGAATTCTTAAAAATTAAAATATAGAATTCTTATATAAAATAATTTAATATTTATTAAATTATAATATATTTATATAAGAATTATTATTTTTAATAATATATAATACATATTTCTTAATTTATAATAAAATATTATATATTTTATTTTACTGTATTTTATTTTCTAATTAAATCTATATTTTAATCAATTTTAACTATAATATAATAATTTTGAATTATATTATACTATAAGTCTTGATATTTATAGATTACAAATTAAAAAATTAAAATAATAAATATTTATTGAGATATTAACATTTAAAGTTGATTGTAATTGATTTACAAAGGCGAGCGTTAGGTGGTTGATTACGTTACTCCGTACTTACTCCGTACTGTTCTCCTAGATCACATCACCTATGGTAGAGCTTTGCCAAGCACCTTATTGCCACCACAAATGTACTTGATCCTAGAGCAACTGTCAACCATTATTGCTATGCTTCCCACCGCTAGTGCCATTGTCCATTGTCAAAGAAAGATGTCGGTTCTCAGGTCCTGTTTTCTTTTTCTCGGGAGCGGGGTACCTCTCTCAGGTAGGTACAATCCCAAATTCTAGAACAGAAGCGCACCAAGGCCCTAAGATTGCGTGTACGTGAGTAATAGTACTGAATGAGTTCAACAAGAGGGCAGATCGCCTGCAAGCTGTAACTATATAGTGTCCGCCCCGGACCCCCTTTCTCTCACCACCTTAGTATTTTTCGAAGTCCTAACATGTTTCGCCCATTACGGGCTTTTCCATTCTCTACATAATATGGAAGGACAGAGGAATCTTGAGGGCTAGGGCTTGATTCCTAAAAGAGCAATCGGAAAAACACAGCATGACATGCCATAGCTACAAATTTGTTTTCTTTCTGCCTTTTCAACTCTTTTCCGCTATTTGACCTGGCTTCACCGCTAATCTCTCTTTTGTATCATTTGTCAAATCTTCCTGCTCCTGTTCTGATTCCAAGCTGGTTCTACTGCAAAACAAAAAGATGGTCCGTCCGACACAGCTAGCTGAGATGTATGGGGATTTCAGCAATGTTGATCCTCGGCTGGTTGTTGCTCTTGAGAAAATCCATGCCGAGGACCCAAGATATAAAGAGCCTGAGGTGCCAGAGTTGACAACAACGGATCCAGAGGAAGGCATCTGCATTGTGTGTCGCTGTGCCTGGTTTCTTCCCCTGCAGTTTGGGCCTTGTGGGCATGTGTTCTGTGCTGAGTGTCTTTGGAATGTGCTATTCTCACATGCTTCTGATGCCGACCCCTCCTGCATGCTTTGCCGCTCTACACAACCCGACTTCAGATACCGATCCGAAATACAGACCATCTCCGCTGACCGATCTGATTTTGACCGGGGGAGGATCTACCTCATTATACTCTTCATGAAACTACAGCTTCTTCATGGTGCATGGTTTGACTGGGATATGGGATCCGACGAGTATAAGATGTTTGAGGTGAACAGGGATACGGATGTGGAGGACATCCAGGGGATCAACACAGAGACTTTGACTGGGCTTCGGGAAGAGGAAGACCACTGGGCGACCAGACCCGCGGAGGAAGGAGATAATGATCAGGAGGAAGATAGCGAGGAGGAGCACCCAGGTCTTCTGGAGATGATACTGCATAGAATCCCAGTTCATGCTTTATGAGGCAGGCTTCGCCGAGTGTGCTTTGCTCGAATTGTCATGCAGGCACGCCTAGAGACACTGGCTCCCAACTACAGAATGTGGTGAGCTAGAAGTGCTGGACGACTATGCGAAAGAAGTAATACAGATAAAACACCATACTCGACAATCGATCAGCCGAAGAATATACATTTAAGCTTGTTAGCAAACTGGTGGACTGGATATGCCCCTGATGCGATGGCGCTGACGGACCTCTTGTTTGCCTCCTCCTTGACGGCACTCTGGGTGTATATAGCAACCAGGTTGGGGAACTTTGCTTTCTTCTTTTCCCTCAACTTTGGATGATCTTTTCGAGGATTCAATTTCACTTTTCTGTCTGTTGGCGATCTGCGCGAGACTTTTAGAAGTCGATGATCAGAATCTGGCCCAATTCATCATTCCATGTCATAGTCTCACTTCTTGTTGATGGGAAGGTCTCACGCCTCAGCATCAAGCTTTCCTGAGTTCTTTCTAAACTATCACCTCCCCAACCCATCATAAGCATACGGCGGATCTCTCTGCCACCACACAGAAAGTATATCAATTTCAGGTCAATCGCTCCTAGAAATACAGGAATTGCGGTGCCCTGTGCTTTCTGAAGAATCCAGCATGTATCTACTTTGCGTGAGATCTCCTTCCAAAGCCGGGATGTGGTCCTCATTCCCACCACAGTGTAGCCGTATGTATCTGATCGCCCGATTGGTAGCAGCTAGGGTCCAAAACACGACCCTGGATCGCATATCCAGCATCGGGATTGACGGCAATCAAATAGTTGTCCCAATATGCAAGGATGTCGCTTCAGACTAGAATCCCATTTTTTGGGGAGTTGAGTCCAGCAGGGGAAGGACTGGGGAAAATGAACTGTGAATAGCCATGGGCCTTAAGGATGTATTCAAGCGCCAACAGAAATATGTGCACGGCTTGAAAGCCAGTCCAATGCCCCCCTTCAGCATCTAGATTGATATCGCCGGTAATTATGCCACGTCCGTCACGTTGGCGGACCGGGCGGATAAACGCCTCATTCCTCGGGGTGCTTGACGGTGACATTATCCGAGGATAGAAGCGCTTGCTGCTTGTATGAATTGACTCCCCTGATGTCCGGGACAAGAGGATCTATCTGCAATGTTGGACCAGTTGATTGGTACACGCGATCGGGCTGCTTGAGCCATTTCTTTGGGCATCAGAACTACCATCCGTGTGGAAAATGACGTGCCTCTGGTAGGAGTACTCGCAGCATAAAGGCCAGGTGGAGAGTCAAAGTTGATCCACATGTTCCGCGAAACAGCGTGATCGAAAGACATGGTTGTCGCGAGAATATTCAATACCCACCAGTTTTGTCTGCCGGATGAGAATAAAATGTCTGGATGGAGATGAAACGTACAAATTTGAAATGGTCAAAGACTCTTCAAAAGGAATGAAGCTTGCTGGTGAGACAGTTCGAGAAGAAGTAGAGCAGGCGGCAAATTTGTCAACCCATGGCAGAACCAAGTGAATACATTCATGAACGACAAAATCTTTCCTCCAGCATCCATAATTCCGTAGCTACAGCTTGCGTCTCGTCTACCCGTCGGATGGTGAATATTCAATACTTTGGTGGACTTTACAGTAAACGGATCAGATCTGAAGATGTTGCTGGGAATCTTCACCTTTCCTGATTGGCTCTAGTCCTGCAAGCCTCCCCTGTGCTCCAACCTCCAGAACAAACAGGCAACTTGTTTGACATGAAGCTTCGGATTGTCATGAGCACTGCAGTTATTCCAGCATCAACTCCTCCCCAGAACTAATATTGACGCGCTGGTCTTGCTTACGAGTACGAAGTGCATATTTTCGAACCTGGCTGGCGTCTGCCTGACTACCAGGAGCTATGGACCAGCTCACTCGTCATTTGCTTGACAAAGAAGTCAAGAAGTTTATTGATTCGATTGATCCAGCTTTGGTCTGCAAATTGGCTACGTTTTTGCATCCTGAGAAGAAGCTTTGCCAGGTCTTCTCAGAACCAAAGAAGGGGAGCTACAATATCTGCTTTCCTATCCTCTTTACAAACACGATCACAACCAATCCAACACCAGATGACGGGTTGACCGAGCCAGCCGAGCCAGCCGAGCCAGCCGAGCCAGCCGAGCCTGTTGAACGATGGATGATCCGAATTCCCCTGCTACCACATCTTGCATTTCCCGAGGAGAAGATGCGAGGCGAGATTGCAACAATGAAGTAAGCAATTTGGACAGTCGTGTTGCAGTCAGGCTCTAACATTGTGATCCTATTATGTAGGTATATTGCTGAGAGGACTACCATCCCTATCCCTCGTGTCTTTGCATATTCCATCAACCGAGATAACATCCTTGGCCTTCCTTTTTTGGCTCTGGAGCACATTACCGGAAAAACCCTTCATGGAACTGATGTGCCACGTCTTTCAGATGAGCTGCAGTCGCATTTATTCAATCAACTTGCGGAAATTTACCTCCAGCTCTATCAACAGCAATTCGATCATATTGGTGCTCTCACGCTTGACAGCAATGATGAGAATTGGATTTTTGAACAAAATCGGCCGCTCACTATTGAGCTAAATGATCAAGAACTCAGTGGCATGAAGGGTTCTGAGATTATGCCCCTCAAGCGGACCTATTCTTCTACTATTGATTATGTGTTCACTATTTTGAAATTGATTTTCAACGACTTTCACCGCGGGAAAGATAGTGTTTTCAATGAAGAGGATGCACGGAACTATCTATATGGTATATTTGCTTCCCAAGGCATTGTAATGGAATGGGTTAAGCATAAGGACAATCATGGACCTTTCATCCTTATGCATGGTGATCTTCGGCCTCCGAACATCTTTGTGGACAATGATCTGAATATTGTTTCAATCATTGACTGGGAGTGGAGCCACACCATTCCACCGCAAATGTTCCTCCCACCTTCTTGGATTACAGGTCAGGAACTTCCTGCTGCCACGAAAAAGCCCTATGACTTTGCATTTACAGTATATGTTTCCCGCTTTCAGCGTGCCGCGATGGCAAGAGAAGACACATTTTATAACCCGGGGAAAAAGATAAAATATATCCTCCCCATGGTCATGCGCCTGTCAGAGAATCTACTGTGGGGGAACATGTTTATTGCATACGCACTCTTGAAACCCTGCTATTTTGGGAACGTGTACTGGAATCTATTGGACCAAGAATTTTATGGAGAGGACAGCAAGCAGTGAGTGGAAAACTTCTTTAACCTTAATCTGCGGAAGCCACAAGTGGAGGCTTTGAAGAAAACAATGTCTGAGCTTGAGGCTTTCAAGGAAGAACTAGCACTGGCAGGGCTAGAGCCAATTGAATCTTACCCTATGCCAGGTCGCCAACCAGACAAACCAAAGAAGCCGAAATTCACGTCCCAGATCCGTAATCTTGCAAGTATCCATCAATGGCGACAATCCGACATCGCAAATGTTATTGGCTCCCTTCCGTCTTGGTTACCCTGGTCACTGATTGGTATCAGTCTCTCTGTCTGCTGCAGCATCATGGTCAAACAGCGACAATGAAGGGGAAAGATTACCTGTTGCTGATTTTCTTCAATTTCCCTGCGATAGCAACACGGTAGCATGCTGCAATGCAACAATCTTTTCATTGATTGCTTGCAATTCTGCCTGATACTTTCTTATTTCCTGTTCGGGAGTCATAGTTTTTCCTGTTCGGGAGTCATAGTTTCCCCGATATCACGCAGGCCCCGTGATTTTCGGGCGCTGGAGGAAAGTAACTTCAGCTCAGGGATCTGGGCTTCCAGAGATTCAATAAACTCTTCCAGCTCAAGTGCCTTTTGTTGAAGCTGCTGTTGCTCCTCAAGCTTTGCTTTAAGTTCGTCGTTGATATCATCGGATAGGGACTTATTTTGGGAGGCCATTTCGTTGACTCTTCTGTACGGGGAACATATCAGCATTATGCCAGGTAGGTATAGTAGAAGAATAGACACGAAATCCTTACGCAGGAATCTCTTTTCTCTAAGATCACTTTGAATCTCGGTTTTGGAGCTCTTGTAGAAAACGATTCAATGAGAGCAGGAGATCAAAACCATTTTGTTAAGAAAGGAGAACTATTACCCCTCTTCCAACGCTCCGATGCCAGCACATCGAACAAGGACCAAGTGGTGATCGGCCAATGAAGCAAGATAGATATTCCGGCGTGCATTGTTGCCTAATCTCAGGGCCTTGGGCCACGGATGAAGGTGTGCTTGATGGCTTCTCAGACTTCGCCTGGTTGGTTCCTCATCCCATCTGCAGAAATAGCGTGTCTTATTCTGACTAGACCTTTGCCAGAGAGTACAGATGTGCTGGCTAATGGCAAGGTTTTGGACAAGGAGCTTCGTTTGATTCCGAACAACCGTACATATACGAACCAGGCTAATATAACAAGAAGTCCCCACAAGGAAACTGAGTGCGGTATCAGAATATTATCAGCCATTCATAATGGCTTGCTTGCATTGCATCTCTTGTCTATCTAAGAACATGAATCCCGATTTAAACATAAGCTAGCTCCGGAGAAGCGGATTAAAAGAGCAGATCAGGGTTCTTGAGACCTGTACTGTCCGCTCGTAGGATCAGTGCATCGTCATGGCCATGGCGAGAGAGGGTTTGCCAGGATGCACAGTTTTTCTACCAAGGTCCTGTAGCCGCAGAGTATCTTAGAAGTAAGAGTATTGGTACGCTGGGCATGGGGTGGTTCAAACACTGTTGGCCACTGCGGATCAGACTTCTCCAGCTTTAGTGAAGGCATCTTCTTACACGAAGAAGTTCTCCAAAGCTACTGTTAATATTTAACATCAGTGGCTGGATCATGCTAATTAGAAAGCAGTTAGAAAGTTGCCTCAACGTGCTGAGGGGGTGAAAACGTCAAAGGTCGACATTCGAGAGGGGATATAAATGGCGGTTTTGAAGTGGGAGCAAGATAATAAAGAACTGACAGCCGGAAAGAAATAAAGAGAGATGAAAGAATAAAGGACGGAGAAAGAAGGCTGAGACACAAAAAAAGATGGGGGGATAAGGATAGGCTGCTGAAGAGAATATGTTACTGAGTCGTATTTCTTTGAAAGGAATAACGAAGACGCTTGTTGAGACTTAAACAGCCTTCAGCCGCGAATGACTGCGGGGCTGGAGGCATAGGGACATAAGATGTGTCTTGAAAGAAAGTCATGCCATAGTTATTTGATCTACTTCTTTACCCGGGCCCTCCTTGGTCTCCCCACTTTCTTCGCCACTTTTTTACAAGATGAGGGCTCCTGGAGGAGTCTCATTCTTTCCACCTCGCCGGGGGGGAACTCGTCTGCAGGCTCCCAGGTAGAGTACCATGCAACACGAACAAATGGCTTCCCATCTCTCACCTCATAGCCGATGAGGGCTCTGTATTGCCAGCCGGGCTGCTTCCATTCAGCGGACCGCTGCCCCTTGACGTGTATCGTCGGTCGGGCAGGTCATATCAATCACCTCAATGGAACCACCCTCGAGCGGGGGTAGATGCCCATGCTTGCATTTGGACGCCCGGATGAGAGAGATTGCATCACCATCGAGATGGTACCTGACTGGGACATATCGCCCCCAGTAGTAGTGTAGTCTTGTCTTCGCCAAGCACAGGCTGTCACCAGTAATTATAATCGGCGTATCTGGTGCATATTAGAATCATAGATACCAAAATATGCGAGTAGACATTACCTTGAGGCTCTCCAGGGCTTTGCCTGTGTACGGGGGAATTTGGTTCGCAGGTTAGATTCCAGGTCTTTAGGAGAATGCTGTGCAGGTGGCGAGGGTAGCAATGTGGCCAGGGTGATTATCCCAAGGGTCTCATGCGAAATCCTGTCATCATCGCCTTGATCTGATACCTTAAATTATGTCACAGCTGTTAACGCAGATGTGACAGCGGCAGCGGGTTCGGCTAAACGCGTCTGCTTCTTGGTTCGTCGAAGCACCGACTGCCGCTGGCGCAGGGCCGATTCTGTCCTCTCGGGGAAACACCCTTCTATCTCAGGCCAGGGCCGGTGGTTCTCCGTCATGCTTAGAAGGCGTGCATCATCCTCGGGGGACCACCGCCACAGCTTGTCTCTATGGCCCTTCCTCCTTTTACTGTTCCCAATCCGAGTTTGCTCGACCTCCTCGTGGGAATCTGAGCAGATGGCTGGCTGCATGCTCTCATCAGAGTCAGGCATGCAGCTCGCCAGAGCACCTTCAAATTAGAAACGTCTTGTGAAAGTTGTACTGGGAAATGTATAATAGATCTATATCAGTCTTGAAAGAGTGGTCTTGTCTAAATTAAAATGTTAATTATGTCTTAGATAACTGGTAGTCTTGTATCTTGCGTCTTGAGACTGATGGAGTCTCAAATCAGCTCTCCCATTTCTCGGAGACATCTAAGACTATATTATATGGCTACCATGAATATTCTCCCAAGCCCAATGCAGTATTGAGACCGTTCAAATATTCGTCACTTCCTCCTTTGGAATGACCTTTGTGATCTTATCACCTGTTTTGGTTAGTTAAAAGGTGAGGGAAGAACTTTTGGTTGATTTTTTTGGTGCTCAGTCGAAAGTTAAAAAAAGTCTTCAGATTCAAGAGACATCCTCGCGCGATCAAAATTGTTGAGTTTGATGGTTGGGTTGGATGATAGTAAGATCTCTCTTGGTTGGTTGACAGAGGACTAACTTCGTCCATATACGTTCCACGCGGGCTTGCTATCCCTGGTCAACTCCCTGCAAATAAGAGAACATGCCGAAGCTTTATTAAGCTGCGGGAGGAACAAGCGAACGAACTGTTCTTGTTCCGAACGCCTTGTCCTTTTCGAATCTGACACTGCCGGACAATGGGGATGTTCAATTTGCTGGGAATCTGGGATAAACGGGTTCTATCTACTGTGCTAGTGCTAGTGGGGTAATAATTCCCACCGTAGCGGTTCTTTTTTGCAGTTCCTAAGAAATATATCAGAGCAATGCAAGCCATGCCACGTTTTCTTTCTCTCTTCTTTCTTTCTCTATTTTTTTCCTCTTTCTTCTGCTATTCTTTTCATTCATTTTCCCCGCCAGCCTACTGAGCCTAATACTTGTTGCTAGCAAATTGATGGGGGGATGGGGCGCGAATATATCCACAGAGAGGTTTAACTTTGCAACCCTAAGTCACCTACACTCCTTTGTTAGATGCTGGTCAAGCAACAAAGCAGATAGAAGTAACAAAGAAGATGACGAGGTTTAAAAGGAAAAGAATGAAACATTAAATTGATCATCATTAATCAATCACAAAGTTTCTTTGCTTAGTTTCTTTGCTCACTAACAAAAAGAGTATATTCTCAACTATGAACCCTTCTCCACTACCATTTACCCCCCTACCCATGAACTTCTTTTTGTAAATATCTATACAGTTGTGTAAGATGGGGAAAAGTGATGATGATTTGACAGTTGGACAGGAGAGGCACACATACATGTGTGCATGCATGCACTCCACACAACCCTGTCATCTCCTTCTCCCTTTCTAATTCTCTATTATTTCTACACTTCCTCCTCCTCCTTATGAAGTTATGATATTATACATATGGACCATCTAGCGCCCGATCACCCTTTTAGCTCCCCGTTCCCCCCCGTCTTGTCACTTGAGGTTGACATCTATTTGTTAGCCCCCAACTCCAACGGCGGTTGGGAGCCTTTTTCCTCTTGCGTCAGGAACAAAAAGAATAAATACCTAGATTCGCCTAGAGATTAGCTTGAGGCTTTACTCAGGAGATCGAGGTTTTTGTAGTAACAAAAGAAAACATAATAAAAGTGGCCCAGTCAGATTTTCTGCCCCCAGGGGGATCTCGGGACGTCCCGAAAGTGGCATGTTCCCTTATTTTGTATGGAAGGTTCGCTTCAACATGTCTTGGATTTGGATTGGTATCCGGGTGTAAGGGTGATTATATAGCTGTCTAGAGCAGGTTTCGGTCAATCTCCTGGATATAAGGCTGTCAATCCAATCATTCAGAAAATCGTTCAGGCTTGAAGAGCTGAACTGAGTTAGTAAATTCGCCAGTCGCACGGCAGATAGAGAGAGAGAGAGATAGCGTGCGATATCTCGTACAGTTTTTCTTGATATACATGTAGCCCCATGACCACCCTAGAGTGGTGCGGCGGCACGTTGCTAGCGTTCTTCAGAATGTTCCTGAGAAGCATAGGCCTTGGTAGTAGGATAGACGGCCATCTTTGTGGCATGTACAGATGTAGCTTCTTGTGTAGTTAGTTAATATGGGCCATGGCATCTTAATGTCCGTATCGAAGAATACGGGGCCATGAGGAATGATCGACTTCTAGTCAACTTTGATTGACAAGGGAGCTTGTTAGGACGGGAAACGACAGCCATTAGCACAGAGGGTTTATATATATATATCGACAGAGTTGGATAATTTGTGGGGTTGGATTGGATATTCGAGATCGGCCAAATCAAGTCCTTCCCAAGCTGGGGAATGCACAACATAGATGGACATTCCGAAGATAAACAAACAGCGGGGGAAATAGATTGTTTAGCAGCTAAATGAATAAGTGCAACATCAATCCTTTATGGCTCTATTTATGAGCTGTGTCCTAGTCAATGTACGTCATGTCCTGGCTGCTGCTGTGGCTAATAAGAATTGTCGATGTACTGCGAGATTTTGAGGCTTGGTTGGGTTGGTTCCAGTTCCAGCCTAACCCAAAGCATCCACGCGGCTCCAATTCCCAATTCAGGCTGGGACAAGCAACTTATACTGTGCTGTGCATCCTGGACAACTTCCACCACATCCATCCTCCTCCGACAGCTCTCGTCTGTCTCCCGTCGCATGTCATTCTTTCACTTCTGAGCAATACTCTCTTCATCCTCTACTATCCTGACACCGTTGTCCTCGATCCAGCGGACCCGTTGTTGCGTTGGCCGTTGACCGAGACTTTCTCTGTGTCTGTCTCCACCACAACCAACCCTAGCACCCATCCCATCCCGCGTCCGCCTCCTCCTCCCACGTCCATCAGGATTTACCGACCATCCGTTGACCACTACTGCTCTGTGGCCCGACCCACCTGCCATCATTTCGGCGTTCCAGCATCTTCAGCTTTCTTCTTGCGATCCCATCCCATCATAGGCTCGCTGGTCACCCATTTCTTCTTCCTGGGTTTCCCCGTCGTTCGCTTGACTCCAGCTCAACTACAGAGTACCCCGGTCGCGTCTCTCAGCAATTTTTTTCCTCTGCGCCCACACACCGCAAGCCCGCAAACCATACCTGGCCCTGCCGAGGCGCGCCCACCAAAGCTGCACAACACTCCCTGTGCCTAGATCGCACTAAATAACCAAACCCGCTTCATCGTTTTCCGCCACGACACATCACATCATTCGTAACCCTCGCTGGCTCCATCCTAGTATTAACGTTCCTTTGTAGATCGCGAAACGTCCGAGAGGGAGAGCTTTTCCGTGTATCTCTCTTGTCTCCATTTACGCTCTTGTTCTGCCCTTGGTCTTGGCCTCTTCTCGTTTTACTCTCACATTTTATTTGCGAGATTGCTTGTGCCTGGCTGCGGCTCTCACCACGCCGGTACGCTCGACTAGAGTTGGCGCCGGAGTGACGAGACGCCTCTCTTCTCTCGGATAATGGCAGTGGTGGCACCAGCGCCAAACGATCGAAAGCGGGTCAAGGTCTATGAATTGAGAGATAATGACTGGTTTGATAGAGGAACGGGCCTGTGTTCTGCACAGGTCATCGATGTAAGCGCCCCCTCACCCACCTGCCTGGCTCATCTGTACTTTTCTCGTTTGTCATCGCATTAAAACGTTGATACTACCATGCGGCCATCGGAGCTACGTGCGGGAATACAGGCGAAAGATTTGTCTTGACTAATGATGAACTTTCACTGCTTGTTTTAGGATGAACCGAGAATCTACGTTGAATCGGAGGACGAGCCCGGTCGGATGCTTCTAGAATCCAGGATTCGTAGAGATGATGGATATCAGAAACAGCAAGGTCTGCCAGAGCTTTCCTACGCTTGATCGCACATGTTGGAACACGCGCTGATACTCTTTGAGGACAGAAACGTTAATCGTGTGGACTGAGCCTGGTGGCACGGACATGGCGTTGAGCTTCCAGGAAGCTGAGGGATGTGCTGTTATCTGGTTCGTCATAAATCCGTCCCCCCTTCTCTTCCGCGCGATTCAATCGGTTGGTACGGCTGCTAACTGTAACTACGTTTTTAAAGGGAATTCGTAAGCAATGTACAACAGCAAATGCTAGCTTTCACGGGCCCGGGTAAGTTTATTGAAGCATACTTTGCCCCGCGCGCGCGCGATTCCCTAGTCGACCTCCTAGGCTTCGAGGAGGAAATATATTAACTTTTCCGTTAGATGATTCCCTCTCCGATGATGCTCTCGATGCTAGCTTTACGAATCCCGTAACACTGCCTCCGCCGGAGCTCGGAAACCTTGCTGAAATTGAGCAACGAATACGACATGCCAGCATCGGCCCTGGACGAATTTCGCTCACCAAATTTTTAGTCCGCGAAGAATATCTCCTCAAGCTTCTACCGCTGGTCAGCGATGCTGAGGACCTAGAAAGCCTCCCGGATCTACATCGACTATGTAATATTATGAAGTCCATCATCTTGCTTAACGATAATACCCTAATAGAGCTCGTCGTGAGCGATCATGTTATCAGTGGTGTAGTGGGTGCGCTTGAATGTATGTCACTGTCCATTATATTCCCTTAACCTTGATCATGTTTTTGGCGCAACGACAACGACTCATTGTCCACCTAACTCTCTAGATGACCCCGATTTCCCCGCCCACAAAGCAAACCATCGCCAATACCTTAACGATCGCAGTCGATACAAGGAAGTTGTCCCAATTAAGGACCCTCTAATTCTGCGCAAAATCAGACACACCTGGCGGCTACAGTATCTAAAAGATGTGGTCCTCGCACGGATCCTCGACGATCCCACCTTTTCCGTGCTGAATTCCCTAATATTCTTCAACCAAGTCGACATCGTCCAGCACCTCCAAAACAACACCCCTTTCCTCAACGAGCTTTTCGCCGTATTCAACCCGAAAAACATAGACAACAAGCGGAAGGAAGACGCGGTGCAGTTCCTCCATCAATGTGCAGCCATTGCGAAAAATCTCCAAGCTCCCGCCCGCGCCAACCTCCTCGCAAACTTCATCGGCCATGGTCTCTTCTCCGTCATCGCATTTGCGGTAAAACACCCAAACCCCGCCCTGCGGACGACTGGTATCGACATCCTAGTTGCCTTACTAGACCACGACCCGCTCATGATGCGCGGATACATGCTGAAGGCTGTCAATGAGAATAGAGTGCCATTGACGGATACGCTCATAGACTTGCTCCATGCTGAGACGGACCTGGGTGTTAAGAACCAGTTGGCTGATGCGATCAAAGTCCTGTTGGATCCACAGGTGCCTATCCAGGATCCGCTGAGTAGGGCTGGCGCAGATTTCCTAACTAAACTGCGCGCGCAGAACCCTGCTCCCGACACCTTCGTGCAGAATCATTTTGATGAATCTGCGAAAAGGCTCTTTTTGCCGTTAAAGAAGTTGGAGTCTAGGGAATCACGTAAGTTTTTCTTTTTCTTTTTCTTTTCTTTTCTTTCAAGAAAAAAAAAAAAAAAAAAAAAAAAAAAAAAAAAAAAGAGAGCTGAAGAGAGCGCAACAATATTTTTTCATACTACGCCAATGATTGTGGAGATATATGCTAACTGTTGGAACTTTCATCTGATTGTAGTTAATGACCTTACGTTCCAAGAAGTCTCGTTATATTCGCATCTTGTTGATATTCTCACATTTTTTGTTCGGCAGCATTATTTACGGTGTCGAGGATTTATGCATGGTGAATCACTTACGCCTAGGGTTGCGCAATTGTTGACAGTACCGCAGAAACATTTGAAACTAAGTAAGCTATCTATACATTTCATCCTTACCCTGTTGCGCTCTCGGTCGGGAGAAGATCCTTTCTGGGAGTCAGGTTGGATTCAATGAACGTCTTACTGACATTGTGTTTGTCCGAATTAGCTTCTTTGAAATTCTTTCGCACTTTGATAAGTTTACAAGATACCTTCTACGTTGCGCAGATGACCCACAACAACATCTTCGAACTAATCCTAAACATCGTCTACGAAACCATGCCGCGCGACAACCTGCTGAACTCCGCCTGTCTGGATCTCTTCGAATTCGTGAAGCGCGAAAACATCAAAACCATAATCATCCACGTCGTCGAGAAATATAGAGATATTCTCAAGAACATCACGTATGTTGACACGTTCCAGCATCTAATATTTCGCTACGATCAATTGCAAGGATACGGGGCGGCGGCAGAGGCGGACGCGACGTTGTTCAGCCAGGACGAGTCGGGGACCCCACGAATGATCATCAACGGTGGCCAGCGGTGGCACGGAGTGAGGGGAATGGATGCGGCGGAGGAGGAGTACTTCGATACGTCAGATGACGAGGAAGATGAGGTATGCTTCTCATCTCGTGAATTTGAACATGATGAACGGGGGCAAGAAGGGGAAGAACGTGACAAGAGCGTCAAGTTCAATCAGGCGCATTGTTATCGTGATGGGACATCGGTACTTATTGTCGATTACCAACAGGACAAGCAGCAGCAGATGGATACGACGGCGACGAATGCGAACGCGAATGCGTCGACGGCTATTGCGGTTAATGGTTCTGCGTCACCCGTCCTCAAACCTCTGGTCGATTATCCGGATGATGATGACGAGGACGCCATGGATATAAATGTCCAAGGACAACCACAGTCGTCAGACTCAGTGGTTATCCCCATCGACCAAGCGCAACCTCAACCGCAGCCGCAACAGCAAACACAAACACAGCCCGAAACAGCCTCGACATCATCTCCTGACCACCCCACCACCACCTCCAGCCCCCGCCTCCCCGCACACCGCTACACCGAGAAACGCCGGCGCGAAGAAGATGACGATGACGACGAACTCGTCAAGTTATCCTCTGGCACGAAGCGGCGTAGCTCAAGCCTGAGCAGCATCGGCTCATCATCCGGAAGCGTTGGAATCGGTATTGGTTCGTTGAGGAAGAAGAAGAGTTTTTCCGGGATGGGGAAGAATGATGAACGTGAGCGTGGTGGTGCCGATGAGACGGGGACGGGCCCTGGTGGCACTGGTGCGAAGAAGATTTCGATTAGTTTGAACCTGTCATCATTTAAGGCTGGAGCTGCGCGGGGGGGCAAGAATGTGCCTGCGGGTGCGGGAACGAGTGTGGGAGTGGGAGTGGAGTCTGGAACGAGCCAGACAGTGGGTAGTCCCGCCGCAGCCACGTCCACCACACTCATCGCTGAAGGAGAGGAAGATACCCCTGAGAAGACGGATGGCGGCAGTGGCGTTGTAGCTAGCGATGCGAGTGATGTTGATGATGATGATGATGGCGGCGGTGGTGGTGGTGGTGGTGGGGCTAGTGGGGATAGCGGAGGCCGCGAAGCCAGGAGGAGCGTTGGTGTCGGCGCCACATAGAAAGCCGATTTGCCCCATGCTACCTTTTGCGTTGTGTTGCGTTGCGTTGCGTTGCGTTGCATTGTGTTGCGTTGCGTCATGTTGCGTTTACATGGAATTGAACTGCCAGGGGCGTCGTGCTATTCCTTCCTGATTGCTGTTGCTTGCTGAGTTTTATTTGAACTTGGGGGCTTTTGCCTTGGGCTTTTGGCTTTGGTCTGGTTGGTGGATGGGTGTTTGGTCGTTCCTGACTTTTGATTTGTTCAATTCACTTTTCTTTTGCCTCTATGCTTTTTCTCTCTCTGCGTGTGTATTCTCTATAAGTGAATGTGAAAGGGTGAAAGGTGAGGCCAATTGTCTGTGTCATATGTGGAGTTCTACTTTACTTTTCTTCTGACCTGGCTCCTTATGCCCTTTTCACACATACTTCCCGATCCGTGTCCGTATATGATGTATCTATCCTACGCATTCTCACCATGAATTTCCTTTTCCTTCCTTTTTTGTTTTCTCTGAAGGTTTAAAATTATAGGAAAGAAGAGCCATAAGGTGTATGAATTGATTTGATACAGGGGTGAGAAAGAGGAGAGAGAAAGATCAACACAGCCATATTCCTAGATACACAAACGAAATACTTGAGATCATTTTTAAAAATGTTGTTTGCTTTGACAACTAGATACTGCGTGATCTCGATATTTTTTTCATCTGAGTTGAGTGTAGTAAATGTGTAAATTCGGAAGATTCATCTATCAATGATTGACATATTAATTAGCATGAGGCTAGGAAGTGCCGCAGGTATTTCAAGAAGGTGTGTTTGTAGGGAAATAGTATGTTGTAACTTATTTGGTCGCTAGGTAAACAAAATTCTCCGCATGAAGATATACCTCAATAAGCTTCTACAAAGAGCACTGTACACCTAATCTGCATGCATAGGCTTTTCTATACCTAAAACCCCCTGGCACGCCGTCAATCCCGATCCACTGAAGGAAAAAAGAGGAAAAAACTCCCCCAAGAAATGACCCTAACCACACCACATATCACGGCAAACAGCTTCCTAACAACAACGACCACCACCAGCACAAGCTCCACAACGACAGATGACCCAGAGCCCGTACTAATATACTTCATCACCGGAAACCCAGGGCTTATATCCTACTATCATGCATACCTTTCCCTTCTAAGTTCAGAACTCTCTCCTGGTACCGATGTTGATGGTTGTGGTGCTCCTGATAGCGGGAGCTGGAGCAACAGCAACAGCAACCGCAACATCCCCCAATGCATCATCCATGGAAAAAGCATGGGCGGTTTTGAGATTATTGAAAATGACCGAGGTGTGAGTAACGTTAATGGAGGGACAGAAGCGCAAGCGCACCCAAGAGCAGCAGCAGCAACGAATACGAAGCTATACAACCTCTCAGAACAGATTGAGCATGTGGAGCGCAACCTGAACGATTTCGTGGATGCATGGCGTGCGAGGATGGATTGGAGACAGGAGACGGACGGCAACGGCGTTGCTCAAGAAGAAGAAGAAGAAGGAGGAGGAGGAGTAGAACGACGGCAGCGCGGAGGTGCTAATGTGATTTTAATCGGCCATTCGGTTGGTGCGTATGTCGCTATGGAGCTCATAAGACGACAGCGGGAGAGGAATAGTAAGAGACAGACGAAGACATCATCATCAGCCGGCAAGGGGGAATGTGGAAATGGAAATGATGGTGCGATGGACATTATCGGCGGAATCCTGCTGTTTCCGACTGTGGTTGATATTGCGAAGAGTTCGTCTGGGAGGAAGTTGACTGTTCGTTTATTTTGGGTTTTACTTTTTTTTAATCACTGCCTCTTTATTTCGATTTTGTGTATACTTTTCCCCCTATCTCATGTTTAAATGTCTTCTACGCTTATGGCATATACATACCCCCTCATCTATCCGTCCATCCCTACAAAATACCTTTTATCCTACCATGTTGGCATACAGACTACTTTACTAACAAACATCCAAATTCGCAGCGACTTCTCTACATTCCTTACCTAGCCTTACTCACAAGCCTGCTAGTCAAGCTCCTCGTATTTATACTGCCGGGATCTTGGTTACGCAGCGTGGTGGGGATGGTTATGGGTTCGCCCCCAGGAAACGCAATTGACACAACAGTGGAGTTTTTAAGGAGTAGACGGGGTGTTGAGCAAGCGATGTGAGTAATAGATGCGATTTTTCTCTCTTTTAAAATGTGTTCTCTTTCGTATTGGCTGTTTTCTCTTTCTTTCTATCTCTTGCCCCTTATTCCTTCGAACTCCCCGTTTCTTTTCCCAATTGCGCACATGGGGTTAAAAAATAACCTCCACTAACTAAACATCAACCACGGCATATACAGACACATGGCCGCAGACGAAATGCGCGAGATAACATCCGACACATGGAGTGACGAGATTTGGGGCATAGTTTCGTCATCACCCGCACGTTCATCAACGCCAATATCAACCACAGCTTCAGTGCCAGCAAAGGTACCACTGAATCTGGTGCTATATTTTGCACAGCAAGATCATTGGGTAGCTGATCAGACGAGAGACGATATTATTCGAGCTAGGGGTGGTATGGAAAAGGGCACGGGTAGTAATGGTCCCAGGATGCAAGTGTGCGAGGATGGAGTGGTGCATGGGTTTTGCATTCGTGAGCACTCATTTTCTTTCTTTATCCTTTCATATTTCTCATTCTCCTGCTGTTTCTAAGAAAGTTATGAGCTTGCGAGGTGGCAAATGATCACTGGAGAGGGGATGAAGTTCTAGTTCTGACTAACTCCTCCCCTGTTTCTCATATATAGGGCATAGCGATATCATGGCAAAAAAGACCGCCGCGTGGGTGAGGGATATTATCCAAGGGCGACAGAACGGCCAGCGGTTCACTACAACCGCGTAGGCAGATAGGCAATACATAGACCCATACTCTCAATAGATCCCTTGTTTTTGTCTGGCAGAGAGACGGCGCATGGGGATGCCGAAGACATAATCAATAGGTGTCACAAAAAGCCGTAGGAACAGACTATCTAGCTATTTGCCAAAAGTCCTCCCGTCCAATTAAGGCCTAAGTCGTATATAGAAACTACATTCAAGTAGCCTCTAGGTCACTGTGCGGGAGCTTGATAAGCCTTTCTGAAAAGCGCACCAAGTACATCACTTCCTGCGGTGGTTGTTGGTAACTGCGGTGGAGCAGCGGGCGGAACTGGCCAATACCCGCTTCCCTGCTGCCCGTGATGTTGATGTTGATGATGTTGCTGCTGCTGCTGCGTTTCTGAATCGACGTTTCGTAACGCGGGACTGTGAACCTTCACGCTCCACTCATCATCCTGCTGCCTCTGCTGTCCAAACAACTCTTTCAGCGAAATCTGCCGATCCATGGGCACACCACCCTGATACAACTCCTGATCTCCATGAACCTGCGCATCACCCAGGTTTGCCTCCGCAGCAGCCCTCTCCTGCGCAAATTTCCTACTCTCCCCACCATGCACTGCACACTCTTTAATAATCTGCGCATTCAACGTCCTAGTCTCCGCCGTGGAGCTAGGAGGGGGCTCCGAGAAGATCCACAGCCCATAAATAACCGACTGACGACCATCCGCCGACTTGATCGTGGTCGCGCTAGGCTCCGTGCCCGTCGACGCAACTTTCAAAATGACATATTCCTCCGTAATCTCCACATCCTCGCCGTCCGCAAGCATGGCTTCGAAATTCTGCATGCCGCGCCGGTTCAGGACCAGCACACTATAGCGCTCCTCGCCCAGCTCGCCCTGGGTCAGCTGGCAGACAAACATGGTGCCTTCGATGCCGCTCTTCTCCCACAGCTGCGTCGTAGCGCTGAAATTGTAGACGACAGCGTAGGGGGCGAGGGAGAGGATGGAGCGGATGTCTGGATTGTGGCGCTGGAGTACGGCGAGGTTGAGCTCTTCGTTCGTGCGCGTTGGGGGTTTTAGCTGCGAAGGGTCGGTGGCCATGGAGGAGGAGCCGTTGGCGGCAATCCGGGTGTCTGAGATGTAGTTATTTTGAATATCTGATTCGTAGTCAGAAGGCTGGGCCAGGTTTGAGGGATTGCGGTTGTGGGAGGATCGATAGGAGGGTTGTTGATGATTGTTGCTGGGCATGTTACTGCTCCGGTCTTGACCCCGTCTGAGAGGCATGGCTGCGGCTGCTCTATTATGCTACTGTACTGTGTATTGTAGTTATGTTCCAGTTGGGTGAATTAGTTAAAGGGAAGGCGGCAGTGGTGAAGGTTGTTGACATTGAGAGATTGAGGCTGATGAGGATAAACAAAGAAAAGTAACGTGAGGAGGAACTTATTTAAATCGGCTGTGGCTTGGAACAAACGGCTCGGCCGACGACGTCAACGACAACTAAATATGTCCACCAACATCTGGACTTGGACTTAAACAGTTGAGGTATTATATCAACCCCTGATTAATGCATATAATACAACGAAATGTGACTCCAATTGATGTGCTTTGAGCTCGTTCTTCCGCTTCTCCGTTATCTTCACACCCTCAGCCCCTCTTCTAAACACATGAGCGAAGCTTATTTGGCTTTCAGCTTGCCACACCAGCCTAAGAACCGCCCAGCTGACCGGTTAGCACAAGGGTTTGTGAACATCTGTCATGAACGCATCGCGGTGGAAGCGCTCAATGTATCAACGTATTTAGCTTTGTCGCCATGAGGAGCAGATAAACGTGGTTGGGCTCTTTTACGTATCTACTCATCCTCAATCGCTTAGTTACCACCCCGCAAACCATGGCCCCGAGCGACGCCCACGAACCCGCCACCGCCCCCGCCCCTGGCCCCGCAGATGTGCCAGGCGCTTTCCCTGACACCCTCGACAACGACGACGGGGATAGCTCCCTATCCTCCGGTCTCCAGTCTATCTCTCGAGCCCTTAAAGCTAGGAGGTCTGAATATATCCGCCCGCGGAAACTCCGCGTGAAAATCGGGACGTGGAATGTTGCCGCCTTACCAGGTACAGAGGACGACGTGGCCTATTGGTTCGCCAAAAGAGCTGGACGGTCACCGAATTTACCGTCGAAGCCCTTTGGCGACAGGACAAACGATATACATGCTAGATCGGGGAATACCAAGAATGGCCTTCGGCGCTCTGGCAAGGCGGGATCCTGGGTCGATCAGGAATTGGCAGGTTGTGGATCTGTACAGTTGGCTGCTGGCGAACCTGTCTCGGCTGGGCCTGGGGCTGCGGGCGCCGACGATATCGATATTTATGTGCTGGGACTACAGGAAATTGTGGACGTTTCATCTCCGTCGGAGTCGCTGAAGCCATATGTCGATCCGGCGCCGTCCAATCGATGGAAGGAAGCCGTTCGGAATGCGCTGCCCCCGGGCTATAAAATGGTAGCGTCGCAGCAATTGGTTGGCCTACTTCTACTAATATTCGCATCTCCATCAGTGGCGCCAACGATATCTTCTATCAGTTCCGTGGGTGTAGGCACTGGGTTGATGGGGTACATGGGGAATAAGGGCGGAGTAGCTACGCGAATAGTCGTAGGAGGAACAACTCGACTCGTCTTTGTCAATTGCCATTTAGCGGCCGGTGCAGATAAGGGCAGTTTGGACAGGAGGAACTGGGATGTTGCGCAGATTATCAACCGCACCAAATTCGATCCTCTAGACGAGGAGGATATCTTGGGCGACGACGGTAACACGATCGGCTACGAGGACTTTGCTTTTTGGTTTGGCGACCTTAATTATCGCCTGGACGATATTCCTGGTGACGACGTACGTCGGCTATTACATTTACATACCGGAAATAAGTTCCGTGGGACGAGCTCTCCTCGCATTCCTAATGAAAATGTGCCGCTTTCCCCGTCAACACAGAATAGCAATGGGAATAGTTTTGCTTCTTCTGACCAACTGCCAATAAATACAATATCAAATTCCGGATTTACCGAGCCGCTTATAACATTGGAGGACAATTCTATCATCGAACCGCTTCTTGATCCAATGTCCCTTGAAACTACCCTCGCTTCTCTACTCCCTCATGATCAGCTTCACAGGCAGCAACAGACGGGGAAAGCATTTCAGGACGGTTGGAGAGAGGGAGACATTTCCTTTTTGCCAACCTACAAATACGATATCGGAACCACCGGCACATTTGACTCAAGTGAAAAACAACGTGGACCTAGCTGGTGCGATCGAATCCTGTTTCGGTCACGGCATGATTTTTTAGAATACAAGCGGAAGGTTAAGGAGGCCGAGGAAGCAAAGAAAAGAGATGAGGAAATGAAGGCCCTTGGCTTAGGACAAGGGGAGGAAGATGATAACGTTCTTTTTGACTACGATCCGGATTTAGATGGTGCCAATGATTATGACGAGAATGAAGATACAGTGGAGCCCAGCAGCGCTCCTCATAGTAGTCAGTTGGAGCACATAGACACGATTCAAATGACCTATTATACATCACATCAAGAGATCGTGTCGTCCGACCACAAGCCGTTGGATGCGGAATTTGTCCTTAGTTTTGATGCCGTCGATCCGGGGTTGAAGGCCAAAGTACATCAGGAAGTTGTCCGCGAGTTGGACAAAGCAGAAAACGAGAACCGACCTGGAGTGACAATTGTTGTGGAGAATCAACCAGAGGACAGCAGAGAGGACTACCAGACATCCTCCCTCGCTAACGATCCGAACGCTGTCAACTTTGGTCAGGTACGATACGATGTTCCTGTGTCGCGCAACGTGACGATTGCCAACACAAGCGGAGCCCCGGCGACGTTCGGTTTCTACTATAGCCCATCAGATAATGGAGGAGAAAGTGTTGCAACTCCTTCCTGGCTTCATCTTCGGGTAGACGGGAATCCCGATGCCGATGCCCAACATCCCAAAAGTCGCCCGGAGTACACATTACAACCTGGTGATACGATAAATGTACAGCTGATTCTATGTATATACGATATCAATTATGTTCGGGAGTTAAATAACGGGGAGGCGCAAATCGAGGATGTTTTAATTTTACAGGTCACTAACGGGAGGGATTACTTCATTCCGGTACACGCTACTTGGATTCCGACGTGTTTTGGTTTTTCTCTAGATGAGCTTACACGGATGCCAGAAGATGGAGCCCGCCAGCTTGATATCAAGGCTCAACCACTACGCTCAAGCGAAAATCATGACAAACAGGGTACCCGCGTGTCAGCGCCTCGCGAGCTCTTCAGATTGACAGAGGCGATAGCTGACCTTACAGAACGGGCTGTCGCAGAATGGGGCCAGGTTGGAGATAATAATTTCGAAAATAATCCGCCGCCCTGGGATACCGAGAAAGGAGGGTGGCCGTTCGAAGAGCAAACATGGGGCTTCACAAATAATCACGAACGATATCACCTTCTTTCCCGCGTCCGAGATGCCCTGGATACCAATTCACCCCTTACATCCATATTCCCCCCCGAGCTCCGATCCCAAAATAGAGTTGAACTCCTTGCAGAAACGCTCCTATCATTCCTCAAATCTATCCGCGGCGGCATGATCACCGCCCCACTTTGGCACGAACTAGAACAAATAGTAATAAGCAACGAAAAGTCCAAATCCCCACCATCCACCGAACAATCCCAATCAAGAATCCTCGAAGCTCTGTCCTCCTCCCCCGCTCATAGCGTCTCTTTCACTTTCCTTACTTTCATGCTAAATCGTATCACCAATGAAATTGCCCCTCTTTCAACTCCAGCCGCTCAAACAACTCCGACATCCCCGACAACACCCCTGGAAACCCCATCGATATCTACAGCTTCCCTACCCGGCTCCCCATCATCAACGCCAGTACCTCCTTCTTCAGCCACCTCAAGTTCTGCGACCGCATCCCCACCACTTTCAATTAACCCTCTGTCTAGAACGTTTAGTATCCGCCGAGGGAATCCACTCAACTACTCATCATCCGCCGGAACCCACACTGACACCACGGGTGCTCCTGCTGCTGCTGCTGCCACGGTGGGAGCGAAGCCAACGACCGCGTCCGCAAGGCGCCAAGCAGTCAAGAAGGTGTTTACGAAAATATTTGCAGAAACAATATTTTCGAGTGATATTCCGCGGCCGGAGAAGGATAAAGAGAGGCGACTGTGCGAGGAGAGACGGAGGCGGGTGTTGGAGCCGTTTTTGGAGTGATTCTCCCTGGCGCCATTTTCTCCGCCTCTTCTTCTTTGCTTTTGCCGGATGGGAATGCTTTCAAGCTATATATCCGCCGTGTTTATTAACAGTTTTCATTTGTATATCCTTGTTTTGTTGCTTCATATTTTCCGGCTCTCGTTTAGAGTCGCTAGTTATGTGTTTGGAGTGATTGCCCTAGATATATATATTATGCGTCCCGAGACGTTCTGAGCTGCATAGAGCAATATACGAAACTACGTTTGACGTTTCATGTTCCCCACAGCAATATATACATGTATACCTACCCAACTTCCATGAAATAAACTCTCAGTTCCAGGTCCCAAAACAGCTTAGCTGAATTCACCTCAAGGATTCCGGACACCTTCCCTATTTCAGTTTAGTTTCCAAACTCTATCCACCAACCTTATATTTCCTGCGCTCAACCTTGCTATGTGATACCAACGACACAAGAGAACTCGCGCACGGCGCAAAAGCTACGGATAGAACTTGCCTTCTTATAGTGAAAAACACAGAGCCTACCTAAAAGGGTGTCTGTCTCTTTTAGATAAAATAAGTTGGAGGGAGGGGTTCTATGTAACACCCTCATAGCCTACAGATGAGAGCTCAATATATCAGCCTTTCTTAGGCCTTGATCTGATCTTGATATGCTAATATGTTAAAATTAAAAGGTAGTACTGTCTGCATGCACACGACGAGGTATATCGAGGAAAATCATTGAGGAATATTGTCAGCTACAGATGCGGGATTTATTCCCTTCTTTCACATTATATCTTCGGCACAACATGGACTTGCTTTGCGTTTGTTAATGTTCATATTCGTACGATGGAGGATAATCTTGTCAAAGCCGTTGATAACGCATTTTCTATACATACACATAACATATTCATGCAAATTTCAAATGAAGCCATGTCTATCTTGCATTCCGTCCACCCCCAATAGCCCCGTGCATCATTCGGTTGCGTGGCATCCATAACGTAGAGGATCCACAGTATACAAGAGAGAAGAGGTAGGTAGGTTCTGGGAGAAATAGAAATAGAGAAATGGGGAAGATAGAGAAATTCCGCCGGCCGGGGAAAAGATTCTGAATAGCTAACTAGCTAGCTTGACTACTTGCTCGATATCAATTGGAACCAGGTGTCTCTTATGGCGCGTTTGACTGTCCATTAAACTGATTGTAAGGTAAAAAGTCATTATAAGGCATGCGAGGCAGTTCCAAGGGGATTGATTGATTGATTGATTGGGAAGGCCCAAAACTCAAATCAAGGGACAAGAGAAGGGGGGAAAAGAAGAAGAAGGAAATGGTCGGTCCTATGCAATTTCGCTGATGATCGCTCAAAGTTGCTCGACGTAAATATTCCCCGTGAACAAACACGGAATGAAGACACGCTATTATAATTGGAAGGGGAGAAGAGGACGAAAAAAAAGGAAAATATGAAAAGCTGAAAAAAACTTTAGAAATTACAGAATATACCAGAATACAACCTAGTGAAAGTCCCGAAGATACATCCTAAACCAAGCCCAACACGAAATACCCAATGCCTGGGGACCAAAGTCACGACGAAGTTCATGCCGAAGCAAAAAGTGAAAAAAAGGAAAGATGCATGCGACAATAAATAGAAGAGATAACGGGGAAATAAGAATAAAGAGTGATTCCAATCCAGAATTCCAACAGAGAAAGAAGAAAATCCAAAAACAATATAGTTGGGAATAAATAAGAAATAAATAATAAAATAATAAATAATAAATGCTCCGTCCCTATCCTTCCCATCCGTCCAAGAAAGTCGAGCAAATCAATAGAAGACGAGGATGAATCAAAACAAATCGCAAAGCACCCACACATGCACACGCACACGCATCCTAACTTGGAAAAAGGGAAACGTTCCCCCATAAATAACTTCCTTCCCAAGCCAAGCCAAACACATGAAATAAAAGAAGGTAACTCAGCAAATTAAAGACAAGCAAAAAGTTAAAAAATAAAACAAAAAATAACCGAAAAAATGGAAAAAAACGAGGGACAAGTGGGAAACATAATAAAAAAAATCACAAGGTATTACCATCCATATTTTCCCTCCATTTTTTTCGTCCCCGCCTCCAACCCCCCGATGATAAAACGCAAAAAGATCCCATCTCCAAATGCAATTTCTTGTACAAAAAGAAATGAGGGCGAAAGGGGAAAAAGCGAGTTCGTTCCGTGCCTCTCCCCAACGCCGTCGCAAAACCTCCTGAAAATAAGCGTTGCAACGATCCCCGGTGTCATTCCTGAATATCGCGCGCCGCATCACCCCAAAAGCAAAAGCAAAGAGAAGTAGAGAGAATCAAGTTGAAACGCCCCCGTGTCCGCAAACGAAGAAAACAAATTTAAGTCGTGAAACGCTGTTGTGTTTTTGCCGCTTTTTTCCCCTCAATTAAATGTTTAGTCCTTCAATTTTCCCTCTGACTTAGCCCCAGACGGAAGCCTGGACACCCAATGAGTTCTTGGATCGCCACATGCCGCTTCCATTACCCCAACTCAGGCCGACATGGCCGGAGGATTCGTTCGCTCCAGAGCCAGAGGCTGGGGCAGTGGTTGAGCTGGAAGGGTTGGATGCAGAGGAAGTAGACCGTTCGTTCCCGTTCCCGCCCGTGTTTGTATTGGTGTTCGCGGCCTCGTCTGGAGAAAAACCGTAACCCAAGGGAGAAGGAAGTGGAGTTGTTGAGCGCTTATTCAAAGCTGGGTTACTCGCCTGGTTGCTGGTGGATTGCTGGGGGGCAGGGCGAGACCCAATGGGTCCAACAGATGTAACATTTTGTTTCGAGCCGAGCTGACGAGAGGCGGAATCCGCGTTGCCGCTTCCAGGGGAGGAGGTATGCGGTTGTTGCTGCTGCTGGCCAGGGTTGGTGTCAAAGATACCGTACGAGGTGGGTCCAGAGCTGGGGGAGGCATTGCTGTTGGCTGGTGAGCTGGACTGGGGAACGACAGGAGATGGCCTAGTGTTGGCTCCCGACGTGGACTGGGGAACACTTTCGGAGCTACCCTGCACCTGGGTTTGACCAAGGCCAAAGGGATCTACACCTCTAGGGGAAGGGCCTCTTACCCCTGCGGCAGTGGCAGCAGGATTGCCAGATGATTGATTTTCCTGACGAGAGCCCTGATGCTCCTCAGCCATGCCACCACTGGGGTAGAAATCGGGACTAGCATTGCCATACAAAGAACGGCGCTGGCGTGCAATCCATTCGCGTCGACTTTCTTCGCTCATCGCAGCGGGGCTCATGGAACGATCGGATTTGTTTCCAGACATTTCGGAGGAAAGGCCTTTTTCCAATGAAAACCCATGTTAAGATACAAGTACAAAACCACATGAACATAGATTTTGGCAGAAAGAAGTAACAGGGAATCGTATACAATGCAAAATAGTAATGATAACACATATTGGTCCGAGAAAGAAAAAGGGAATCAGAATGACCAAAAGAAGACAAGAGATATCAAAGAAAGAAAACGAATAGCAACGCTCGTCACGTACGATGGATCTGCTGCTGATGGTGGTATTTGCGGAGTTCTCCCTCTCGCTGTGCTGCCATACGTCGCTTTGCCTGCATCATCTGCTCTACTTCGTTTGGACGACCTTGGTAACGTTGGGCAGCATAGAAACCTTGCACGTTGGATGCAGAGTGGGGCCGGAGTGATTCGTAGTCGCCAATGGAGCTATGGCGCTGGGGCATTACATTCATCATGCGAGCATCTTTAAGACATATTTTAGGATACGAGAACCAAAAGGGAGGGGTTTTTCTTCTCCAAGGCGGGTGAATAAAACATACCATAGTCTGGGTAGGGGCGGTTCATCATCAGAGGTACAGACTCCCGTCGAGGAATAGCATTGAACAATTTCCCGCTTTTCACCAGGTTATCAATGGCGCGATCAACCTCTTTTTGTCTTATCAGTACGTGGTTCCAAAGAAAAATATAGTTAAGGTTTCCCAAAAAGCTTATGTAATGGTGTTCCAGCGCCAACCATTAAAAAAAAGGCAATTTTAAAGAAATTCCATCCATACCATCAAACTGTGATGAAAACGCAGCTGCATCATCGCGCTGGGAGGTAGAGCTGGTGCCTATAGCCATGAGATAATAGTGTTAGAAGATGATCTTCCATCCTCAAAGCCAGCGTGGCGATGCTGACAAACCTGATCGCGAAGGGGGAGCCGGTTGCTCCCAGGATGCTTGGCGCATGGGAGCCTGCCAGCCTTGGGGTTCGTAATATGCCATGATTATCGACCCGGAATGTCTCCAATATGCAAGGGCCAACGACTTGAGCAAGCTTATAGGACGGGCAGTAATGCAGGACCGGTCGAGAAAAAAGGAATGTATGTTCGCTCGGGAGAGGGGATCGTCACGACTTTCTCAGACCTAAAATACAAGAGCACACGGCTGGTAAGCATTTAAAACAGGTAATATCAAGAGGCAACACGCCACATAGAAGGAGGAGTTATGAGATGGAGAACATATAAATCGAGGATTTGAGATTGAAGCAGCGGAGCAATAGGTGAACTGAAGGAGATGCTGTGGGTTTTAGGTGAATGGGAGCAAATTTAACAGGTTATTATTGCATGGAGTTTGTCATCTCTCCATATATCCCAACTGAAAAATTTCGCTTCATTTGGAGTAGCTTAGCGGATTGACACTTTGCATGGAAGAGAAAAATATGGGGCAAGCCAGTTTTCACTGGATATATTTGGTGGTACTGGTTGATGGGTGATGGAGTGAAGGCAGGTGACAACTCGTATCCCTGAGGTTCAATATACACTCAACGGTGAGAAGAAAATGGGCTCTACAGGTCATAAACTCACAGTACATACAAAAGGAGTGCGACACTGTGATGTCGAATAGTTGTACCCTTTACATATAACTACTTCACTTCAACCACCCACACGAGTCGATGGGGAGAGGAGTGGAGCCAACAGCGGAACAGGCAAGAAATAAACTGAAACCCCTGAGACGAACAAGGGAGGGGAGAAATGGAGAGAGCGTGAGAAGAGAGAGCAAGAAGGAGAAGCCAAGAGAAGGGCGATTCCTCGAGGGCGGTTGAGTAAGTCGGAGGGGGATGATGATGGAAAAGAGAGAGAGAAGGGAAAAGGAGAGTGGGAGCGAGAGAGAGAGGATGCGAGGATGTGAAGGATGTAAAGGATGTTGAGTGAGGATGGATGAAGGGATGAGGGATTGAGGGATGAAGGGTGAGACCTGGCTTGACTGCGAGGCGACGACGAAAAAAAGGCAGCGCCTGGCAGAAAACGGAAAGGCGGGTGCGGTAATCGCTCGTTAGCGGCGGCGCTGGTCGGGTTGGGCCAGTGTCGCCTTGTACTGTAGTTACGTACTGTAGGTAGTTAACTCTGTACCGCCATTATTATTAATTACCACTTACCACTACCACTACACGAAAAAATATCACGAAAATAGCAAATGTTTTTGGTTTTTTTTTTTAAAAAAAAAAATAAAAATAAAAATTGGGATGGTCGAACATGATCCGCTTCCTCTAGAAGTTCATGACTCATCTCATAAAAAGTAAAAAGCCAACCTGCTCAGGAGATGAGAATCTTGCCTCTCCGGAGACAAAGGTGGTTGCTCTGAAATTCTACGTACAGTCTGATACGCGCGCGTTACATACATACGTAGGTTTGGTTCATTATTACAGCTCGTACGGTTTCGTTCGATTGCTCTCAAGGTTGCTTCTGTTATTAATAATTCATTCTTCTAATAGTTAATTAGCACTTGTCACTCACCGCAGTTGAAATCAAATGATATTTTATTTATCTATGAAGCTGATATGTACATTACATGTCCTAGTTCATAGTTCATCCTCCTTTTGGCCTCCTCCATCTTCTGCCGTGTTCGATACAGCAAGCAAAAACCATGAAACCATCAAAGCTGCCTTTCCCACCCACTCGCTCTCTGCCCCTCCATGCACATTGCGGAGCTTCCTAGAAAGATATCCCCCGCATGAGCCGAAAGCCATCTGCAACCCCAAAAGCCATTGATTAGGCGGACGCTTCCGCCCATCCGTTGGCCTATCGAATTTGTGGCCTTGATAATAATAATCGCCTCGCTACCCTACCCTACCTGCACCTCCGTCCGTGGTCTGTATGAAAGCTATGATATAAATAAACCTGAGCGAGTGAGTATCTATCTCTCCTCCCTTCTAGATTTCATCAATGTATCTTCCTCATCGCAATAGAAGGAATAAGAGAACATTCATAAACAATACCCCACATTAGAAAATGGAAATAAGCCATCCTCTGCCCCCCACGAACCATAGCTAATTATCTCTTTCACCCCCAAAATAGTGCAGGTCAAATCAGCAGCCTGTACATACATGGATGTACTGTACACCTCCAGCGCCCATTTGGAGAAGACCAAGATCAAGAAGAAGAGTAAGTTAATAAAAGCGGAGTTGGTGCAGGCTAAATACAAATCTAGTTGTTGGTAGGCGTAACACTTGTCCTTCATCCCCCCCCAGTCCCCTTTTTACTCATCTACAGGAATGAAAATCCACCTTTCTAAATCCCCACCCCTCTTTCTCTCTACACGTTTGCCCCCAAAAAATAGAGAATTATTCATCTAGTGGGAGGATTGTAATGTATGTACATGTACATACATATACTGCGGGGAATAGCGCTGCCTGAATTCCAGTCATGTTATTACCTACTTCCCTTGTTAGTTAGTTATTAAGAAAGTCAATGGGTTTATTTATATTTTCTAACCGTTACGAGTAGATATGCCTGAATAATGTCCTTGTCTGATGAGATATGAGAGAATATACTGGTGATAAAGCCCGCAAGTTTATGTACATGTATCTATCTTGCATTGACATTTCTCTGCAAGACTATGGTGAAATAAGATGAGCATATATATAAGCAACATCTATGCAAATCCTTCTATCCATACGATTTTACCGATGACAGGTGAGGGCCAAGACAATTGATGAAAGCTATTCCCTTCTATCTTCTATAGGAAAAAAAAAGAAAGAAAAGGAGAAAGAAAAGAAAAAAGGGAAACAGTAGAGAACAAACGAGAAAAGACACTATCAGACTGCTACAATCAAGCTTTTAAATATCATCAACCCAGAAAATATTTCTGAAAACCCTCGAGAAAGAAAAGGAAAACAAGACATAAGCCCCTTACCACCTGTTCCTCTTAACATCATCATATCATCATGCCAATCATCATAATTGACAACCGTATGCGGCCCAATTTCTCCTCCCCCTCCGTGCAATGTGCCGTGATGGCCCATTCCTTCTCCCTTGTTCATGCAGGAGCACAAAATCCGCACGGGCATTTTTAGACATATGAATTATCTTTTCCGGTCTCCACGAGCTCTTTCTCCAAGCCCTTGATGTATGCGTGTATAGTCTTACTCCTGTTCTGGGAGAGGCACACAGACAATATACCAGAACCAGTGCGTCGTAGTTTCGAATCCCTTCTGAATAAACAGGCATCCCACTTTCCTTCATCTTATTGCTTCAGTTCTGGACAGGGACGGAGTTTAGTACTCAGTTTTCGAACGAAGGTAGGCCCTTTCTAAAAAGCATCAATGGAGAAGGAAGAGGTAGGTAAAAAATAACACATAAAAGAGCCGTTCAAGTGCCCTACGATACTTGTGCAACCTCGTTTTTCGAGCTGTTGATGTTCGATTGGAACAGCAGCAGCTGTGCTTTATGAGGGCCAAGGACACAGTCAACAGTTTGGCGGTTGGAAAACACAGAGTGCTTATTGAGTAGGGGATCCGAGGGTGCAGGCGAGAAAGGGGGTGAATTGAGGCGCATATCAAGTGCGACTTCTCCACAGAGAGATAAAAGAAAAATTCCGAGAAATCGCTTTGAGAACACCGAGACAAGTTTTATAGGCTGTTTATACTGAATCTGGTGTATAAGGAAAAGTTGGCACAGGAGATTTCTTCTCTCTTTTATGTCCAGGACGCCGGCCAGCCATCATCAGGTCAGCAATATGCGTACTATGGAGCTTTGGTCTCCTCTGTTCTATTCTTATCATGATTGATTCTGGCTCTGCTCAAATAGCCAGTCTTTTTAGATTGCACTTCACCAGCGCAAAGTTAGCCTATACTATTAGTTATCCCCAGCGCGAGCAGAGAGGCTAGAGAGAGGTGCTCATCAATCACAATGGGGGAAGAAATGTTCCAATCTATGAACTTCACAGATTGGAACTGCCTTGAGTACGGTTAGCAAGGTTTTCTCTCCGATATTATCACCCTGCCGTATATAAGGATGTTTCATTTTGCCGAGATTCCATCAAGCGGGTGACATCAGAGCCATTGCTCTCTCAGAGGTCATGAGGGAGCCTCATATTCAGCCATCAACATTTCAAAATCTATTTATATCAAGCTTTGCGACAACCTCTTAGCCGCCGTCCATCCACCGTCCATCCCGCTAAAGCTGCCCAGGCGGTGCTTGGCTTCCTCAGCCCTTTTTAAAAGTCACATTGGATGGGATGGGAAACCTGCAGGGTTAGAGGAGCTTCCTCTTATGGATTAGATGCCCAGAGGTGGTATTCAAGCCGGATGGAATCTACTAAAAGCAGCCAGCACCAACCGAGCGTACACATGAATCAAATATATTATTTGTCAATCTCCAGGCACTGCATCTTTGGACATCAAACAAGAAGCGGAGTTTTGCATTAGTCACAAAACACTTATCCCCAGACCTAGACCTCGAGCCGTCGATGCTGCTGAGGGCTCCGCTGATATACATTATTATTATTGTCTATTTTCTCAGTTACATGGCTTCCGTTTGTCTTCAGAAGAAATGATATGTAGCTTATGTTATTAACCAGACAGTTTGATGATCTTGAAAGACTGCCATGGCTGATTTTGCTTCTGGTACGGTACTGCGTTGAAAATTTCTTCGATTCTGGAAGCCCTAAGTGCTCTGATGTTTTTTTTTTTTTTTTTTTTTTTTTTTGTCGTTGCCAACCTGTTCGTTCAATCAGTTCACATCATCTTCGATATGAACGAAACAGCCTCTACCACTAAAAATCGAGGTGAAAGATATCCTTTGATTGGATGCATCGAAGTCACTGCAATTAGCAACCGGTTTCAGGTTTCATCCATACCATAACCAAAACGTATTCTGAATAAATATAGATTATTTTTCAAACACAAGCTCGTTGCCGGCTGTATCGTGAGACTAATGGATTCAGCTATACGTATGGCAGTGCCCAGCGATGCCTCACTCGCGTGAGCATCTCATCATTGTTAAAGCCGTATGTGCGTTTGATATCTATTATGGCTGCGGGATGCACAATATAAGTATTGATAGAGACAACATGGATAGTGAGACGTTTCTCACGGCATTTATCAACCCAGGCTGAGGTTCCATAAAACTTTTGACGAAGACTCCTGAAACATGGGATGTCTCGCACCGCCCTGGTGCGATAGCTCCAGCTCACCATGGTCGTCCTTCTCGCTGCTGTCCATTTCATTTGTTGACATAAAAGGACGGGGCGGAAAGGCTTATTTATTTAGCGCCAAGTACTCCGTATGTTTCCCGTCCTGCATTTTGTTCCTCGACGGCTGGGGCTCATAGGACCTAGCACCACACAAACCACAAGATAAAGATAGCGGAGACTCTTGGGGCGGAAATGCTGTCATGAATGGCACTTCTTTACAACCGTGGCGCTTAGAGAGAGTCAACCGGTATCACTGCTCTCATGTCTGATGGGTGTACTGTATGTACACATGTACACAGGGGCATCTTTGGCCAAGCAAGGTTCTCTGTGTCCAATCACGATTAATCTTTGGGCTGCGGCTCTCGTTGTGAGCCTGTGATAGGCATGCATAGCTAGCTGCCTGCAAGCCAAGGGCGCTCATCCCGCTGATACGTGGGCAAGATTAGCCGCCACGGAAGACTTCGTGGCAAGGCTGTAGGGGCTGATGCTTAGTCGAGCTCCGATCTTTAAATATCTCGAGGCTCACCCGCCCCTGGGGAAGAAAGGTCCTGACTCGATGGAGTCACTGTGAAATTCCTAGGGTATTTGGTGAATTTCACTGGAGAAACGCCCGAGAAAAAAAATGCTTGTGGACGTCACAGAAAAGAGTAAGATGCCAGTTTCAAATCCACTGTATGTAGCAGGCGATTAACCTAAGAAACAGTTGGCGATGTTATATCACGGCGGCAGCAGTCGACGCTGGAGGAGGAGTTGCGCCAGGTAAGCTGCTGAAAGTCAATTGCACTCATTGTTCATGGCCAACTTGTATTTGCACAACTCATATTGACTTCGCCGCAAACAGCAACCTTCTAATTCCGTCCGTATCGCGTAAGTATAGAAATAATTTTTTTTTTTTTTCATGAACCACCTCTCCTGCTCTTCGTGTCTTACTGACTCAATTTCGCAGCTTTGCCGGCATGAAGAAAGATTGCGAAAAATGGATAGCGAATAACCCAAATGCTATCACAAAACTTCCAATCCCTCATCAGTTTTGGGCCACTTGCACGGAAGATTTGAACGGATGCTCCAATGCCATATATTCCCATGGTGGTTACGGAGAGCTTGTAAACCTTGGTAGGTGCTGCCTCGAGGAAATTCCTAACTCATCACTGAACTCATAAGCTAACAACTGGTAGATACATGGTCTTGCTTCAAGCTCAAAGAAGCCTCCAGCGACAAGAAATATGTTTGGTATCAAATGACAATGTTCATCAGATGGAACCCGATTAAACAAACTACTTTTATCTTTTGTTCGGACTTCCTCCAATGCCTGCGAGACGGATTGAACCGTCGTATATCTTCTGTCGGCCCAAGTGACCCATTTACCTGGCACGCTTCTTTTGTTGACGAGCTTCGGTTGTTATACGATAATTTTTTTTGGAAGTTCCGGAATTTAGTCCGCGATGCAGAGAAGGTGACCACCGACATTTTATTTTAATCTTCTATTTTCATCTTCCGTCCTTCTTAAAAAAACTAATTTTACGCAGGAACGAAACGAGCCCCAGGCGACCGGGCCCAATTTCCCAAGACTTCACGATATTGCAAGACATGTGATTCACTCAGTTGAAATTCTTGATGTTGCGATAGAGACAGTGGACAGCATCCTCCACGAACATGACCTATTTATCTCAAATGAAGGGAGCACTGTCGCTTTCCCAATACCAGATTTAAAAGCAAACGACGTTACGCGACGCCTGTACTATCATTCTAGGGAACTTCGTGCGATTAAAGCACGATCCGCTTCTCTATACGATCGACTAAAGAATGAAATTAGCCTTGTGAGATCCCTCTTTTATGGAACGTTGTGATGGCGATGATGTATTGCTCACCTCAATCTATCGCATTGTAGTCATTCAACCTCGTCTCGCAAACAGACACGGCCGCAATGAAAATTATATCCGCCGTAGGCTTGATTTTTCTCCCCGGAACATTCATATCGGCAAGTCTCACTAGCACCTATGTTTATTATGTTCAACCGTTTAACGTGTGAACACCGCAGACTCTATTTGGCATGAACTTCTTCGATTTCTCCGTTGACGAAGACACGGGGAAACAAATTTTTGCCATGTCAGATAAATTTTGGGTTTACTGGGCAATATCGCTTCCAGTGACCGCGGCAGTTTTACTGGCTTGGGTCCTTTACGATTACTCGTACTTGATAACCAGCAAGATCAAAAAACCATTATTGGAAGATTCCAAATTCAAGGAGATATTGAAGCTTGGATCGTTTTTCAGGAGAAAGGAAAAACAGTCCGATGCGAATTCGCCGACGTAGCACAGAGGAGAGAGATTGCAACTCTGTGCTTCTATGGCCTCCGGATCGGTAAAGGAGGCTGCGATCGGTATGAATAGTATCACATCAATCTGGAGGCCCGAGAACCCCGACTGGCCCAGATATTTGCTAAAAACTGACACCATTTGGATTTCGAGAAAAAAAATAAAAATAAAAAATAAAAAAATAAAAAATAAAAAAAAGACCAAAGAAAGAAAGAACAAAGATCGAAGTTGGATAATGCAAGAGCGCCCAAATTTTGGAGTGATGTACAACGACTATATATGACAAGCGGATTACATGGAAGCGAATATTTATTTTTTCTTCTTGGATATTCAGGGTTAAGCATTTATCTGAAATCTAATATTGTCCTCGACTTTTCCGGCCATGTTAACATGCACCAAATTGTACTTGTACTCTGCATGTGCAATACATCAGTTCAAAATTTATCAGAGAAGACATGCCATAATATAAGCACATGGAAGCATTTTCTGTGAATTAAAATTCTGCCCTATAGAAAGTTTCAGCTCCTTTCTTGGAAAGATAGGGGTAATTTGTTTTCTATCACAGCTGCGACATTAAAAAACCGTGTGAACCAGACTTGGTTCATGCAAATAATAATTCAGTATTATTAGACACCGTGAGCTCACCTCATCATTGACAACTGCTGTTTAAATATACAACTGCACTCCTAGAGGATAGAACTCATTTTCGCTACCGTTGCTAGGTGAACAACGCGGGAGCATCCATACATACTATTTGTTGAATGGAACATTGGCCAGGATAACATGAGATAGTGGTTCCGATGGTTTTGCTAATAGTAGCTTCTCTCAGGAGAGCTCCCGGAGAGGGCATATTCTTAAGGCCAGCTCCTTACTTTCCCCGAAGCTGCAGAGATCCCTGAATTGGTGGGGTTAAAGCTATGGCAGCCTGTTGGATATGGATCAATGAGTGCTTGAATTATTAGTTCTTCATATCTTTTCGCCTTGTGGTTCGCTAAAAAGTTTTCACAATGTTTCATGGAAAGGACTTACATCTTTCTGCGAACTCTAACATCACTATTGACTCTGTATACCTATTTGCCTCTTTGTGACCTTGTGGTATTTGACATTCTGTGGCAATAGCAAGAGGAGTTCGCCAGGACATGCGGATTACATTCTAGGTTATGAACCACCTGTGCATATCCTCATGGAATGACTGAAAGCTTTTGTATTGCTGTCAACGCACACGAGGGTGTTTCCAGGTTTAAACTGGGACAAGTTGCTGTGATATGGTGCCGAGTACCAGAGTAGCAGCACTACCTATCGTTTGCCTAAAAGAAAAAGGATATGATAGAGCCATCCGGGACTGCTACATACGGACTCCAGGCCGAGTTTTAGTTATCGGAAGAGGAGGCGTTGACAAAAGCGCAGGAATGGCCTATCGGCAGGTTTCCACTCGGTTGAAAGCTGTAGTAAGAAAGGCTTGAAATCTTAACGCTTTGTTTCTATGCGATAGTACATACGTTGATGGATGACGGGCGTAGCTTTCGGGAACCCAGCTACCTCCGGGAGCAAGTTGTGAGATGGATGAGCCCGTCCCTTCCCTAGTAATGACATGATCCCGACGGACACACAAAATTTCCAAGGACATTTGCATAAGATGCATACCAAGAACGAAAACAATGACTCCGCTCCTGCATGGCATCGTGTGATCTTTGTCGAGGAAGTGTGCTAATCGGGGACTCCCTAAAGATCTGATAGTAGATCGCGATAGGTGATTTCTTGATACGCCCTGGGCAGATATATTTCATCAGACCCCAGTCTCCTTATCCTTCACACATCGGCTTATCGCTTGTCATGTTTCAGCGAACGGACAGACAAACAGATCGTATCAAACCGTGGAAACAGCCTTTCGATCCCTGCTATAGGTAGGTCATATAGTAGATCACTTCAGGAGGCTATTGCAGCCCCTGACGGATGAAAGAGAAGATTTGAAAACCATATCACATTGAAGAACTATCATATACTATGATTGAGAAGCCGGGTTCCCTTGCCGGGACCTAACACAAGCCGAAGAAAGAGAATCCCATATTTACCGGGTAGAGTAATAATCTAAGTGCCCATGAGCCGACTGTAGGGAGATGAGTGGCCATTGTCGCATTTAAGACTTCCCCTGCCTCGGACTGCGGGGTGAAAACCAACGCCTGACGTCGTCTCAACGAAGTTTTCCTGCAAAATCTGGGGAACAGCAGGTCATTCGTGGATCGGATTTCCTCGGGCTGCAGGCATCGAGGACCCTGGAGGATCGTCGTACACGGCCAGTGTGGGAGAGCCAGCCATCATGTCAGGGACCCGTTCAGGAACAAGATCGAACGAGCGAACCGACGAACCAGAAGCGAAGGGTTCCTGACGACGACGCAGCTGCGCGAGTGTTGACGATATAACCTGGCCCAGAGAAGGAAGAAGTGATGTGATTGATATGCTTTCTTCCGGCGATTTTCAAATCTCAACGGGTCATTGCAAGCATGCATCTAGGTGTTGGCATGTATAAGTCTTGTTTGCTGCTAGTCGGTGTTGCTCGAGTACCCCTATTCAGTTAGTTAGATCTCCGTTTAAATCGACATTCGTGAATGATAAAGTATCCACACCGGACTGGTATATGATACCTACAATGCTTTAGTATTCTCTAGGTACTTTGCTGAACATTCTACATGGCTACAACCGCGAGAGAATCTTTCAGAGAAACGAAACACACTGCTGAAAACAAACAAGAACCATTCTCCATGTGAAGAAAAAAGAAAGCTTAAACACACCTTATGCCTCATGAAACAAAGCATAAAAAGGGTACTCTTGTTGTTGATACCTCCTCTTTGTTTCTGTTTCCTCCCTCCTTCTATTATTCTTTCCTTTGGAGGCCCTCCCTGTTGGTGCGCAGTGCTTGATTGGACTGCGAGCTGATGCGCCACTGATTCATGATCTATTTGCTCAGCGCTCTTGTCTGAGAGCAAAGGGAGATTCATTTGTGGAATTACCTGGATGGTTGAGGCAAAGGCAAGCCACTGTTCCTCTTTTGTTTCTCCCCTAGGAGGATTCTACTTTGCAAATCGCCATTTATTGTTTAATATTTTTTTATATATTTTTTATATTTTATATATTTTATAGTTTTTATAATTTATTGTGAAGGCACAGGAAGTCATACAAAACCCATACATGAATAAAGCCTTGGAGCTCTTTGGAGATGGGAGACGGTTGTGTGGGGAAGAGTCCCCAATGAATGGCAATGTTACTAATAATGTACACAGTACGCTGCAACCCCGGGGGGGTGATCGTGAACAAGCCATTGTGTCTCGCACCGTCGTACAGCCAGAAGTCTTGGGTGCGTTTCATGTACCATTTTGTCTGTAGGATGGGTTTAAAAGGGAGGTTTGGCCTGGGAGTTAACTGGCCGTCATGGAAAAAACACGAAGAAACTCTTGAACCAGCTGGATTTATTTTTTCTGGGGTAGTGACCGCGCCAGAGAAGTTGCTGAAAGCGGCGTCAAAGTTACAAGTTCTTAACGACCTAACCTATGTATGCTTCGTGTCCGTTGTTGGTTTAAATAACACCATTGATTAGAGTTTCGAGTTTCGAAGACGGGGTTCATGGAAATACTCATAGCGTGTGTACAGTTCCTCAGGCGGATCTGTATCATCATCAAGCTTTTGCAAAAATGTTCATGCTCATTCTGCTGCAGGTGGCTCGCTAGATATATTGTTCATTCTTCACACAGGGAGATCAAACGACGGAGTATATATATCTTGTCCGGTACATTGGGTACAGGGCCCAAAATTAAACATTTAGGCAGAGCCATGGCTCGCGGGAGTTTATATACGGAAAAATAGGTCAATGAATCATAACGGGTGCGGAAACGTGAACCCAAACCATCCCATCCGGTCCAGGAGCTATCATGCTTGACGTAGTTATCTTTTCAGAGCGATCTTTTCCCCCTTTTCTTTTTCTGTTAAATTGTCAACTGATCCATGATCGCGTAGTTTAGCAGTTGAGAGTTGCAATTGGGCCTGAGCATTAACATTGAAAGTGTTGCTGGAGATTGCCCACATGTCACAGCGCCATGTCTGCCAATTGGTTGATGTCTGGCGAGCAAAAGCAAAGAGTGAGGTGGTGGGCGCCAGATAATTTATTAATGACGCCCATTGGAAGCCAGCAGGGGCATCAGAATGTGGACAATGCAGTATAAACGTTGCATATGTAAATCAAAAGCAGCATCCAGGGACACAGGGAAGCGGGAAGCGGATTCTCTTTTTTTCTGAACGGAAATCGAATGAGAATTATAGGGGCCAAAGCTATTCCGTTATGAATGAATGCAACAGTGAGGGACGTAGGCAAGAGATGGTACAGTACGCACACAAACCTGTAGGTAGTTAGCTACCAATATCAGAATTTCATTTTAGGTATGTTTGGTCATAGACTCGGCATACAGAACCCTTCTTCTTGTCGTACCTGGGGCTGCAGCTGCAATCCAGTAGTGAGAACCGCTGCAAGGGCGGCCACAGGCGAAGAACGGCACTGTACATGTACATACATACAGTACATACATTGTTCGCCTTAAGCAAGAGCTAGCTCTTTCGCTCCTATATACCGACAAGCCTGCTCTTGCATTGATTAACCCCCCCCAGTCTATAACCATCATTGGAATCCGTTGAGATGTGACCATGGCTCGTTGCAAGGTTTCGACAGCGTTTTAGATCAATACCTAGCTGTTACGGAAGGGTACTTTGGATTGCGTTGAATCTGGGAAGGTGCGGAGGTATTCCCCTTGGCTGACCATACCGTACCGTACCATACCGCATTTCCCTACGATCTGTCCTGCCCCGACAGCCCGAAGTGGTTTAGCGCGACTGGTTCTTTCAGTCTGGTCGTCACACTTTTCCGCGCTTTCTCTTCTTCCTCCAACAGCGGACGCCCCGTACCATACCACCAATACCATACCACTGATACGAGGCGTAATAAACATACATTCATTCAATTTGATCAATCAGCCTCCATACAACCATCCCTCAACCTCCATCGTCCTCCTTCGACGCCGCCATTCTATACTCCTTTCCAGCCCTCCAGCCTCCCTATCACTGTCTACTGCCCATATCACCGTATACACGCCTTGTTGCCATCGCTCTTTCGCATCTTCCTGTTCCTGATCCCTTGTGCACAATTCCTACGCCATCTTGGCTGCCGATCGACGGCCCCTTCGAGTCCCTCCCCGTTGCGTTGCCCTACTCCTATAGTAGTGGAATAACGTCCATTTTAACCCTCAGGTTCTCGACCGGGTAAAAACCTGTCTAGCTACATTTATTTTGTGGCAGCAACCAGATATATCGGCAAAAGGGCGTGGTCGGATTTTCACAGCCACTCACCGGTCTTCTCATTGATATATCGGACGGGCCCTCCCCCCATCCCCGCGAACCCAATTAAGGGCTGCAACTCCTACTTTACGTTCGACTATACCAGGGCATTGATTTGATCTTTGAACGGAAGGCCAACATTGACACTGGCTGTCAGACCTTCTGGTGACCTGGACGTGTTGAAGCAGTATTTCACAGGACCCTCGCTATCTCTCACCCTCACCCCCCTCGCAGGAAGTCGCTCTGGTGCATTCCCACGATACTTATATAACCTCCTGCCTAAAACCCAATATATATCGAACTCGGCGAATTATATCCTCGTTTCTGATTTTCCGGGGAAAATTTCTGCGGGCCACCTAGTGACCGTTTTCTCTGCATCTCTGCGTTATCGGGGCCAGTCTGGGACCGAAAACAATCTCTCCGAAGCTTGGATTCCTTGTTGTTTGAGGCTTGTGGGACATTACTTGGGGGAGTGGACAGCTTGGCTGATACCGTTGCGGTCCCCTTATGAAATCACGTATCGATGGGAATGCCGGTTCATCTCACATCACAGGTGACGTCTCACCGATAGCGTCTAATACGTCTTCCGAAATGGCGTGGGCCATCCCCGCCGACCTTTCGCGACACATTCCTCTCAAATCCTCTTTTACTTCGCAACACTCGAGCTCATTGCCGTCTACTCCTTATCACCACCCTCGCGACCTCCAGTTCGTCTCGAGATCCCCTTCACCGAACCGCAGGAGCAGTTCTCCACGATCTACCCACTCAGAGTCTACGCACTTACTCCCATCACTACGACGGCCCTATGGAGGTTGTAAATATGAGACTGGGATGGCCCATTTCCGGCGGCGGATTCCGTATTCGCTGGGGAGCGAACTCTTACCCAGGGAATCGGGTCCGCTCAAGGAACAGCTGGATCCCGCTGACGAGAAAAAGCTCACTGGTGATATGAGAGAACTTTATCATAGGTTGCTGCCGTCTGAGGAAAGCGAACAGAGACGGTCAAAGTTTGTGAACAAGCTGGAAAAATTGCTGAATAAACAATGGCCGGGGAACAACATTCGAGTTCATGTGTTTGGATCATCTGGAAACAAGCTCTGTTCAAGTGATTCCGATGGTAAGGATTTGCGAGGACGGAAATAATGAATGCAGTTGACTAATTTTTCCATTATCCTAGTTGACATTTGCATTACTACAACCTACAAGGAGCTTGAGAAGGTTTGCATACTGGCTGACTTTCTTGCTAAAAGTATGAACTGGACCCTAGATGATTTTCCCTGGCATTACATCAGCTGACACTTCTCTCCAGGTGGCATGGAACGAGTTGTTTGCGTTTCTCATGCAAGAGTTCCGATTGTGAAAATCTGGGATCCCGAACTGCGATTGGCATGCGATATGAACGTCAACAACACCCTTGCTCTCGAGAATACTCGAATGATCCGAACATATGTTGAGATCGATGAACGAGTACGACCCTTAGCAATGATTGTTAAGTACTGGACTAAAAGACGGATACTGAATGATGCCGGTAAGTCGTTCTTAGCGGATAGGCCCTACTTGTTGGCACGTTACTGACTCGATATCTCTTCAGCTCTTGGTGGAACTCTGAGTTCTTATACATGGATATGTCTGATAATCAACTTTCTCCAAACGAGGACTATCCCCATCTTACCTAGTTTACAAGAAAGATGTGCCAAAAATACTAACGATACAGGTGGTTCGGGTTCGTCGTTTGACGATGACCTCGAAAAGCTTGCTGGATTCGGGAAGGAGAACAAATCGACCTTGGGCGAACTTCTCTTCCAGTTTTTTCGGTATTATGGGCATGAAATTGATTATGAAACAAAAGTCATGTCAGTCCGGAAGGGTACGTTGATATCGAAAGAAGGGAAAGGCTGGCATCTTCTACAGAATAATCGCCTCTGTGTGGAGGAGCCGTTCAATACATCGCGGAATCTTGGCAATACCGCAGATGATACCTCTTTCCGTGGATTGCATCTGGAATTACGGCGGGCGTTTATTGCGGTATCTGAGGGGAAATTGGACGAGTGCTGTGAGCAATATGAGTATCCTCCTGAGGAAGAACGCAATTGGGAAAGACCGCCACCTCAGCCACGACCAATACTCGCACCTACTCCTGCTATTTCTTCGCGCGGAGGCAGAGGGGGAGGCAGAGGAGGTCGCCATAATACTCACTATAATCGGGGACAAAACACTGGCCGCCGGCCCTCAAGCAGTGCGAACCGCCCTAACAACGCTCGACATACAAATCCATCATTCGCAGCAGATATTGCACTCCAAGCCCAACAGGCACAGCAGGCGCAGTACTTACTCCATGACCATCTTTATCAGCAAATACAAATCCTGCAAGCTCAAGAGCAGGAGTTGCGAATGCAACTTCAAAATCAAGCGCTCATTAGTGGCAGGCCACCTCCAACCCTACTTCGACAGCCGTATCTGCAGTTTCCGTTTCAACAGCAAGACCCATCTGGTCCAGATGAAAATTCAAGAGCCCGAGCCGGAACTGTAAATCACCCGCCTTTAAGCGCGCCTGTTCGGCAGCACGTATTTTATAACCCTTCTTTCATTCCAATATCCCTTCCCACTCCCCAGGGAACCAACACAGACCCACCATCTCCCTCCATGGCTGCGGCCCCTTCTGACGCTCGTCGTAATCATCGACGATCCTCGGTTGCGAATGGTTCCCCTCGCGGATCGCTGCGAGCTCAATCCCAACCTGCACGGCCTTTACAATCTCCAGTGGTACAAAACTTTGGTGGCATATATCAGTCCGTACCTCCGGGTGAAGCTCCTCATACGCCAATCTCAAGACTGCCACCAGCTTCTCCAAAGAGGGCAGGTGCTGAACCCGAAGCACCTATCACAAACGGCATTCCTATGTTTGCAAGACCGTATATGGACGAAAATCGAGCCTCAGAGTACGTTGGCTATTATTTAGGAGATTCCCCTCAATCTCAGACAACCCTTAATCTTCCAATGACATCTCCCCATTCTATAGCCACCGGGTTGGCAATCCAAAACAGCGGACTGTTCTCACACCTCCGGAATCAAGCGGAGTATCATCATACCGTGAGGACTTCTACTGAAAAGACCAGCCCCCCCACGGAATATGCCCACGTGCCTGACCATAGCAGGCGTTCAAAAAATAATCAACCCTGCGGTCGACCCAAGTCCCAAAAGGATCGAGGTCCGCTCATCGTTGATGGCTCCATCCCGATCGGCGACCGCCACAACTCGTTGCCAACAGAAAATCAAGATCATTTCGTGCCCATGAGTCTCAGCACTTCGGCATCCGAAGATAGGCCGTTTGATACTCCTGGTAGTGCATCAGACACACTCTCCCAAGGGTTGCCAGACCATGTCCCCTTTGATGAGGAATATGAAAAGGCCCTCGGACGGGGTGGACAAGCTAATCAATCGCAACCTCATATGAACGGTTGGGATTCTACCAGTACTAAGGGTGCTTCGCTAAATGGTCACCTCACCTTGTCAGAAAGGCTCCAAAGACATCAAATATCCGATACCGGCCGCTCACCGGATTCACACGGGAAGATGAAAATGAATCATTACAAGGGGCCAAAACAATACACATATAGTGCGGAAAGTCGACTGCTTGAAAAAGAGCACCATGGTCCATATGATAACTTTATCCAGTCAGCTAATCCCTTGTCTGCTCTCTCCCCGGTAAAAGAAACGCGAACTGCTTCACCAACTACAAAACGACGAGCAAATGGCGTAGATTCTGAAAAAACCAATGGATCGAGCCACAGGAACAGACAGCGGGGACGCCATGATTCTGTCAGCACTCACCATCAGTCAGACAATAACAAAGAGAAGCAGACGGATGCCCACCATCGAAAACCCAATGGCGTGCCATCATCTACTAATGGAGCCGGTGGAAACGAGCATCATCACCATGCTGGATCAGGCTCTACTGGTTGGCAAATGACGAAGAAGAAGAACAAAAAGGGGAACAAAGCCACTGCAGAACCAGCACATAACCTTTCCAATGGCGTCGAGCCTCTCCCAACTGATGTGTCATTGAGGAAAGGTGGCTGATGTGGGACAAATATTTTATTTCAGCTGCGGGTCATTGCGACCTCACTCCAGATTATGATGTGGATGTGATTTTATGATTATTATCGCCAGGGTGGCTCTGTTTTCACCCGCAAACTTAACCGCCATTTTTTACTTTGCGCTTGCTCCTTAAGAGTCACTGCCAATGCGCTGTACGATACCTTGAAAAGAAACAGCTAAATGTCGGCTTCCCAAAAAAGATGCCACCCAATGACTTGCTCATACGGCTTCGCCTCAGATGAGGAGGCTCATTTTATTTCATCAACCTCACTCGACGGTATGAGGCCTCTACGAAGCGGCTCTTGAAGGCAAGACGTGATATCAACCACCTTTCTACGCATGTCATGTGGCCGTGCAGCTTTATGTCGTATCCATCCACGTGTATCAATACGCCGCTGGAGTGTGATTTATCTTATGAGCAAAAAAAGGCAACAAAACACTTTAGTAGTGATATCCTACCATCGGCTCACCGCCACGGTCGCGTTAGTCGACCAGAAGGAGGATTACTTGTGTAGGATGCTTCAAAGGAGAACAAGAAGGATAATGGTCGCAAAGAGAGCAGAGTTCACGAAGATAGCAAGGAGAAATGCAAAGGAAGGATCAGGAATGGAAAATAAAATATCTCTGGGAGAAATTACCTCGGTTGTCTTTTTGCCTTTTTTTTTTTTTTCTTTTTTTTACACTTTCCATAACTATACATTTCCCTCTTTCTGCACAGTCATGAAACGAGTGCGTTTTTTGTTGAGATCTTTTTTGGCATGTTTTTTTTTTTTTTTTCCTTTTTAGTTTGCAAAAAAAGAGCCGAAGAAATGATATTTTCCTTTCATTTTTCTTTGTCTATTCAGATGTGGGAGGTTTTTTCTTTTCTTTTCTTTTTTTTAACTTCCCCCTTTCGAAGAAATTTCTTGATGTCCTTTTACTGCAACCTTTATTTTTCCCACTGCTCTTCAGGGTCGGATTCCCCCCTTCTTGTCCTTAATCCCCTGTTCCGTTTTTGCTCTTTAGTACCGTACATTATTCATATCTCATACCGGTGTCCTCTTTGCGTTTGAAAACATGACTTACTTTTACCATATTACATTGCGCATTAGTCATGATTATCCAGTTCCATTTCAATGTTCCTGATTGATTGTTCTTGTGTCAGCGTGTGTCTTATCTGCTTCCTTGTCGGATATTCTTTGTCCTTTTTTTTGCTCCTTTTCAAGTTGGATTTTACAGGTATCATTGTTTGTCATTCATCACTCGGCCTATCAGTATCAAAATTGCTTGTTACACCTGTATGGCTTTTTTATTTTTTATACTATTTTCTATCTTCATTCTGCTATGTTTCTATGTCATCACTTAACTTGCTTAAATTGTTTGGTTTCTACTGTTACCACTCTGCATCATCATTATATAAAGATTACCGTGGGGGGGGGTTTCATTTTCCCTCTGTTGTGTGTGTTCTTTAATTTTCTCCAGTGTTTTAACATTATTCTATTCCGAATTTTTTTTTTTTATTTTTATTTCAAACTTTCTACCATGCGTTTTCGTCTAGCTAAAGGGGTTATAGTAGTTACGAAGAATACAACAATACAATTATTAAAACTATAAATTGACAAAGTCCTAAAATTTATTATTTATTTCTCCTTTGATTTCCTCTCTACTCTACTCTCTAGGAGACTTTTACATATATACATGCAAGTCCTCTATTCTCTAACGAAGGAGTAGAGGAAGCCTCGGATAGTATGTTACAAGGTGAACACGAAGTGAATTGAAGGAAGGAACGAAGGGTTGTATAAATTACTCAAGAACTCAGATTTACAATATTCCATTGTATCACAACAAAGGTCAAGAGATTGAGATAATACATAAGCGCCGTCGTATTTGAATACCCGGGGTGCATTAATGAGGTTTATTATCGTAACATAATGGCGAACACATCCGGGCTAGAGGTTTATGGCTTAAGTACAATCGTAGATAGGAGACTCGGAAAAAAAGGAAAGAAAAGAAAAGAACAGAAAAGAGAAAAGGACGGAGAAGGAGAGGGGGGGGGTAGATCTTTAAATAATACATGGTGTGAATAAACAGGGGAAAAAAAGGGGGGGGGAATATGAATAGAAAAGATGCAAGTCATTAAACAAGATATGGCAGCGTAGGCTACGTTGGACACGAAAAAAACAAGCCCGAAAACTCGGGTGCATCCTGCAAAGTGGACTATGTTGATGGCGATCAAGAGAAAGGCGGGATTAGAGGGGTTTATATGGGTGTAAACATGGTCCACACTCACGCACCGAAAACTGGCTACAGCAATGGAATATACAGTTACATGTACAGAAATCTCCAAGGGGCTTAAAGCATGTTTCAAGAACAAGAATGTTGCAAAGATGATTGAGCGAGACGGTCTATCTCTTTCTGGTCGTTGCAAGGGATATTGGGAAAAGGTCAATCACACACTCGAGGTCCTATACAGAGATCTAACGCTCCGTTCTCTTCTCAAGTAGCCTTTATTCTATTTGCTTTTTTTTCTTAACTTCGAACCTCAGCGAAAATGTATGGGAAAATAACTCGACAAGCTGTCCAGAAGACGATAAAACATTCGAAGAAAGTTACGGGGAACATGTAGGCTGGTTGGCTGCGGGCGAAATCCCATATCGAGAGGAAAGCGACGGAGTAGAAATGTCGAAGGAGAACCCATGGGCGTGGGGTGACACCTGCAAGGAGGGCAATGGGCCCGTCTACCAGACCCATTTGCAAGTAGCGGAAGCAGCCTAGTTGGAGGGCTTTGAGGTAGGGGTCTGTATAAAAGATAGGTAGGTTAAGAGCGAGAATTGATACCCCTACTTAGCGTCCAGAGAAATAGGGTCCAGGGGAAGTGAAAAAAGTGCGTACGGAGAAAGGAAGTATACATACCATTTGCAGCGTAGAGGCTGTATAATGCTTGCGCCAGGATGTTAATGACGCTTGTCAGTCCCTTCCGTTCCCAGTGGAACTTGGACATTTGTTTTAGGACTTGTTGTTTATTGGTGAAATCGGGGACGTTTTCGGGGCTGAGGAGGGTGCGGAGAAGGACAACGTCGTTGAACGCAACCGTCATTCCACCTCCTGTCAATGGGTGTCGCATATTCAACGAATCGCCTAGAAATACTAGGCCGGGCGTCTTGTTTGTGGTAGAGGGAAGGAAAGAATTGGGCATGGACCGCAGACCGCCTTTCTCTAGTGCTTTCGCGAAGGATGGCTGCACGCATTTGGGGAGGGAGGGGAGGACAACACTTCGTAAATGGCCCTTGACGCCGCCGTTCTGTACCGATGCGGAGGGTAGGTTTTCAGGAATGTCGACTAATATTCTCGTCTCACGTGTACCGATCTGATATAGAAGGACAGGAGGGCCATCCGGTAACACGACATGGCCAAAATTCTTCCGAGGAAGCTCTGCGTCTATGAGCTCCAGGCCCCAGAATTTCGACTTCACTCGAGGTGTTGTAGGTAGGTATTGTTTGCGGAACTTGGAAGCGTATCCATCCGCAATGAAGGTCAATGGGGCAAAGAAGTAATCCTTCTGCCCATCGGTGGTGCATTGGACACCCAGCACCTCATTATCTGTCGATGAATGGATGACCGAGACAGCCGTAGTTTCAACAATGGTGACATTAGGCGTCACCCTCGCCGACTCGCGTAGGCGCATGATGAAGCGGCCATGGTGAAAAGAGCGACCTTTGAACGGCGCGCCTTGCTCATCCTTGGGATACAGGATAGGCACCTCAGTCCCATGATAGATCACGTCCATGCCATGGCACTCAATGGCATCGATATCCTCCAAACAATGGCCCAACCCCAGCTTCTCCAGCGCTCGCACGCCTCCCGGTTGTAATAGCTCGCCAACGATGCGGTCTGGTTCTTTCAACGACCTCTCCAGGAGAAGCACGCTGCGCCCTTGTTTTCCCAATGTGACGGCTAGTGCACAGCCAGCAATTCCAGCGCCCACTATCACAACGTCTGCCTCATGGTGCTCGCATCGCCGCCGCTCGCCTTCGTCCGAGTAAACTCTAGGGGTCTTGAGGACGCCGTTGCCGTTAGGTAATCGGGGAGGTATGGCCATGCTGCTTGGATCGCGAACGATCGAACGTTTATCTGCGCGAGGTGAAGCTGAAAAGGTATATTAGCAGCGTGTAGTGATGGGGAGCCGAAACGGCATAATTTCTGGAGGTAGATATAGGGGGTTGCGGGCGAGGAATCGGAGAATTGAGGACAAGAATAGATTTATTTGCCTTGGAAAGACTCTTGCTGGGGACGAAACTTCCGCCTAAACATTGTGACAGGGGCAGGCTGCGGGCTGTGATTGGCGGAAGGGCCTTTAAAACAGGATAGGAACGATTAGTCATGGGCTTGGCACAAAGAGTGGCGTGACTTACAAGCATGTGATTGTTCGATTGTCATTTTGCTAGCGGAAAACCAAATTCTTTTGTTGCTGCGGGACGGGACTCGTACGACTGGTGGTTGCCACCGCCGCCATGCTAATTTTGCTAACAATAGAAAATCTTGACAGGGCTGCAAATAATACCGTAAAGGAGTCAGGAGGGAAATCTAGAGCCTATGAACATTTATTTATTGCAATATCAAACTAAGAAGGGTCACATCATGGGAAAGTAATCTAGCCTTTCTGGTGACAACATATCGTACGTTAGTTGAAGCACCCGCCTGCTATTTTCTGACAGGCCCAGTGCAGCGGAAGCTATGAGGCTCAGCCGGCCACTAGTTCCTCCATTAAAGAACAAGAAGAGAGAAGAGAGGCAAAAGAAGAAAACCCGCAACCTTGCATACTAGTACATGTACATACATAGGAAAATAGACATGAAAGAGTAGATATATAAAAAGAAAGGGCCATTACCAACGCCAGGATAGTTACTCTGACAATATACAGGAAAAGGAAAAGAGGAGGCTCATACGACACCCGGCCGCACTGATTCCTCCGCCAATGGTTCTCCAAAAGGATCCTCCGCTCCGTCCGCGAAGACGCCCTTTTCACTCCAATCCCCTTCCTCAGCCGTATCCGGCGAGAAACATTTCTCCAATTCCGCCCGTTCCTTCCAGTTCCTGACAATGTAATCCGTGTATAGTAAGTCCTCAAATTTATACCCCTGGAGCCGTGGCCCCTTCTCCAAGCCGTTACCAGAGCCACCGGTCGCATCAGGTGCCCGGATATTATCCTTCAGTACTTCAATGGCTTCCGGGAACGAAATAAAGCGATCTGGCCCGAACTTCCTAGCCTTGAATGTGTGGCGTAGAATCCGTGCCAATTTTGCGATATGCTCTATCTCCCGATCGAAGCTTTCTCTAGTGTATTTGCTTGGCAGGGGGAAGTAATCCTTCGATTTTGAAACCATGAAACTGATCTCGTCGCAAAGGGCACGGTTGACTGCGGAATGTCGTTTGAGCCCTGTAAATATCGCCCATCTAACACCCTCGAAGTTGCCCGTGCGATAAAATGCTCGGGCGATGAATTTTATCGCAACAGGATCGAATGGCGCGAAGGCGGTGTATTTTGATTTGTTGATTGTCCGGAACAGTTCGAGCACTGCATCATTATTGCCGATATCGAGGAGTCGAGCTGCGATGGTGGATGCCACGTGGTGCTTAACGGGCATGAGTTTCTGTTGTCGGATGTGGTAGTAGTTCAAGACTGCCATTTTAACTGCTTCTATCTCGTCCATTTCGCTTGCTCGCATTATGGCCTGGAAGAATTGCGATGTAACAGGCTTACCGGGGAGCTGAATGGTGTCGAATTCTTGTAGAATTGCCTTCGCATCCCGTGTATCGCCGTGGAGTAGAATGCTGGCAGTAACGGCCAAATCCAGGTGTAGGTGTTTCATGACCATACCAGACTTTTTGGCGTCCTGGAACGAAGTCAGGGATAATTCAGGTTTTCCCGCATTTATGAAATACATCATCTGTGTGTGCAACGGTGTAAATTGTCTAATATGCCTTGAAGACTCCGGCATAGACATGGCTCGCCGCCACATGGCTGCAGTTTCTTCTGAATTGGGCTTCTTTTCCGATTCATTGACTGGGAAGGACGTTGCATCATATCCCAGCACCTGGCGTGATGTGGCAGCGTAGCCATATTTCTGTTCAGTCGCACGGAACATTCGCCATAAGCCAGCGGGGCTGCACTTGGCAGATAGACGCGCTTCCTGGAGAAGTTCCATGAAGTACGGTCGTTCCAGCTTGAGCTTCCAGCGCTTCTCTTTGACAGTTTGTAAAATTTCCTCCACCATTTCCACAGTCCCTTTCTGTATAAAGGCTTTGATGATTTGATCGAAAAGCAGTTTATCAAGAACCAGTCCATATGTATTGATCGCATCAAAAACAAATTGATAGATCATATCTCCCGAGTTTGCAATCCAAAACTCAAGGAAAACGCGGTGAAACATCTGCGTGAATCTAAATGGATTGTTTGTTGATAGTCCAAGTTCATGCATCCGTGCCAGGGTGGCTTTCACTCCATCCCAATCACAGCTCACTGCCTTGCCGTATGCAATGAGTCCTAGGGTTCGCGTCTTGAGCGGAATATTGTATTCGTCTGTCATAGTTCTAACAAGCATGTCAGCCTTGTCGGCCATTCCAAACTCGACATATGCGCCCAGCAAGGGATCGAAAAGCTTTTCTGTAGGAGAGATTCGACAAGACGCCAAGGTGTCTAGCAATTTCCGAAATTGTGTTTCCATGAGGACGATGCTTCGAGTTCTGCTCCACAGTCCTCCAAGATAAATACCGGACGCGCCACAATCAGTATCATGTCGGATATATTTGTATAGTACAGTTTTAGCCTCAGACAACCGGTGTGAGCTTATCAGGGATTTAAGTACCACCCGCATTAGAACTGGGGTAAGTTCAAACTCTTTGGCGTATTTCAGGTACAAAGTGGCCAGCGATTCAAACCTCCCGTTTTTCCACATTGCCAATAGCATAATCTCCCATATCGTGGGACTGACCTTCTCGTTCGCTTCAAACCAATAGAAGAGCTTTTGTGCGAGGTGGAGCCTGTTCCTGTGCAAACTTGTGTACAAAAGATGGATGGCAATGTCATTTCTCGCTTCCTCGTTGCCTTTACGATTCGAATTCACGTCACGTAGGAACCTTAGAGTAGCTTCGTCTAACAAGTGATGATCGAGAAGTCTCTGGACGGCTAGAGTCGGGTCGCTCAGTGGTAAATTTTGGTATTTTTCTCGAAATTCAGGCGGAACGCTCATGGGATAGGCTAGATCCGTACGGAGGTCTTTACCACTTCTCAATTTCGGTTTATATTTGTTCAAGAAAAATGATGGTTGAAACGGCTCTTGAGCCAAACCTTGAGAACGGCCTAGTGTTGATGAACGAAGGGAGTGGTTTGGCACCGCACTTGGAGATCGACGGGCAGCCTCGAGGGATTCGTTCGATGCCCCAATGCCATCGTCCATGGTTCTTGTGTGGGATTCCGGGGAACCCATATTATCCGCGCCATCCAAGTTCCCATCAGTGCTCTCGGCAAGTTCATGCTTTCGGCGCTCGGCTCTCTTCTTAAATGATGCTAGGCCGAGAAACTCGCCGGCTTCGGCAGCCTCCATCATTTGAGCCACCGTTGCAGCTCCTGCCCCAGCAGTGTAATTTGGACATGACGTCTGGAGACTTCGCTTGGACTCGACAATGCGTTCGGCAAACTGGACTCGGCGGTGGATATCGTAGGTAATAGTACCGACGGCACACAAACCCCCAATGGCACCAATGGTCGATCCAGCTAAAGCTATCTGTCGTAGGACACGTAAAGCATTACGGGACGGAACTCCAGTTCGAGCGGATTGGTGGGGGAACATTGTGAGGAAAGTGGATGTTGGGAGGTTTCTGAACCAGCTCGGTTGGAAAGTCCATCAATTGAAACCCATGGACTGGGTTTCCTGGGCGGGATAGAAGGCGCAATGACGACTTCTGTAGCGGACAATGAGATAAGAGACGTTCTGGGACGAGATAATACTGGCATGGATGAAGAATGGCAGCAATGTCGTGTTGGTGATGAATTTTTTCCGGATCGGTTGATGAAGTTGAAAGATGGCCCCATTGCTTGGCATGTACACGTGATGTGGTAACAATCCACGCTTAGGTTATCACTATAAGTAACTTATAGTTATGTTCTGAACAAGACAGAAGACCTTTCGTGAGCAACATAATTACTATTTGTTATGTACATGTACAAAAGTAATAAATTTAAGAGTTGTATATACAAGTAGTGAAGTATCATAGTGAAAAAGATATGTGCAAGAATCTCGAACTAAAGAAGAATATAAACAGGAAGAAAAGTCGCCTCGTCCACCGCCCCACCAACACCGCGAGATATCCTGGAAGCCACGACAAAAAGCAGCCAATAAATAAAATCAAGCCAGAATTCTAGTTTCTGGATCTAGATACGCAACTGAAACGTAGGCCCTTCAAATTCCCGGATTTACAGAACCCGATAAGAAGAGGTGAGAAGGGAGGCATCGGTTCGTGCAGATAGGCTGAAAGGCTACCGGAAAGGGGTGCGCAGTCAGTCGGTAGTATGTATGTACTTCGCGAAATAATATTAGATGACGCGTTTAATCCTGCTCGCTTGTTCCCAGGCTGTCTTGGCCTGGCTCAAGCTTGTTCTCCATATATACTAGCAAAAGAGTCAGTATAACTGTATCAAAACTGAATGTCCGGGCACATAGTGTAACATACCATGAGGTTTAATGAAAAAGGATGCTACCATTGCCAAAGCAATCGTAGCAGATAGGCACATAAATACAGCCTGGGGTAAAGTGCCGACAGTCAAGCTGTAAATCAAGTTGAAGATCGTTGGTGCCACCACGCGCGCAAGCGCATGAAGTAGACCAATCGCACCCAATAACTGGCCAGTCCTGTTAGCAGGGATATGCTTTGTTAACGAGGATGTGAGGGTTGGCGAAGCCATTGCACCCATAGCCGCAATCGCTCCAGAGGCCAGCAACAGCTCACCACTCCGTACGAAGCAGTACCCAAGGTACCCGACCAGGTCGAGTATCGTAGAGATCCTAATTAGGATTATGTCTAGCATATCGGAGCCAGTGTTGACGTGGCTTCTTTGACTGCGTGGACCACGGACGAGGCGAGTTAATGTCGGAAGAACCACAAGGAGTACAACTACTCTAACAGAGCTGGCTATGGACACGAAAATGCTTGCCTCGAAGTTCCCCCAGCCGAACATGTACTCGGAATATATCACGATGATCGACATGGTGCCCATCCCGACACCGAATATCACAGCGTCGATTGATGCAAGGATGATCAGATTGATTCGTACATTGCGAAGGGGAGGTCCATGGAGTGCCGTCGTGGGGCTGGGGAAAAGGATAGAGAGGGGTTTTAAGAGATTCATCGGGTTAAAATCCGCCAGCGACCAGGAAGAAACCCTGTGGAATTTGAAGAGACCTATCCCTCGATTCTTGCGATTGAGCAATTGGCGGGATTTCGATACTGACTCCGGCACAGCGAATACCATAAATAGCATGAAGAACACTAGGCAGCCCAGGACGGAGTAGAACACGATAAGAATATTGCCGGTCCATTTGATGAGATATCCAGCAATCAAGGGACCCAGAGCAATACCGCTAAACAATATGCCATGGAAATATCCAAACGCAACGTTTCTACTATGTGGTGGTACGCAGTCTGCCGCATATGACTGTGTCAGGGCCACGGCGGTCGTGACAGATCCGAACATTCCATCAAGAAATGCTGCCAGTAGCAAGAAATTCACTGACATCCCGCCATCTTGAGACGCCACCATCAGCATAACAAGCTGGCCAAGGAATGTACCAAATGCCGAAAGGGCAATGATCCTAGTTCTTCCATAGCCATCGGTCAAGACCCCAAGCCTAGGGCTTGCGATAGCTGCGAGGGTCCCGGCAATTAAATTCAATTGTAGTTGAAATCTCGAGGCTCGGGCTTGGATCTCGGGAAGTCGACACTGCGGGTTCTTATCTCCGAAAACGACTGGAAGAAAGGAAAATGTAGGGTCCTTTAACGCCTGATCGACTAAATATTCGCGGCAAATTAAAGTCAAGGCGAGATTTATCTGCGGTACAACGACGCCTCCGAAGGCAATCGTGAATGGAAAAAGGGGTGGAAGTACCCAGTATATCTACTCAAAATTCCAGAAGGATAATCCATAGATTAATAAAAAAAGAAAGGCATGAGATACGATATAAAATTGCCAAAACGGGTATCCTTACAGAAGGGCGTTTCCACCACGGTTTCCCGTCATTATCCATCCAGGGTTCATGCTGAGTTCCATTTTGATCGTCCGGATTACTGTTCTCACCTAATAACGGCGTTGTGATGCCATCATCTCCGAACAGTCTGGTGGTTTCTGTCGGCACAGCAGCAGCGCTCGCAGCTGGTATCCTCGAAGTAGATTGCGGCCTGGAGGAATGAGGCGAGGCAGCAGAAGAAGAAACTACCCATCGAACTGTCTCATCTTCCTCTGCTGCAAGTGTAGCCTCCGCTTCCATTGGTGCGGAGGAAGCTAAATGAAGGCGGGGATATCGGGAATATCTCAACCGGTCTCGGCTCGTTGGGTTCAAGGATACATGTAAGGATAGTAATGCGTAGCGGCTAGAAAGAATAGGAACAGTTCTCTCACAACAATGGAGAAAAAAACAATATCGGGAATGCTGCAATCGTGTCTTTGCTAGACGAAAATCATCAGGCCATATGTAACTGGGAAATGCCAGATCATAAATAATGTTTGCTGGATACTGAGCTGGGAGGGCAGCACTAAATATTTATCCGGGGAGCCGCGGCTGGGCGTTGATTGATTTCTAAGCTCTCTGATAACAAACCACCAAAGAATTAACGTGCTATCCTCAATATCGGATATCTTGACTATCCTATCCAAAGCCTGAAACTCGCTGCAAAACATGCTCCCGACATCCAAGAAAAGTTGCCGCCAGCCGATTGGTCCGAACCAGCGGGTCGCCGAACGGGATAGGAGAAACCTTGGAGCCCGAAGACATTCATTACTTCATGCCCTTCGTTAATCCAGATCATAAATTCAAATGCGCGCGGGGATTAGGTGAATTATGCATATTATCGGTGATATCGTGTTATTTAACTGCGCCTAACTCCCTCGTTGTGTTTGACGGTCTGGGGAAGGTGTACAGACTAGAAGCAGGGCTTCAGCCCGAAATAGACTCGAAATCCGGAGGTTCCGATGTAGAAGAGAGCGGGCAATCCGATTTTGAACATGCTCGGAATATGCCTTGAAATCACTTTCTGGCGCGGCATGGGTACCAGAGAGTGAGGCGTAAAACGGGTTGGAAGGGTTGGTCGAAGAAGAAAGTAGTTATTTATATTTATATGGCAAAAGTGTCAAAGCGAGAAAAACGACAATCCTAACCCAAATCGTCTATTTATCCATCCATAGCTAACTAACTTATACATAAAAATAAATATACAAGTTACACCCAAACGTCACTATTATATATTTATATTCCAAGAACCTCCTCCAGCCATGACACAACCAATCCCCAGGACCACGAAGCAGTGGAGTCTCACCAGCCAGAATGGCTTTGCATCTCTTAAATTCACAGAGGAGCCAGTGCCTGAGCTTGAAGATCATCAGGTTTTGGTAAAACGTAAGTTGATTACGCACTTCCTTTAGCCATGAGGCGCGGGCACGAGGGAAAAGAAGCAAAGCCTGCCATGAAAGCGGAGGAGGAGGGGAATAAAAATGGCACCAGCTAAAACAAGTTGTTCTATATAAATAGTCCAAGGAGCGGCTCTAAATGTATCGTTCACGTCACTCCCACCCTTAAGACTTTCTCTCTCTGTTAACCAACAAAATTAGGCCCGGGACCTCCTCATTCTGCACGGGGTCTATCCAATTCTTATTCGACCCAACGTAGTCCCTGGCTCCGACGGCGCCGGCACAATCCTTGCCGTTGGCAAAAATGTCACCCGCTTCAAGCCAGGCGACAAGGTCACAACAACTATCAACCAAGCACACATTGCAGGTCCAATGACTGTACAAGCATCACGATCCGGGCTGGGCGGCACCTACCATGGCACTCTACGTACCGTGGGCGCGTTTGACGAGCAGGGACTCGTCGCGATGCCTAAGGGCCTAAGCTTCACTGAAGCCGCGACGCTCGGCTGCGCAGGGCTGACGGCCTGGAACGCCCTATTCGGATTGGCTGGGAAGCAGGTTATGCCGGGCCAGTGGGTGCTGACGCAGGGCACTGGGGGGGTGAGTTTGTTTGCGATTCAGTTTGCGAAGGCTGTGGGTGCCAAGGTGATTGCGACGACGGGGTCGGCGGAGAAGGTGGGCTTGCTGGAGAAGCTGGGGGCAGATCATATTATCAACTACCAGGAGACGGCCGAGTGGGGCGTTGCGGCGAAGGCGTTGACGCCTGGCGGGCTTGGGGTTGATATTGTTGTGGACGTCGTAGGCGCGGCGACGCTTAAGCAGAGTGTTGCGAGTGTGAAGCTGGATGGAATTGTCAATATGATTGGGTTTATGGCTCCGCCACAACCTGGGGAAGGGGATCCGATGCCTGGGCTGATTGATGTTTTAATGGGCGGGTTTACGGCACGGGGAGTCTGGACTGGAAGTAGGCTGCAGATGGACGAGATGTGCAGGGCCATCGAGGCTAATGTCGATAAGCTGCGTCCTGTGTTGGATTCGAAGGTCTTTACTCTCGAGCAGACTAGGGAGGCGTACGAGTATCTGGCGTCTCGGAAGCACAAGGGGAAGGTGGCTATTGAAATATCCTAGGGTTTGTGTAATATCAGAGAGGTGAACTATTCGAACGCAATACTCGGGACAATAGGAAGAAACATTTCTCTATTTGAAGTATAAGAAAGTGATTCGTTGCTGAAGGACCCCTTCTCGTTGTTAGAGTTGGGGCAAAGAGGGATTAACATGGGTTGAATAGTAAATCCAATGGATCATAACTACCTCCGCACCCAGTGTAGATAGGAGTTCATTTCCGTTTAACAGGTACTGATATATAAGGATCAGGTCATGTGCACGTTGGTAATTGACATCGATAAATTTAATACGACATCCTTCCATTGAACACTGGGGTATATTTAATTAATATACATATTTTAGATAAAACAAAAAAGTGGAAATGATCCTCGGCGACAAATTCGCGCGTCTAACATAACACACAAATTTTTAAAATCGCGCACACATATAAGAATACATGCATGTAAAGCGTAACGAATTCACGAGCAAATCGAAACATTATTCCCCCACTCCACTTATCGTACAAGATTCGCGAGCTCAGGCCCCGCGAAATACTTCTTCTGCTCCAGACACCTTTCGCTCGTACAGCCCTGGCACCGGAGCGTCATCTGGCGCGAACAAGTTTCTCCGCTGCGCAAATGGGCCGCAGCAATGTCCGCAAGACCCTGGATGAAGATCGGGTTCCCGTTCAGGCTCTCAACTCGCTTGACGCCGGGGCTGTTCGCGTCGTGGATGACTTCCTGGTCCAGTTCGAAAAGGGTTTCGATGTGGTCGCTGGTAAAGGCGATAGGAACCAGAAGAAGGTCCGTTTGTCCCTTTTTCACGTAGTTTTGAACTGTATCACTGGTTTGGGCTCCTAGCCAGGCTGAGGGGCCGACTTGAGATTGCCAGCAGAGGCGGTACGGGTTTGAGAAATTCAGTCGCTGCATGACTGCGTAGACGGTTGCGGAGACTTCTGCTGCATATGGATCACCTGCATCTTCAAGTCAATGTACTATTCTGTTATCGTGTGGCTTTTTTATGCAAATGCCATACCTCGATTTACAACGCTCATCGGCAAGCTATGAGCAGAGAAGAGGAGAACAACGTCTCTCCTCCGCTCTTCAGGATATGTCGCAAGTTGCTTTTCAATATTCTGAGCGAACGCCTCTACCAAACCGTAATGCGTAGGCCATCGGTCAATGACGCTCCACTGTATGGCTCCCTCCGGTTCCTGTTCCCCAGTCACGCGCTTGCTTTCCAGTCGGTTTCGCCATTTCCACAGTTCGTTCAATGAGCTGCCTGTCGTGGAGCAAGAATATTGCGGGTATTGTGTAAACGCCACTGCACGACCTCCTTTGCCTCCGCCAAATCCATCCTCGAGCATCTGGGCATAGGTAGTTTCTGTCAAAGGGGCTGTGTATCGGAACGCAATGTATGGTTTATGTGGTGCAGTTTCTGGTGATATCTTGTCGAGGATCTTGCACATCTCCTTGCATTGGTACTCAGACCATTTTTTAATCGGCGATCCCCCTCCAATGGCCGCATACTGCTTCTCGATTTTGGGCGTCCTACGATGGGAGATGAGGGGCCCCAGGTATGACTGAAGCCGTCCAAGGGGTATTATGTCGGGATCTGCCTGAAGCACACCACTGCAGTCAGTAAAGATAAAAACAATTAAAATAAAATAAAACATAATGTAAGTTAGTTATCCTTACAAATAGTCTGCTCAAGTAATCGCCAACATCCTTTGTTGTTTGCGGGCCCCCCATGTTCAGGAATACCATAGCAGTCGGCCCCTTCGATCCCGCGGAATCTTGTGTGACAGGCGGAGCACTTGTTGCCATCCCGTGCCGTTGTTGGTCGCCATAGCTCGAAAGCGATACTGACGCCGTGGGCCTCCAATTCGCTCTCTTCACCGCCTTCCTGGGAAGCGCTGTGATGAAAGTTCGTAGGGACATTTCCGAAGCTGGTGTGCTTATATCCCTTGGTAATCAATCCGTTGTAGCAGTAAAATCAGTGTAGAGAGGCCGGGCACCGGGCCAGGTCGTGTAGCGGTGCTAACAATTTCCTGACTAGTAGGGAGGTTGGTCAATTGGATAGGGCGTGTGTCGGCCCTGCGAATGTTAAATGCCGATTCCCGTTGTTGCCGGCAAAATGACTATTCCCAGCCGTGGCCAATCACAAGCCGAGGAAAGCTAATTCAGAGACCTGGTTATCATGTGATCTGGCGTCTCTCCGCGTTTCTTGGCGGCTATTTCGCGCTGACATCACGCAACGGGCGAGATGGAACTACAACAGGCAGAAGCGAGGTCTTGAACAACTACAAGAGCGCGACGTGTTGGGGTTTTGTCAAAAAACACCACAGCAGCATCTTCATCCTTTTTCGTTCCTTTTTCGGTTGTGAACTATCTTACGACCACAATCATCACGAGAGTTTTACGCATTTCACTACCACTCAAAAATGGCCGATGAGACACCTTCTTGGCAGCAAGATGATGCACTCGAGGAGGAGGAAGACGTTGATGAAACGGTACAGTAACTGTCTATGTTTGATAAATCTTATTCCGTGGATCAATTGCTCTCTTCCATACTAAATATTACAATACAGGGCTATAAATCTGTCAAAGATGCTGTCCTTTTCGCCATTGAGATCAGCGAGTCCATGTTGACTCCGCCTCCTGACACAGGCTCCAAGAGAGCTGATAAGGAATCGCCTGCGACTGCTGCTCTGAAATGTGCATATCATTTGATGCAGCAGCGGATAATATCAAACCCCAAGGACATGATTGGCATTCTACTATACGGGACAGAGGAATCCAAGTTTTACGACGATGACGAGAGCGGCCGGGGAAATCTGTCATACCCTCACTGCTATCTATTCACGGATCTTGACGTGCCAGCGGCAGATGACGTAAAAAAGCTTAGGGCATTGGTGCATGACGAGGAGGAGGCAGAACAGATATTGGTCCCGTCAAAGGAACGTGTCTCGATGTCCAATGTGCTATTTTGTGCGAACCAGATATTCAGCTCCAAAGCCCCCAATTTCTCCTCCAGACGATTATTCATTGTGACAGACAATGACGACCCTCATTCCAAAGACAAGGGACTGAGGTCCGCCGCAACTGTTCGCGCGAAGGATTTATACGATCTTGGCGTGACTATCGAGCTCTTTCCAATATCCCGGCCAAACCAGGAATTCGACAGATCGAAGTTTTTTGATGTATGTGTGTAATGGCTTCCCTCCATTCACGTGAACTTCCTAGCTAACATACAGACTAGGACATTGTATACAAATCGTCTCCGACAGATCCAGAAGCGCCAGCCTTCCCCACGGGCCAAACAAAAACCTCAACCTCAGGCGGCGATGGCATATCACTTCTAAAATCATTATTATCTTCGATTAACTCCAAATCGGTACCCCGTAGAGCACTATTCTCAAACGTACCATTGGAAATAGGGCCAGAGTTCAAAATTTCCGTCACCGGCTATCTAATATTCAAGCGTCAAGAACCTGCGCGGAGTTGCTACGTGTGGCTAGGGGGAGAGGAGCCGCAAATAGCCAAGGGCATCACTACCCAAATGGCTGACGATTCTGCACGAGAAGTGGAAAAGTGGGAGATCAGGAAAGCATATAAATTCGGTGGGGAACAAATCTCCTTTACTCAAGAAGAGCAGGCAGCGCTGCGAAATTTCGGTGAGCCTACGATTCGCATCATCGGATTCAAACCACTTTCCGCCCTCCCAATATGGGCCTCTATGAAACACCCAACTTTCATATATCCATCCGAGGAAGGGTATGTCGGATCCACACGCGTCTTCTCCGCACTTTATCAGACGCTTTTAAAGAAGGAGAAACTAGCACTTGTATGGTTCGTGCCTCGTAAAAACGCAGCTCCCGTTATGGCTGCTATGATTCCCGGCACTGCGAAGCTAGATGAAGACGGCGAAGAAATTATCCCGCAGGGCATGTGGATCTTGCCTCTCCCATTTGCAGACGATATCCGACAAAATCCAGAAACGAATCTCATCACGGCTCCAGACGAATTAGTTGATAAAATGCGCACGGTCATCCAATTACTTCAATTGCCCAAGGCACAATATGACCCCCAGAAATACCCAAATCCTTGTAAGTTGCACACCGATTTATTTATTTAGCTTGATTTTACTACACTGATTCAGCTAACTATTCATTACTCGAATCAGCTTTACAATGGCACTATCGCATTTTGCAAGCCCTGGCTCTCGACGAGGACCTACCAGAACAGCCAGAAGACAAAACGATACCAAAATACCGTCAAATCGACAAGGTTTGTTTCGCCCTTTTCTCCTCTAGGGAAAAGCTCCCCTTGTTAACTAGACTCCTCACAGCGCGCTGGTGAACACGTGATAGCCTGGGGTGAAGAATTAGAAGCCCAACATCTGATACTCGAAGCAAAACAACCAGCAACTTCCACCCTCGTCAAACGACCAGCAAGTAGGGCTCAAGAACAAGTCAATGGGGGGTCACGGCCCAGCAAAAAGGTGAAAACCAGCTCTGATGCCACGGGCGCCGATGAGGAGGTGAGATTACACTACGAGAAGGGAGTGTTGAATAGGGTGAGTTGATTCGTTAGACTTTTTATCTATTTGTTTATTTTTGTTTCTTCATATCTCTGCCCGCCTCCACTAGCTCATGTTTAGTCGTCTTCAAACTAACTAATACGGCAATGAATGCTGTAGTTGACTGTGGCTGTCCTTAAGGACTACCTTCAGTCCCAGAATCTGTCTACGACGGGTAAAAAGGCCGATTTGGTTGAGAGGGTGGAAGAATTTTTGGAGCAGAAATGACGTTTAGAGCTGGGATCCACTATCGTCGACTACTGCTCTTATTATATTGGGGTATTCTAACTTTTACCCGGTCCGTTCTATCTCTGCGAGTTTCCTTTACTTTGGAGTTTTGGAATCCCTGATTTATTATTTTGCGTCTTTCCCTGTTAGTTTATCGTGTGTTAGTTTTGGCTTTAAAAAAATCCATGACTGGTATGAGAACGAAAACGCAAGGCAGCTTTTACGGAATTATGGGAGTTATCTAGGTATTTTTCCTATTCATTCCAGTTATTGATATTTATTTCTTTTAGGATTACTTTTCCGCTGTCTGGCCAAATGAATTTATATTGGGTATCCAACCGTTCTGCTCTTTTCTATAATTTCCCCCGATGAGTCCAAGCTATGCAAGCTATTAAAATCCCAACTAACATTATTGCTACGACGACATACGTTGCCCATGAACAGTCTTTATGCTCTACCTTGAATCAAAAAGCTCTATCCACGTGCCAATACACGTATGATGATAAGCTGAAGGCAAGCAGATAGCGGGCCGGGAGAACACTCCACCCTCGTTGTTCCTGCGAAACAACACCACCACCACAACGCGCATTTGTGGCTCACAAGGACTGTTTTGCTTAACGAATCGAACTAGAAGGGTCCCCCCCCCCTTCCCCCCCCCAAAAAAAAGAAAAGAAAAGAAGAAAGAAAAAAAGAGCATTACATATACATGCTCGCTTAAGCACGACTCAATTCGAGACGCCGATAGCAGGCTTGTCAGAGCCCAGCCGCGCCTCAGTATGCAAAACACGAGGTTTAGCTCAGTCTGGCAGGCGATCAGCGGGGAGCTTCTTCGCTCTGCTGGACGAGTGCTAGCTATGCCAGCCCCACGCATACGGGTTTGCGGAGCCTTCTAACGGGATACTGCAAAGGAGCGACCAGCGTTCCAATTGATTTTAAGATTAACTAGGGGCCGATGCGAGTAGATCGGTAGGGAACTAAAAGCCGGAGCCCGTGTTGCTAAGAAACTACGTATATCTGGAACAGAACAGCGGGTCGATGCCTATTTCTCAGAAATATATGTATATATATTTGAGATAACCCCCGTTAATCTGTTTCGTTTAAACGTTATCGCTTGTCCGTTCTAGGGAGCGAACGATGAATCGATAATACTTGAATCGGATAACCTCTCCCCAGTTATATCACATCGCGCGCCAAAGCGCTCTGATGCCCCTCACCCCTAAACCGGGAAAAACTACAAAATAAATAAATATCACCTCGAAAATGCACCTCTTCAACGGCGGCCTACGCGCCGCGCTGCTGGCACTCTACTTAACCCTCACCGTCGCCCTCGCCGCCATCCCCAGCAGCAAACGCTTCGACCTCTCAAAACCCTCATACAACCTCTTCCGCAGCAAAAGCCTCCACGAGAACCGCGTCCAGCAAAGCTTCGCCTTCGATAACATCAATAGGCGCCTCTTCGTCGCCCAGCTGCGCGACGGCACAGGCGCCACGTCCGGCGACCTCTGCATAACCCAGCTCGACTTCTCCGGCAAGTATCTGGGCCACATGCACCTGAACGGCTTCGGGCACGGTGTCACCTTCGGTGCGCAGGGCACGCGCGACGGCGCGACGTACCTGTGGACCGAAGTCGAGGCCAACGGCAACGGGTACGGCAAGAGGCTGGCGCGCTTCAAATGGAAGCACGGCAACACCTTATCGGCGTCGGCCGCCGCGCTGACGAAATTCACGCCCATAGCGGGCGCGACGGAGCGAGCACACGGCCTTCATCGACCAGCTGGCCAACCGGCTGGTCGTCCGCTATCAGCACAAGGGCGGCAAGCATATCGCCGCCTTCGACCTGGACGCTGCCGCCAGGGGCGACTTTGCGAACCCGCTCGTGAATTTCCCGCAGCCCGTGCTGGATAAGTTCAAGTCCAAGGTGTTCCAGGGGTATGCGGCGCACGGGTCGTACTTGTATATCATGACGGGTACCTCGTATGAGGCCAGTGACGGGGAGGTGAATTCTCAAGTGGCAAGTATTGATATGAATACAGGGAAGATCGTGCAGGGCCCGACGCTGACGAATGCTGGGTCGAGTCTGCCCTTCCGGGAACCGGAGGGCATGGGGGTTTATAAGACGAAGGCTGGTGAGGTGAGGTTCTTCTTGGGCTTTGCGACTGGGAAGAGAGGGGATCGGAGATCGAGTTTGTTTTATAAAGATGCACTGATTTGATTTGTATTGGACGATGACGCGCGTGGCATTTGGGCTTTTTCTTTTTCTTTTTCTTTCTTTCTTTTTTTTCTTTTTTTTTCTTTTTTTTTTTTTCTTTTTTTCCTTTTTTTTTTTTTTTTTTTTTTTTTTTTTTTTTTTTTTGATACTGTAATCTACCGATCCATTTCTATCGTTAACTAATAACCCGCACTCCTTCACTTGATACACCCATAGAAACAAAATCATACTTCACGAGAACTGTCCAAAACAAATACAAAAAACACAGCTATACACCTAGAGCCATGTAAGAGAGCGTCAATAAAATTTATACATAATCGATGAGCTGGCTAGATAAGAAGCCCTCACGTAACTACAAAAAATAATAATAAAATTAAATTAAATAAAATAAAATAAAATACATAAAAAAAACCATTCAATAAACCGCGCTCAATCCGAAAAGAACCCCAGTTACATACATACATACCTACATACATATATACAATACAGTGAAAAGCTCAACAAAGCCATGGAATTAGTAACTATGTAAAGAATAATGATTTAAAAAAAAAAGGGGGAAGAAAACAGCAAGTGAACGTCCGTGGCCCCAGGGACCTTAATTGACTACATCCATACATGCGTAGATCATGAAGTAAAATAAGAAAGAGGGAAAATAAGATGAGGAGGGTTGATCGGGTCAAAAAATGTTCGAACTTATGCATGTATGTATGTACTGTACTATTAATAGTATGTAAAAACCACGCACCGAAAATCTACTGCCAAGAAGGAGATGATAGAATAAAAGAAGGCGCCCAATTTGTTGTTAATTTTTCTTCGACCTGCTCCCTGCAAGAAGATTTTTTGTAAAACCAGAAAAAAAAAAAAAAAAAAAAAAAACCCAGACATTCACTACGCTGCACGAATACAATGGCGACGGTGGAAGTTGTAACATACATAACAGCGGCAGCAGTGAAGGGGGAAAAAAAAAGATGAACCCTTGATAATATTCAAATTCAAAATGGGGTTACAGCACACATCTGTTCGAAACCCCGGTTACTCATGGTATGGCGGCGGAGGGGTGCGCTCATGGGATTGCGATTGCGGCGGCTGCGGCTGTAGTTGTAGTTGCGGTTGCGGTTGTGGCTGAGGCTGCGGAAGGGGATGTTGATGCGGTTGATGTGGTTGATGTGGTTGATGTTGGGGGTACTGCTGCTGCTGCTGCTGATACGGGTGTGCATTCTGCGGGCGAGGGAGGGGAAGTGGTTGGTGGTGCGGTTGGAGCTGTTGTTGATGTTGATGTTGGTGGTGCGTCGCTGGGTGTTGTGAGCCCGGATGGAGTGGTGGAGGTGGAGGTGGCGGGTGTCCGTAAATCGCGTGATGGTAGGGCGGGCCTAGCGCTACATGCCCAATCGGCGCGTGCATGTATTGTGGCGGCGGGGGAGGAGGGCCATGCGCAACATGTGGCGGAGGGCCGTGGGGAGGATAGGGTCCCGGGTGATATGCCATACCTGGTGGTGGGGGCAGGTGCGGATGCGTAGAGGAGAATGGGTCAGGGAGTTCATTTAGATGGGGGATGGAAGGGTAGCGACTTGAGGCGGGGAGGATGCGGCGTGGGAGGTTGGGTAATCCGCGTTGGGAGTCAGGTGGAGGTGGCGGTGGGGCCGGTTGGTGCTGAGTCGGAGGTGGGAGGAAAGACCGCGGGTCTGTTGGCGGTATCATCTGGCCGAGTACAGGCTGGGGAAGTATTGTTCTGTGTAGTCCGCGGGAATGTTGGTCTGTTGACAGTCGTGGTGGTTGATGCTGAAGTGGAGGGTGATATGGCTGCGGGGGAAGCTCTTGAGTAACACCAGGAAGGTTGCGGAAGGGCGCAAGCTGCGGGCCTGGTAAGGGAGGCCCATATGCGGGCTGTTGCGCTGGCCGCTGGCCAATGTCTCCCATAGCGACATCGGCAAGAGTACTCAGCGCCGTAGGAGGTTCTACAGGCATTGCATTAGAAGGTTTCCCCTCAGACGTCCGATCTTCTTCGCGCTGGCAAAGTTCGGTTAACGCCTCCGTAAGCTGTGAGATTCTGTCGCTGACAAGCACTGGTGGCCGTGCTTCTTGGGTTATCTCCTTTATTTGAGGAGAAATATCATTTTCGATTTTCGCTCGCTGTATAAAGTCTTCCCACCCATAAGCAGCCCGTTCATAGAGTGCGGCACCCTTGGGGTCTCTGACAAAAGAACTATTGAATCCGCGAACAGAACGTCGACGAGGAGCAATGTCTGCTTCTGATCCTGATTCGTCGGTCTGTAATTTTTCGTAAGTTTTTTGTTCTCTCCATATTCTAAACTGCCCATCTCAGGGTTTCCAATGGAGCCTTACCTCAGTGTGGTCGTCGTCCTCTGCCTGGCGACACTGTTCCACAAAGGCCATATAGCTCCCTTGAGCAGCGAGGAGATGCTCCTCTCTGATATGTCGGGACTTATCCTAGTGAAAGTTAGATCTTTGCAAGTTTGAAAAGGAAAGCAGCGGGGGAACCAGTAGCACTTACATGGAAGTTACTATTGACCCGTTCCTTGTTAGCCTCGAGTAAGGCATCCGCAGCTTTTGCACGCCAATTATATTCGTTCTCAATCACGTCCAGTCTCTTTTGCAGCCTAGCCTTAAGAGCCTTCATGACTTGATTATATTCAGGGACTGTCGTGTGTGCATTGGCATCTTTAATGAGTTTAGCTTCTGTTCGATTCGCAATGACGGTAAGCGCGGTCCGCTGAGCCGACGCGACTCGACGGAACACCCTATCGAGTTCCTTTTGTCGCTCACGCAGTTGCTTGATGACCGGGCTGGGAGATACGGATATCTCACGATCGATTGGTTGCAGTCGGCCTCCACGGCCGCCTCTTCCAGCACCCCGACCCCGACCACCTCTCCCACGACCGCGAGTCCATCCTCTCCCTCTTGCCCTTCCTCTAAATCCGCCGCGTCCACGACCTCTGCCCGAAACACTTGGCAGTGTGCTGGCAGACAACTCTGCAGTTTCCGACGGGGTTGCAGCTCGGGAGCCTGATACCTCCGTTGGGGTGCCCTCCCTTGCCGCTAAAGGAGATTCCAGCTCTATTGACTGAGCAGGCGAATCCGCATTGCGGATCTTAAGAAGCGGAACTGGTCGCGTGCGCCTGGTTTCCGGGGCCGGTAGGTCTGTGTCACCATCGCCATTTTTATCATCGCCATTTCTCTCGGATGGGGACTGCATCCCATTACCAGAAGAAGTTGACATCTCTATTTTGAAATTTTTCGTGCGTGCGTTTAGGGTTTCTGCTGGCCCAGTAGTCTTGCTAGTGGAATTTCGCTTCCGTGTAGTCACAGGGCTGGCCCGCTTAGTCGCAGATCCAATGGTAGGTGTCTCTGGTATTGTCGCTGTATTTTTCCTTTTTCCAGCGCCGCCGTCTACGGACTTGCTTTTAGGCTTCGAGACCGCCTCAGGGGAAGAAGTTTCGACCTCGGTTTTATATCCAGAGCTCCGACGGCGCCGAGACGAGTCAGTCAAGGTCGATTTAAACGAAAATAATTGCGAATCAGAAATTGATTTCCTGGTGCGTATACTGGGCGATTTAGACGCAGTATCATTCCCATTCACTTCCCCGTCGTCGGAACCAACATGGATCTCGTGAGGCCCATTGAAGTTTGGTTGCTGGATAGCTGAGCCGTCGGGCTCCTCAGGCACTGAATCCATATGATGGAACTTGGAAAGAATCCTAGCAGATTGGCGTGTTGGGCGCGGTGTGTTCGCTTCCGCAATGCCGTTCTCATGTGCGATCTCTTCCTTTGCCTTCCTGACCCTTTTTGCGCGTGGCGTTTGCGGATCCGAGGGTGATTGAACAGGCAGAGGTTCATCATGACTACTACCATTTAATGACTTTGAGCGGCCAATATGAGCACGGGCTTTGCCTCTTGCTCGCGATCGCGAGCCGCCACGGTTTCCACCTCGCGCGCGGCTCGAGGATGAAGTAGATGATACTGGATGACCAGCGGTTAACAGGAGATATTCGCTATTGCGCTCCTGACAGTAATACTCACCCTGAGAAGAATCTACTGCAGATGCACTGCCCAATTCATGAGTTTGGTCCAACTTGCGCTTAAGGCCGGTCATCATGAGCAAGGAGGTAGGGTTCTCAGAGAGTTATCTTTCACACTTTCTGCTGCAGGTTTGGATGAGGTCAGCTCACGTGATCAGGAGAGTTTTCCCAAGTTTGGCGCTGAGAAGAAGTATGAGAAAAAAGGTGAAGAAAGAAAGAGTACAGTTACGACAAAACGCGAGGAAAAATAGAAAACAATGAAAAAGAACGAGGTAGGGAGTAAGGAGTAAGAAAAGAGGCGGACCAAGAAATCCAAAGAAAATTACAACGGGCGCTTTCAGTGAATAATCACTTCAGTAAAAGTAGCGGCGCATCCAAGTTGTTAGCAAGAAGAAGACAAGGAACGGTTTGGCGTGGTAGATTTCGCAAACAGCCACAAAAATGATCAGCAATCGAGAAAGGTCCAAAAGATTAAATAGGTAGAACGACAAGGAACTGAAACACCCGAAAGGATAGGAGAAAAAAAAAGGAAATATTACAGTAGAGAGGATGAAACAACACCACTACTCTCACTCAAAAATAAAATAAACACACAGCTAAATTAGGCCCCGGCGATGTAGTAAGCAGGAGGAGTTCTTTAAAATAAAAAAGAGCAGCGAGAGAAAACCGAGACGAAAAGAAGAAAAAAGCGACAAAGACTTGATTTTCCTCACATTCTCATTGGTCGATGAGTTTTGGGGGGGGGGGGCGATGGTTTAGATTTTTCAATATTTCACAGGGTTTTTTTTAGTTTTTTTTGCTGCTGCGGGTTTTGGTGGAGAAGGAGGAGTAGTAGTAAGGTAGTTTTATACTACTCAGTAGACTGGCTGGCCCCCCAGTCAGAATAAAGAAAATACGAAAAGCAAGGAATCGGGGGAACAAGTAAGGCAGGGGAGGAGGAATCAAGCAGGAGATGTGAATTTCATAGAAGAAGAAGATAAGATAGATTTCTTTCTCTCTGGTTTGCTCTAGGAAGAAGGTTGAGGTTGAGCGTAATAATAACGGTTGTTGCTTCACAACAGAATTTATTAGGCTTAAAAGGGAAAGGAAAGAGAAAAAGGAAAAAAAAATCATACCACAAGTAAAAAGCAACAACGCACACAAAAGCGATCACTGTCAAGGCGGGCCTCGTAGGTAGTTTACTGGTCATGCATCCATTGCATAAGTGGAAAAAGTAGGCGGGACAAGACTGGGAGGAAAAGGGTTTTTTTGATTATTATCAAGAAAGAAGTTTCCAAGTAGAAGCAACCGGGGATGCGGATGAATAACGTAGTAAGCAAACTCCCTCACTCTCACCCTTTCCAGCTATTGCCTTCCCCAGCACGAAGATGATGGCGATATAATATTCAAGCAATCTACTCCGTATTTTCCGTATAACATAACTACAGCGTAAGGGTTAGTTAGGAGTTAAGGGGGGGGGGGGGGGAGGAGGAAAAAGTTGGATAAAAAAGAGGAAATTTTCCACCACACAAGCCGGAACTTATTAGGGTAAGTTATGTATTATTACCGCTGCAAACCATCCGGGGGGGTGTCTGTACGGTACGTACGGTAACATACATTATATTTTACCCGGCCCCCCCCCCCACCCCCTGCACATCCATTAAACCGTTGCCAGTTAACTCGGAGTTAGTGCACGCTGGGGCAGCGGTGATTGGCTGGAACAGCTTGTCCTGCGAGTTTAAGTTGGTGGTGGTGGAGTTTGGAAAACCTAACCTAACCTAACCTAACCTAACCTAACCCTGCTTGCTGCTGCTGCTGAGATATATATACTCCGTATATACGAACTGAACTGGCTGACTGGAGAATGAAGTAACTACAGTACGGAGTAAAAAGGAATTAGAGAGGAGTATTTGAGAGACAGAGTTGTGTATTGTATTGTATGCCATGATGAATATTATAAATGTATTTGGAGTGTTTGTTTCATGGTTAAAAAAAAAAAGAATCTCTCAAGTCTCAACTGATCACCAGCAGTGTAAGTTACTCCGTAAAAACATTAGAATAGACAATAGCAAATCTCTGACCATTTAAATGCCTGCCACATAAACTCCATACATACATAGTTACGATAACAACCTACAGATGTACAGAGTAGTTCCACTGTGGACATTTCAAAATCTCCCCCTCGAAATTCCTACCTCTGCAGTCTATTACGCAGTTGATTCACTCCCTTCCTTCCCGCTCCTCCTCCTCCTCCCGCTTTTCTAGCCCTTGATGAGCTGCTCATAGTTTTACTTACGCAGTACATCCTAACTACATCCTTGTCATTTTTGACAATCACAAAGCAATCATTTGTATTTTTTGACAAATATATGACGCCTTTAAAAAAATATATATATATAAAATAAAGAAAAGAAAAAGAAAAAGGAAAAGAACTCTGTCAGTGCAACTAATCTGTAATAATATCTGTGTAGAGTAGCTAGCTAGGAGTTAACTAGCATAGCATAACCAATATTGCAATAATAATAATAAGAATAAGAATAATAATAATAATAATAATAATACTGAACAGCATGGCCATTGAAGCAGAGATACATTTGTTTATGTCTTCCTCCTCCCCCCCAGCAGGTGTTAAAAGTGATGAGCACAACATATTTGTATACCTTGCTTGCATACTACTACTGCGTAATGTTGACTTGTTTGTGCTCATGAATCATACCCAAGATCTGTGTGTCCTTGCAATCTAGGTTATTTATCTAGCACACACAAATAAAGTAATTATTTACAAAAGTCAATGATATCATGAAAAATTTGAATGTTTTAAATTTTATGTCTTGGAAAACTGCATTTTTGTCAGGTTGGGATAAAACCACTCTATTTTTTCTACAGTCTGTCTGTCTGTCTGTCTGTCTGTCTGTCCATTTTGATTGATAAATGTATACTATACTGTTTCAATTGTCCGAGTAAATAATTCGAAAATAAAATAATAATAATAATAATAAGAGATAAAAAAAAACAAAAATAAGAACCTCTCAGATATCAATCGTAAATCTACCGTATTATACATATCCAAAATCCAAAGCAATTACTTCCGCCCCTACTCCCTCTCCCCTTATCCCCCATCTCTCCCAACAGAACCAGAACCAGAACCAGATCCAGATCCTTTACTCGACTTCCTCTTCCCATAATCCACCCAACTCCCCCTATTCCCCGCAGCAAGCACAAACCCCGGAATCGGCAGCGGCAACGCCAACCATCATCATCCCTACAATCCTCCCTCTCCCTCTCCCTCTCCCTCTCCCTCTCCCTCTCCCTCTCCCTCACCCTCTCCCTCTCCTCGTACGTATCGTTCTTACAAACATTCTTAAGAGTGTC